TGAACTGGCATTTAAACGAATGATAGGCGCCAAAACATTGTATTTTTGTGTTGAACAAATTACGCTTACTGCATCGTGCCTGCCTCTTGTAAATAATCCATGTAATAATTTACTATATCTAACAAATTTAGGGTCGTCAGCGTGGTCATCTATAACGATTAATATTGAGTGCAGTTTCTTTATCTTTTTAGATTTCATATAGTTAATAATTTTCTTCTGTCTTTCGATTACATTTTCTAAATCACTTGGATTATAATTATCAAAATAAATTTGTTCTTTTTCATCATCTACGTGCAATTCGTCCCTGATATATTTTTTAACTTCTGTAAATGTAGGGTCGTTATGGACGCTGGGGGAAAATATAAATATTCTTGCAAATGAATTTCTATAAACATTTAAAATAAGATTCTGAACCAAGACTGTTTTGCCACCTGTCGAACTCGCAACTATAATACTTCTAAATGGTAATTTTGGCACGTGCTCATATTTAGATTGTTTGAATTCATAATCAGTTATGTTTATTGGTTTTATTATTGGGACATCTGTCATAGTTGATATTAAAGAAATATATAAAATTATATTTAAAAATTAACTTGTAATTAATATTAAATGGAACATCATTTTTATGATATGCTGGTGGCGAATATCATAAAATGGAACAGGTTTTCCATTGCTTCAATCAATGAGCATTGAAGCTAATTAGTTTGAAGAATTCGTGTGTGCAATGAAAACTCCAAGTGCTGTGCCCCATCAATATTCTATTATGCATGAAATAATAAGATTAATTATAATTTATCTTATTATTTAATATGCAAAGGAGTTATACAGATTATATTGATACAAGAGATGAAGTAGAAAATATAGAACAACGAAAGTATGCTATTTTGTTTTAGAAATAGTTAAGTTAGGAATGCAATATCTCAAAAATAAAAATGTAAATGTTACTATAAATGCCTCCAAAGAAGAAGCAAGAGAAACAAAAAGAGATTGAATGTGTCAAATGCGAAAAATGCGGTCAAACAATTAAACCATTAAATGAATTAGAATTAGATAAAGAACATGTTAAAGTTAAATGTTGGCAGTGTTCATGTGGTAGAACCATGCATACAGTACATACAGTAAAAAAGAAAGATGCCGACGGGAGCACAGTTGAAGAAAGTTGGGTAGAAAACTTCAAAAGTGGATTTGGTAGGTTATTTACACCTGAGAAAGAACGATGAAAAATTAGTATTTAAAGAGTAGATTTAACACCACTTCAAACGCATAAATAAATAAATAAATAGATAAATATATAAATATTTATATATAGAAATGTCTGAAGTTGAGAATGATGCTATTGCTGAACTATCAAAGAAGATAATGACAGTTAGTAAAAATGTTAAACTGTTGTACGAGATGATAAAAGCTATTGACCAGAAACTTGATGCAAAGGCAAACGAACCAAAAAATAACAATGAAGAGAAGGAAAAAATCGAAAAGATATTTCAAGCAAAACCTATAGGACGACCATCGGGCGACTACCCTACAAAGCAAAAGAAATACTGTGATTTGTTGAATACAGGAAAAATCAAACAACCTAAAAGCACCACTTTAGAATTTTCCAAAATTTCAAAAAATGATGATGGAGTATATGTATTAATCGAATAATTAATATCTAAGTAATTCTAATAATATGAATTTATTAGAATTATTTAGCGGAACAAAAAGCGTCGGAACCATAGCAAAGTCGCTTGGATTTAATGTAATATCATTAGACTTGAAAAATGCTGATATCAACACTGATATTTTGGAGTGGGATTACAAACAGTTTGACAGAAACCATTTTGATTTTATTTGGAGCAGTCCCCCGTGCACCGAATACAGCAGAGCAAAAACAACAGGAATTAGGAATATCGAATATGCAAATAGTATTGTCTTAAAAACTATTGAGATTATCAAATATTTCAATCCAAAATATTATGTAATTGAAAATCCACAAACTGGATTATTAAAAAATCAGGAGTTTATGAATGAGTTTGACTATTTTGATATTGATTATTGTAAATATGGTTTTAAATACAGGAAGCGCACGAGGTTATGGACGAATATTACTACTTGGACGCCACGCGCATTATGTAGGAAGGACTGCGGTAAAGTTGTTAATAACAAACATATTGAAACTGCACAACGGATGCCATCAAAAACCAAGGCGGAATGGGGTGATAATTATGTAATCCACAAACAGGAAGATTTATACAAAATACCTGCTGAATTGATTTGTGAAATCTTGGTGAGTTTGGTGGATTAAGGAAAACGAGTTTGGGGTTGGTGTTGAAACTTGAAATTTGCAGGTTCGTCCAACGTCAAAAGAGTAAAAATTATGAAATTTAGAATTTTGAAAGTAACGAATTTTAAGGGGAGAAATCCATAGTTTTTTAAATAGATAAAACACCAAAATTATATAGACATATCCGGAAACTCTTGCCAACCGCCAAACAGGGCAGGAAAAATTGGCGAGAGTTTCCCCTTATATATTACTATAAAAATATAAAAATAAATAAAAAAACAACCCTAAAAAGGCTCCGGACGAGGTCCCGCACCCAAGCTTGAAGTTGGTCGTCATACCTGCGCGGAGCGAAGTCGCGTTGGGAAAAGGGATGGGGCGGGTCAGGGTAGAGGGTGAGGTGCCGACACTTGCAGACCGCGACTTTTTCAAGCGAGTCCCCCCTCATCCCTTGGTTGAAGCCTATTGTTCCAAATGACACAGCCATGTGCCCACATACCGATTGTGGAAATTTAGGGTGTGGTTGTGGAAATTTAGGGTGTGGTTGTGGAAATTTAGGGTGTGGTTGTGGAAATCAGAGGCTTGGCTGTGGGACAGCTACTTGCTGACTACTCACGATGCCATATTGGCATCACCCGCCGTTTTGGCGAGTGCCTCACGGGCACCAACGCGCTTGGTCAACTCAGTTTTCATCATCTCGCGGAGCTGGGGCATCCCAAACTTCTCACTCTTGGACTGCGCCCAGTTGTATGCCAAACAGATTGTGAGCTCCGCGCCTTCAAGGATGCCCTGTGTCATCTGGGAGGTGTCCTTGATGGCGACCATTTCCTTGCCGAACAGAAAGGCGCTAGCTTTCTTCAACTTGTATTCGGCAGACCCACCGGTGTCTGCCGACACTGCTGAATAGGCATTCTGGAGCAGGTCCTCATCAAGGTCAGTGAGCAACACCTGAATGGTGTTGATTGGGTCCGCCTCTGCTTTGGTGTAGAAGGCGGACATCTTGCCATCGCAAGTGGCGACGCATTGCTTCAAGTCGGCCTCGCTGGTGGCAATGCCGTTGAAGATAGACTTGACGGACTTTTCAAGGGCCTTGGCCTTCTCCTGTGCCGCAGCGGATTTGGTGGTGGCCTTCTTCGTGCCCTTGCCCCCTCCATGGAGCGCAGGAGTGAGCTTGAAGACGACCTCATCGGTGTAGTAGGCATCAATGCCATCCCAGTCGTTCAAGGTGGAGGCGCTACGGCTGAACTTGATGACAAAGAGGGTCATGTCAATGTTCAGGGACTTCTCCAATGCCAAGCGCAAATCTTCACCACGAGCCTTGTTTATCTCATAGACATAGAACACCTTGAAAGAGCCCGATGCGGTCGGCACTTCCAAGCCAAGCTTCTTGATATTCTCGCCGTCAAGGTTCATATCGTCCGTCACGCCAATGTGGATTTCTTCAAAGTCTTCCTTCTTGTTGCCCATGGTCTGGGCAATGTAGGAGCGCTTCATATCCTCCAACATCCAGAGCTCATCCGGATTGACCTTGATGAGGGCATTGGGCGGGTTGAGCTGTCGCATCAGCTTCAACCGCTTCTCGTGAACCTCAGTCCAGATGAAGACCGATGACGAAGCTGTGCCCTCATCCCTCTCAGTGCCAGAGCAACACTCCTCTTCTTCGGAGGTCTCTTCATCCTCCTCATCGGTGGCGATGGGCTCATTCCGAGCCGCATGGTGAGGGACAATGGCATCCCAGTTCTTCAAGATGTATTCCACGGCACCCGCCTTGGACTTTCCAGAGATGAAGCGCCCGAGGTTCTGCATCAAGCTCCTCAACTGGCTCAATGTCAGGGTATTGAGGTCTTTGTTCGTTGGAGTGGAAGGCGTCAGTTTCTTCAAGGTCTCCAACTCATAGACAGCACCTCGGGGCATCTTGAGCAGACAAACGCCGTTGTCGTTCTTGATGATAACCAAGGTCATCTTTGAGTTGGCAGGAGGATTGCGGATTGAGCCCTTGCGTAGGCACATTGAAGTGATTTCCTCCCAAGTGTTGGCAATGTGTGCCACTATGCGGTCTTTGGTGGAGATGTTGGACACCCTCACCGAAAGATGGGAGAGCATACCCTTCATGTCGTCCATTGTCAGAGTGCTCAACAGGTCCGCATCAGGGCTCTGTGCCGGACCCATTGTCAGCTCACCGACACTGATGATGTCGCCACCACTGAAGCCCTTGACAATGAAGGATTGACCGCGTTGAACAACAAGCATTGCGAGAAGCTGTTGCCTCAAAAACTCACTGCTGATGATAAGCCAAAAAGCACTATGGCGTGTATTGTGTCTTCGGCAGAAGGCACATCAGCAATGCTTGACACACAGAACCTCAAATGCGACGCAACACAGGAAGGGGCACTAATTGAAGATGAAGGCGAAGAAGACGAAGCGCACGGCGTGGCGAGGCGGTCGTTTGTTTCGTTTTGTTGGTGAGGGTTTTGTAATTGTCTATTGTATGGTCTGTTGTTTGGTTTTTTGCGTGGTTTGTTGTTTGGTGGTTTGTTTTCTATGAGGGTCTTACCCCTAAGCTCGTTATGGTTTTGGTATGGTTGATTTGGGGGGCAGTTATTAAATGGGGTGAAAACCATAGGGGGGAGTGTATGCTATTTGCTTGTGGGTAAGGTCCTGCTTGCTCCCCCACCCCGTTCCACAAAAACCGGGCTTTCCCATACTCAACAACACAAGCGCGCCCAAGTCGCGCCAGGCGCTGTCGCGGAGCCTGCGGAGGCTGCGGAGGCTGTGGGCGCCTAGCCGGGCGCCTAGCCGGGGGTTCAACCCACGTCCTTTTTCTTTGTGACGAGGTCTTCCAGTACTGCCCTTTTGCCCTTTTTGGGGGGAGGGTTCCCCTACTAAAATAGACTACGGAAAACAAGGGTACCCTTATTCCAACCTCTCTACTGGAGGACCTAGGTGGGTACCTGTTTAGGGTTCAAGCCACCATAGGGGGTTGAACCATTGGGGACCCCGTTTGGGGGTGGTTAAACGGGAAACCAAAGGGACATCCATGTTTTGGGGTTCAATGAGCACCCTGTTTCGGGTTCAGTTGCCACCTTTAAACCAATGGTTGGCTTGACATAGCTTGCTGGTGCGCAGGAACTGAGGGAATGTTCCATCCAACTGGTGGTTTCCTTTAAGGGGACTCTTTGGGTTCATTTCCCTCTTTCCCTACTGAGCACCAGCAAGATAATCACCGTTGTTTGCCTAAGCTAAGGGCCATTCTTTAAATGGGAGTTGAACCATAGGGGACCCTTTGTGGGGTGGTTAAATGGGAAGCCAAAGGGAAAACCGATATACATGTTTGGGGTTCAATGAGTATCCTGTATGGGGCTGGCTTTCACCGAAGCCAAGTGGAGGACCGCCATGTTTGGGGCCCCTAATTGAAGATGCACCCGTATGCAGCTTGCCATGGTCGTAACTGGGGAAACTGAGAGGCAACTGGCCGTTCGAGCCATGGTGACACCTGTTACCGAAGTGGTTGGAACATCCAAAACGGTTGGTTTCCGTGTGTGGCTTCCAGCAAAAGCTCATGGGAATCTCCTAAGTACACGGCGATGTTTTGGTGCCACCAGGCCCGGTTTTCAACTCCGATGTGAGCACGCGAGTTTCTCGTCAAACTTGAGTCGTTTTGGGAGCACCGGCGTGTGTTGAGACGAACCGTCTGAGACGAGTAAAGGCGGGCATGCTAGTTTCCTAGCCAGCGTCGGGCATATGTTTAAACAGCCAGCTAGTACTCTTTGAAAGGGAAGTGAAAGGAGGTTGTTTGAACAAGAGTGGTTGAAACACTCTGGTTATTGCAAATTGCTGTGTTTGTTGAACAACAATATATTTAAGCCTTGAAACATGCTTCAACTGTCGGTTGGGGCCCCCTGCTCGGATTTCCCGTTCTAGATTTCCCCTCCGCCGGTCGAACACGGGAAACTGGGGGAAAGCCAAATAAAAGGATCATATTGATGGACAAAGTCCACAGGCTCTGGGACAAGCCAACTGGTGCCTGGCGATTCTGGTGATTCAAAGTAGATAAGGCCAAGCGCCACGAGGGCTACTTGCTGCACTTTGGGGAGGGAGGGATTGAAGTGAGAATCCCGGGCCATGCCTAGGCCGAACTTTGCCTGAATTCCCGTGTATGGCAAAGGATTTGCCACGGAGAGGTTTCTTCCGGGTCGAGGGGAGAGCTGGCAATTCCCGGTGTTACAGTCTTGGTTTGATACCAACACGCGGAAAGGTCGCAATTGGTTTAAACTTTGGAGTAAACCACCAAGCCAAACCACCAAAGTTTTAGCCTTCGATTTTCCGACTGTCCCTGCAATTGGCCCTAAAGGTTCCTTGGACTTCCGGGTCAAAGCCAAGGCTCTTCTCCGGTGCGTAGAGACTCGCACGATTCCTCTAGGAAGGCCCAGAATGGGAGTCCGTATCTTGGCAGTTTTCACCGAATCGTCCGGTTCAACTTAGCTTTTTAGTTGTTCGTTGGTGCGTTCAGTGGTTGGGCTCCCATTTAACACACTAAAAGTTTTCGATTTTTAGCGGGGCAGGGTTGTGAAAAGATGTGAAGCATGGTACTGGAATCCAACGTCTCCAGTTTCCCGGGTCGCAGTTTTCGCAATCTCGGGGTTGCTGCGAGCTTCTAGAAGGTGATCAAAACATTGGTGTCGCAGTCTTCTTGCTTCCTCTTGGTACGACATGTGTTTTTTTGGCAGGTCACTTGGTTGGTTTGGAGGCCGGTGGGTTGGATTTGAACAGGTGCCTGGTTCGTGCAGTGGCCACCCCCTAGCCTAAGCCAATTGAAAGGGAAGCTGAAAGTTTTAGTGTCAGGGTTCTCACCCAAATCTCTGGTTTGCAACATACTATTTTTTGGGGGTATGCCACTCCCCTCACCCGGCATGAGGGGAGCTCCCTCAAGAGCCGATCGTGCCAGCGTCCCGGTTTTCCACAGTGGCAGGCTCCAGTTTTCACTGGCCACCAGAGCCGACGTAATCCATATATCCGCCCTGGGAGTTTGAGGGCAAGACACCAGCTAGCTAAAAAGTGGTCTGGGAGAATTTCTTTGAGATCCTGCACATCTTGTCACACACAGATAGATCACTTGGATTTCCTTTGGAGGTAAGGTGACGGGACAGGGTTAGCCCCTAAATGCAAAACATCCAATTCGCTCATTTTGCTCGTTGGTTTGTGGTAACATGGTCATGCGTTCGCGCTTCAAGGGAGGCATGATGTTTTGACCCCCTCATTCCGTGGCAATTCGGAGGGCGCTCGCAAGCGCTGAGCTCTCAGGGCCTCTGTGTGCAGGCACGCTCCTGGGCTGGGACCCTTTTCAAACTGAGGGAAGCCGTCAAGCTGAATGCTCTAGATCTCCTTGCATGTCCATATCTGGACTTTTGAAGGTGACAGGTCTCTCAAAAGGGCAAGACAATCTTAGGCGAAGATGAGCCACATGCATCTTCACCCAAAGGGATTCCTGCGAAAGCAAGAGCGCTGTATTCCCTTCGAGAGGCGTTGAGCAAAAACCTCACTCAGAAGCCCCTGCTACAGAGTAAAAGACTCCGGGCCGAGGTGCTTTCAAAAGCACTCACGGGTCAATGGCAGGAAAACTCGCCCAGAAGGCTGCACCATGTGGCACAAAGGGCACAAAGGGAGCTCTTGCCACCCGTCGCAGCCCTCGGAATTTCTTGTTTTTTTCGCCGGAAAAGGCAGACCCGCGGCCTCTGTGGCAAGACGTCCGTTTTCGTAGCACGCGACCTCAGGACAGTGCTGGGGGGTCTGCACCTTGCGCCATTCTGCGCTTCGGGCGTGGCATTTCTGTGCCGCGCGAATGGTCTTAGCCGCAGCGTTTCTCGCGGTTTTCGTGGAAAAAACCAGCCTGAGCGGGGAGGGTCCTGATGGATTTACTGCCGGGGTTCACAGGTTGTTCTTTCAAGATCCAGATTGCTCTTTCAATCCTGGATAGTCCAGGTTCCAGATCCTTCTTGCTCTTTCCTTGACCCCCAACGATGACAAATGTGAGTTCCGGTCGCTCCCGATTTGAGGCTTGCCACGCTGCGTCACATCCCAAGCGGTTGCTCCTGCTAGGCTGGTCCAGGCATGTCTCCAAAGGCTTTTAAAGGGAAGAGACGCAAACCTAGGACCTGCTTGACTCGCAGCATGCAAATTACCTCCACAACCCCCTCCCCCCCCCCCAAGAAGCCGGGTTTTTGAGGAGAAACACCCGCCTGTTCCGACAGATGGCGCGAAGCCCTTGGGGTTTCGGGCCAGCCTCGAAGGTATGTTTACCAGTCAGCTGACATGGGGTACACTTCCAATGGGTGTGTCTTTGTTTGATGGTACCCCTTTTTTAGTGGTTTTAAAGGGAATCCTGAAGGAACAGAGCATCTTTTTTTGGAGGGGTGTGCGTGTGTGTCAATAAAAAAAGACACACCGCAGGCGGGGGTCAATACAATAGCCACACCGCACTCATTTTTTCCGATCCTGGATTTCTGAAAAATCAGAACCCAAGGGGAAAGCTTTTGTTTGGATTTCAAGAGGACCGATGGAACATGGATGGAACATGAGTCAACCGGAGCCCTGTCGCCGGGCTTCGCAGCTTCGCAGCTTCGCAGCTTCGCGTGCCGCCCTTGCTCAAGTTGGCGCGTGAGAGAGACCGTCTGAGATCTCGAAGGCAACGGAAGCCAGACATTTAGAGTTTAGTTTACTTCTTGACAGCAATCAGCTTGATCTGCTCATTTCATGAAGGACCCAACCGGAGATGTTGGTTCTTTCTGCAAAATGGGGTTGGGGGTACCCAAAGTTTTGGAGCCACAGGCAGCTAAGGCAAGATGTTTGTCCCCTCATATCTCTCAGCTCTCGAGGGGCCTTTCAGCGCAACATTCACCCTAGACATGGGTGCCAGGCGTTGCGTCTCTCGGCGCCTTGGGCGAGACTTGCGCAAGTCTCCATTTTTGGTCCATGTGTCGTTGTTTTTGGTCCATGTGACCAACCCAAATAGAGTGCCTCAAAAGACACCCCCCCATGTTTTGTTGGGGCTTGTTTTTGGATGGCGTTTTCGCGGAAAACGAAAAGACCACCCAATGCTATTCACAAGCCTCGGATTCCTTGTACGGTGTTCCCTTTGTTTGTCGGGGAGTGCTGCACAGCCTTCAAGGAGAAGCAGTTTGGCGAGCGAACAAGCGAATCAACTTGACAGAAGGGCGTACGTGAATAAGTTCTGGGCCTCAATAAGTGGCTTTTTCAATGGAATGCACGCTAGGGATGGTTATGGACTCCCTGTTTTCAGGTAGCCCGTCAGGTTGGATTGGAGCCCGGTGGTTTGGATTTGGATTTGAACGGGTCCCTGGTTCTTGCGGGATTCGGGGGGTTCCCCACCCCTTAATTCACGAAGCCAACAATCCAAACAACCAAATAGGGGGAAGCTGACTTAGGTGAAAAAGTGTTGGGCTTGTTTGGCAGGCCAAACTCGCTCTTGACCCAGTTCAGCCCCTCTAACTCCCCTTTAAGCTTTAATTCGGCGCACTGGCTATGGTTCTAATTCAACTTATGATCATCCCGGAGCTTTGAAGCCAGGGTGTGTTGTGGCGTGGTGTGTGGTTGATTTAAGAGTAAGCTGGCAACTATTTTGCCGCTGTTCAATGCGTCTGAGCCCTTCGCCTGATCCCAGAACCCGTTGTACCCGTTTTGGTTCGTGCTTATCCTGCAAGCCAGCCGGTGTCGTAAGCAAAAATAACACACGTTAAAGAAAAAACAGGTGCAGATCTGTGCAGCTTTTTGTCAAAATCACCACCACCAACAACCACCAACCACCAACCACCAACCACCAACCCCCAACCACCAACCACCAACCACCAACCCCCAACCACCAACCACCAACCACCAACCACCAACCACCAACCACCAACCACCAACCACCAACCACCAACCACCAACCACCAACCACCAACCACCAACCACCAACCACCAACCACCAACCACCAACCACCAACCACCAACCACCAACCACCACCACCACCACCAACCACCACCACCGCCACCGCCGCCACCACTACCACCGCCACCGCCGCCGCCGCCACCACCACCACCACCACCACCACCACGGCGACGACGACGACGACGACGACGAGAACAACCACAGCAACAGCAACAGCACCAGCAACAGCAACAGCCCCAGCAACAGCAACAGCAGCAGCAGCAGCAGCAGCAGCAGCAGCAGCAGCAGCAGCAACAGCGACAGCGACAGCGACAGCGAGCAACAGCAACAGCAACAGCAAGACCAACAGCAACAGCGACAGCAAAAGCGACAGCAACAGCGACAGCAACAGCAACAGCAACAGCCACCACCACGACGACGACAGCAACAGCAACAGCAACAGCAACAGCCACCACCACCACGACGACGACAAGAACAACAGCAACAACAACCACATAGGTGTAAATACTTTGCTCTCACATCACCCCAACCGCCATCCCTCGATGTGTTTTTTCTTTTTTCTGAGGCCCGAAGCCAGGGCCTCAGAAACCGCGGGGTTTCGATGGAAGGTGGTTTCGTTCGGCCGAAATTCGTTGAACACATTTGAGTGGCTTGGCGGTTCGTAGCCCCTTCGGTTCCTTAGCTTTTTGGCTTTTTAGCTGAATTAGTAGTTGGGTTTCCATTTCCCCACTAAACGTTTTCTCCTTTTAGCAGGGTATCCGAGGACAGCTCAGGTGGGTCAAAGATACTCAGCTTCCCTCATAAAACTGGGGCTGTGGATCCCGGTGGGGGGCGTCCCCTTTACTTATGAGAACCAGGGGGCCAAATCCAACCAATCACCGCCTGGAAGGTTGCGGGTATGTCACACAACCCCTAGCTGGTGGTTTGGATTGGTAATTCGAGGGTTTGAACGCCTGGTTCTTGTAAAGGGGAAATGGGGGGTTCCCCCTCCTCAACCAAACTTCCAAACCAATGCAAACCATCAATTGGAGGGGAGCTGACTTGTTGTTTATCCCACCTGTTTGGAGACTGTTTTCATTTGAGGGGTGAGGAATTGTAGAATATGTTTTGCACTCACTTGGCCAATTTTTTTAAGGCGTGCGGTATCGTAGAACATTCTGCTCTTATTAGGCCAGTTTATGTTTTCGTTTTTTGGTGGGGACGTCTCTGGCTGTTGCTGTTGGATCTTCTCAATCTAGTTTTGAAAGTCAAGGTTTGATTCCTCCAGTCTCTTCATCCATCCTTCATAACCAGAATCTCTGATGGCGTCCGTTTCCCCAGAAAACCCGGGGTTTTGGTTGCTGGCCATATAAAGAGGGCTGGATGTGGAGGGCCAAATTCGGCAGCGGCCTTCCAAAAAATCGACACTACATGCAGAGTCCAGAGAAGAGAGGCCCCCAAAAGGAGTTTTCTCTACAAAGGATGCTTGCTGTTGTGGTTTCGTGCACATAAGTTCACTGCATGGTGCCTGATAGGTTGGGCTTGGCAACATTTGTTCAAACAACCCACCCCCAGGTCCTTTGTCCCATGCAAACCCTTCGGTTCAATCGCCCAAACAGTACCAAGAAACACCGAATCTGCCTGTATTATGTCGAGTTGCCTGGGGTACAACGTAGGTCCTTTGCTTGCTCCCTTAACTTCAGGTTTGGAATAAGTAACATTCGGCAGATAGACAGATAGAATGATTCTTCACTCTCGTTGGCATGCTTTTAGGTTTTCATTGTTTGGGTTTGTTCATTTCTAGTTGGGGCTGCAAAACAAAACAGTCAGGTTTTTGCCACCATGCCAAGGGCTGTAAAGATTTGCAGGGTGTGCATTGTGACATGCACCGGGAGCTTCCAGATGCCAAGCTTCCCGAAACACGAAACCACTTCGCCGCTTCGCCTCGACGAGCTGAACCTTGCGCATGGCGAGGATGTAGCACATGGAGTTGGGGGTCTTTCGTGAACCTTGGGAAAATGTACGGGTTTGGCCTGTTCTAGGGTCTCCCCCCCCGCCCCAAAATGGCGGTTTTCAAGTTTATTTATTTATTTGTTTTAACCCCACCAAAAGGGGTACCATCCAAAAAAGACGAGCCACCCGTACTGTCAGTTCGGGGTTCACTTGGAGGCATTAAACCCAAACTGGTCAGCAAGAACCGGCATTGACCCAGCTGCAAACAGTCAGTGGATCCGGCTACAATCGAACAAGTTACAGGGCTTCTTAAAAACTACAACATTGGCCATGTAACTTACCTTTTCCGTGGGACCAACAGGAGGCCAGCATCTTGGATAGTGTTTAGGATGAGAACTCCTGTTTCGTGGCCAAATTTATCAGGTAGACGCTCAATACCACCAAGCACGGCGATGCCAGGTTGGGGAAGCTCTCCACCCGAAGCCCCAACCAACATCCATGCACTGCTCACATCGGGATGCCTTCTTGTGGCGACAAGCGGCCTGAGCCCGGAACTCTTGCCGAATTCTGAGCAAACCCGCTAAAAAGATCGGTTCTTGCCCCATTCGGGTGGCTGAATTCTCTTTTGTCTATGGGCAGTTTCAGGGGCGCAGAGATGAACCCCGGCCATGTGGTCCCGGAGCGCAGCTTTCGCGCGCCGGCGAAGCCGGCGCCGCCGCGGAAGCCGGCAGCGGTGGCGGTTGCTGGTGCCGCTTGGGGCGGCGCCTGTCGCTGCCATGGCGAGGCGGGGTGAGGGGTGGGGCCTCTTGGCCTCCTGCCTCTCTTGGTGGTTCCCAGCGAGTCGTCCGGTTCAACTGTGGCTTTGGGCTGTTTTTGTAGTTGGTTTAGTGGTTGGGTGTCCATTGAACCCCACTAAAAGTGTTCGACTTTAAGCAGGGATCTGAGGACAGCCCGGGAAACCGACCGCTTCGATGTCCTCGCCTGTTGCGCGTGCTTGTCTACTGGCTGCGTGCTTATCTATCAGGGAAACTACATACAGTACTAAGAAACCTTAATAGCGGTATTAAGGGTTCAAGTAAGGGCATTCAAGAATCCTCCAACAATCTTGGATCTTGGATCCAAATTCCTTGATCCCGAGTATTCAGGAAACTAAGTACAGTGCGAAGAAACCTCAATCAAGGTATTCAGGTTTCAGGGGCGGGGGGGGCGTTCATGGATCCAATAATTCCCTCAAAAGTCCCCCGGCTATCTTGGATCTTGGATCCAGATAGATTCCTTAATACCCGGTATTAAGCAAACTACATACAGTACTAAGAAACCTTAATCCCGCAAATTAAGGTTTGGGTGCGAATTTATTTCGGGATTTTTTCATTTTTTTGGGTTTGTTTTCCGTTTTTCGTCTTGGACAGACAAATGCTGTATTTTACAGCATTTTCTCGCGAAATTGACGTATTTTGCACTAGCCCGTCAACATCCCCAGCATCGTTTTCAACATCCCCCGCGTGTTCTGCCGCCATCCCCAGTATCACCAACAACTCGTGGGTAAAAATCGAAAAAGTAGCTGGCGCGTTGACGGGGTCGAACAAATGATGATTCAATTAGGAGGGCATTTCAATCCCTGTAAAAAAAGAAAAGAAAACAACTAAAAGGTAGCGGGGGGGTTGGGGGGGGGGGGCGGCAGCCCCCCCCCCCATGATGTTCGAAGAAGTGATGATTCAAATAGGGGTGCAGTTAAATCTTTGCAGAAAATCTAAAAAGTAGCGGGGGGGGGTTCGGGGCCGGCAGCCCCCCCATGATGTTCGACAAAGTGATGATTGAACTAGGGGTGCAATGATTAAAGAAAGGGTGCGATAGATCAAAAAGCAACGGGGTTGGCGGGGTGGCTTCCCCTATGATGTTGGCAGACTTGCATGCATACAGACATACATAGATTACATAAAGTGTTGTATTTTACGGCATTTTCTAGCGAAATTGGATGGTCGAACAAGTGATGATTCAATTAGGGGTGCTCCATCATAATCTGGAAATACAATGCGATTTCAAATCGGGATTTCCCATGCTTCGGAAACATGGTCATCAAGAAAATGAGGGGCGTGTTGCCCAGGAAATTCCTTGCATGGCTGATGCCGCACAGTGCCTCGTAGAGCTCGCAGGGTCCGTCAGGATTGACTCGGATGTCTCTCTTGAGCTCTCTGGCGAACTCTCCTTTGGATCATGTCGCAGGCATCGGGAGAACAATCGGCTCAATCTCTCTACTCTCCAGAGCAAGGATTCAAGAAGGGTGCGTTAGAATATACAAAGCAGCGGGGAGGTTGGGGGGGTGGCTTCCCTATGATGCTCGAAGAAGTGCATACAGCATACATACAGACATACATGACACACATAAACATAAATATAAAGAACACTTGCCGGAGAGGAACTGGTGATGCTGATTCCAAAGCCGAAAACCAATGAAAGTGTGCAAAAGCGAAAAAAACAAGCCCGGAGAGGAACTTGTGAAGCAGAGGACGCGAAAAGCCAACGCCACCAAACGCCGCATAAACCAGCGAAAAGCCGCAAAAGCCAAAGCGCGACCTGCCGGAGTGGAACTGGGAATGCAGAGGATGCGAAAAGCCAAAGCCAGAAAGCCACCAAAAGCCGAATAAACCAACCAGAAGCCGAAAAGCCAAGAAGCCCCGAAGCCAAAAAGCCAAGAAGCCAAAATGCCGAGAAGCCAAGAAGCCAAAAGCAAAAACAAATCAACAAAAAGAAAACTCCCTAAAAACAATACCCCTCCCACCATCATCTTTTTTCGACCTCGTTAATCCTCCAGCTACTTTGTATATTTTTACCCACGATTTGTTTGTGATGCCGGGGATGTTGGCCGGACATGCAGGGGATGTTGAAAACGATGCTGGGGATGTTGACGGGGCTAGTGTAGTCAATTTCGCGAGAAAATGCTGTAAAATACGAGACCAACAAATAAAAAACAACAACAAGCCAATTCCCGACTTAATTAAATCCGCACCCCTTTCCTACCCAAAAAGAAACAAGTGGTCAAGGGCGTTTGCCCCTGGTTTGGTGTGCCTTCTCTCGCTCAATGTTCAAAGAGTTTGTCCTTTAAACCCGTCATAGCAGTCTTTTGAACTCGTTTCAACACCGCGCTCGGTTAAACCGTTTCAACATCAGCCCAGCCCCGCCCTATTCACAGTTGGGCAACTATTGAATGTTCTCCAGCATGCTATGCAGCTCACTTGGCTTACAGCTTGCGCAACTGCTGTGATCACTCGCTCCTGACATGGACTTGCTTGATCTCGAAGGCTCGAGCATCGTGGGCAGAGGTTTGAATTTGTTGCAGCTGGATCATTCGGCCAGTTGAGCGTTGCCAGTCCGGAATCGGTGCAGGCAGAAGACAGCCAAAATGGTGGCGCGGCCGGCGGAATGGCCACATCTACAAGGTCGAGGGCTCCAAGCTCGATCTTGCCTGCCACGCAGCCACTGCATGACGGCGACTGGGGATTATACAAACCAGCCAACGACCCCCGCCTCGTGGTGCCATGGGCATCAGCCTCTCAACCTCGAACTCCCTCACCTCACTTAGGCCTTGGCGCAGTCTACGCAAGGTCCAACAAATATCAACGTCAGCCAACAGCTGAACGGGCTTTCTGGACCTGAACTTTGAAACTTTTGAAGTGAAGATTGGGCGGGCCGACCACCTGAAGCCGCTTCGCAAACTTAACATCCTGCAGCGTCAATTTCCCGAAAAATCATGGAGTTCCCACCTTTGAGTGCCCTTTGAGTTGAATTTGACCGCTGTTCTAGCATGACCACAGCTCTTGAACATCGGAAGCAGGTTGGGCTCCTGAAGAGGCGTGTTCTTTCATTTGCTGAACATATCTAGGCTGAAGCCCCTAAACAGCAGCTTCGAAGCCATCATGAAAAGCTTGGTGCCAGCGCAACTGTGCTCTTTTGGCCCTGTGATCTTGGTTTCGCGATGCTGCCGGCCAACTGGGGAACAACATGCATACCTGCAAACAATGAATTGCTGCGCATTTTGGGGCTCGCTGCGCGCATGACGCACGGACGAAATGGCAACACAAACCGCTTTGAGGCTTCAGACACCTGGGCTAGTTACTAGCATCTAGTTGTTGCGTTTCAAGGCCAATTCGATTTTGGCACACCTTTCTAATTGATGCTGATGCTGGCAAACATAGCGGCCCTCTTCACCTTACCAGCAAATAAGATGATATAATTAAGCCTGACGGTGATAACAGCTCTACCAAGGGACCTTGGTAGGTAGATTCTCGTTGTGCTGTTATTGCTTCCAAGTTCTGAGCAATGCTCCTGATATGGCCACATTGTCATGACGGAAGCCAACACACGCAAACAACACCTTTCAAATGCAAGTCAAGCCAGTCATAAGAATTGGAAAATCCGCAAAGCCAACAGAAAGGAGCATCAACAAAGCCAATGGGAGGGAGGAAGAGAGGCAGAGAGAGACACACACACACACACAGCTGGAAATAGAATGCTTTGACTGAACGATTTCCTGAACCCTGAGTTTTGTTTTTTTTGTTATGGCATCCTTGTTTGTTTGTTTTATTGACTTAATCGTCGTCGACGATCCTTTTTGCTCGTGTTGTCTTCTCTTTTCTGTGTGTTGGTTTCTCGGGGGCCCCGCTTGTTTTTTTGGCACGGCCTTGTTGCTGCGTGGTGGCTGTATTTTGGCTCGGGCGTGTCGGTCGGTCAGTCGGTCGGTCGGTCGCCCCGCTCCGTTGGTCGGTCGGTCGCCCGTCGGTCGGTTGGTCGGTTGGTGCTCCAGTCGGTCGGTCGGTTGTCCCGGTGAGTTGGTCGGTCGGTCGGTGTCTCGGTCGGTTGCCTTGGTCAGTTGGTCGGTCGGTCGGTCGGTCGGTTGCCCCGGTCGGTCAGTCAGTCAGTCGGTCGGTCGGTCGCCCCAGTCGGTTGGTTGCCCCGGTCGGTCGGTTGATCTGCCTGTCATTCAGGTCCGTGTTTCGGTCGACCTGCCTGGGTGACTGTTGATTGGGCCGTCGCTGACGTTTTCTACACACAGACACGCATATAAACACACACACACACACGTACGCACACAGGTATATACAGACATCCATACATACACACACACACACGCACACACGCACACAGATGAGGGCCGTCCTAAAACCCCAGTCTTCGGTTTTAATTATCGCCGAACAGGGAGAAGTAAAAGTTTTCAAAAGCTGTGCGCGCGCAAGGAGCGCGCAAGTGCGGCCCAAGGGACGCGCAAGGTTACAGTTTTGAAGGGTTTCATGTACTGATGTTGTCTAGCTTCATGAAAGGAGGTGATATTTTCTTGCTGTACTTGTGCCTTCCGAATCAGTCAGACGCCAAACGAAGCCAAAGCTTCTGCGGTCATGACTTCAACAATCAGCAATTGACACGACAAAATCCGCGCAAGCCGCGCGCAAGCCGCGCGCAAGTTGCGCGCAAGCACGAGAAGCCCCAGCAAGACATCTAGCCATGCTGTCTCGGATGTCCTTAGCGGCGCGGTTCAAGCAATGGATAGGCACCCGCAACATGCACTTTCTTTCTTTCAGGCTGTGTCCAAGCTGTGTGGCAGAGCCTGCTGTTCTTTCTGTTGGGTCAAGGGTATGTTGCTGGCATTGAATTGCCGGGAGCGACCTCAGCGGGAAAAGTCTTCGTGGGTTGCTGTGTGAACGACAAACACACTGCATAGAAAAGCTTGCGCGCAATCCACACGAAAACTTCGCAAACCGAGGTCAACGAAAACGAGTTTCTGCGCCACTGTGCGCGCGCAAGTACGCGCAAGTGCCGCGCAAGTGCGGCCCAAGGGCCCACTCGCGGGCAAAGGAATATAGGACAACCCCCAGATATATACAGACATCCAGACATACACACATACATACACACACACATACATACATACATACATACATACATACATACATACATACATACATACATACATACATAGATACATAGATACATAGATACATAGATACATAGATACATAGATACATAGATACATAGATACATAGATACATACATACATAGATACATACATATACATACATACATACATACATACATACATACATACATACATACATACATACATACATACATACATACATACATACATACATACATACATACATACAGACGTACATACGTACATACGTACATACGTACATACGTACATACGTACATACGTACATACGTACATCCATCCATCCATACATACTTACATTCATTGCATACGTACATACATACATACATACATACATACATACTTACATACATAGATACACTACGCCATGGTACACAATGTCACGGTACGATACGGTACGGTACGTAACGTAACATAACCCCGTGTACATACATTTACCGACACCACAGACGCACGCATATGCACGTATGTCTACATATATGTATCTATATATTGCTTGTACACCACACCTTATGAAAGCGGTGTGTAAGCTCTGCATCTGAAAGCGTTCTCCAGAGATGTCTTGCAGGCGCTGCTACTGGCGCTGGCGCTGCCTCGAGGTGCGAGCAAATGGGCGGAAGGGGCATGCGTCATGTGGGTGTGCGTGCGTGCGTGTCTGCGTGTGCATCAAAATAGGTGGAGCCCAAAAGGGGGATTCGACCTGGCTTCCCTGAACAACCAACCTGAACAGACCCTGAAACGGGGAGAAAGGTATCTCCTATATGGGTCCATAGTCAAAAGACCCCTTTACTTGGGGTTGACTGGGATGGTCATCCACCTGGTAGTAAGGATCCTTCGTAGCCATTGCAGTGATCCCTGTCAAGGCAACCATGACCAGGCATGAAATTTGACCGTGGCTCAGCCACAAGGCGAGCCATGGGAAGGACACGGGGACCTTTATACGTGGGTTTTCCTTGACGCAGGGTCAGCTCCACGAGGATGGTTAACAGTTTGATCGCCAGTGATTTGTATCCCCCTCCTGTCCATTAATATGGAACGCACCAGAGGGTCCCTTTCAAGGAAAAGTCGTCTTCCAGGACCCCTCTGCCAGGTTCCATGTCAGGACTGGAGGGCAGATGGGAGGCAACTCGATCTTGCCCACCCCTCGAGGCGCGCGAGCCGCGCGGGCGGCACGCGGCACACGCAGCTCGCGAAGACGAGGAGGGACCCGGATTTTTTGGGTTTGCGGTGGAGCTTTCGGCAAGTGGGTGTGTTTCTAAATGAAGGGCACCCATCGAGTTCCCCTTGCAAACCCCCAGAAAACAGACCAACAGGGACTCGCCACTTTCCTCGGTGGCTCCCAGCCATCCGGTTCCTGACGTTTTCAGGTTTTGAGTTGGCGGTCGGGTTTCCATGTGACCCCCAAGTTTTCGACTTGCAGGGAATCCCACGACAGCTGGGAGAACCCAGTTGACTAAGGGACCACGTTTAGTGGGCTCGAAGAAACGGGGCCGCCCACTTTGGGGCGGGAAAATGCCCGCCATGGGGCAAACCGATGTGAGCGAAGCGAGCGAGAGCTGAGATCGAGAGGTGCGCCGCCCAAAGGCACCTTTGAACGCACCGGGATGCGGATGTGGGGCGAGGATGCTCCTGTTTTGTTTTTCTCAGGTTGGGTTGGGGAAGCCTGACAGGCGTGTTTTTTGTTTTTCCTGTTGTTTAGTTGGACCCATTCAAGTGACATCTGTCAAAAAGTTCCGCATGGCGGTTTCCAGGGCAACCCCAAAAGCAATTCTGCGAAGCGCTCAACATGTAGCCGATTCAAGGGACTCAGCTTCCATTCGAGTTATAAGCCCGAAGAGCACCGTCCCAACAAAGGCACACCCATTCGCAACTAAACCCGGTGGTTGAGAGAATCTCCTGGGCCACAGTTGGGGAAGACGTTCATTTCTCAGGGTGCGTGTCGGGTTCGTGAGTATTTCCATGGTGCTTGTTTCTTTTTGTGGTCGGTTACAGAATATTCCAATTAGACAAGCAGCGGATTGGGCTTTTCTTTCAAACGGGGTGTCAAAATTGGGTGACCCTCAAAATGGGTAGGTTTTCTGATAGCTTTCCTTTTACCTTGGTACCAGCTCCGACAACACAGAAACACAGAGTGACTGGTTACCGGCCATCCGGTTCCTTAAGTTTTTAGTTGGTTTTAGTTGGTTTAGTGGTCGGATTTCCACTGAACGCGCAAGTATATTCAACTTTCAGCAGATCTCAAAACGGACAGCCCAGGTGGACCCTTTCTGCCCTCGTGTCTTGAACTGGATTTTCCAGCGTTTGGGGGGGGGCTGTCCCTGAGGCGAGGCCTGAAGTTTGGTGACGGACCCACCCGCCCCAGAGCCACCCTTGGTGAGTTTGAAAGACGGCTTGTGGCTGTAGGCACCAAGAATTGAATTGGTGGTGGTCAAGGTAGGGTTCGGGGTATGGAGGACTTACTCAGATTCCCACAAGAACTAGAAGGCTCCCCCAGGTTTGCGCAAAGGTAGAAAGATCCACCCACCTTCCCACAAGCACAAGTCAGGCCCACTCGATGTTCCACAACTCGCTCATTTTCCCATGCCCACTAGTGACAGCCTTGGCATGTTTCTGGGCAAACTAGAACGAGCTCACCGATTCCCAGGCAGGTTCCTTACTAGTTGCAGTTGGGTGAAAGTAGATGGCACAATTCCCTTTTTGGTTTAGTCATACCCTTCACATAGCCACACACAGGGAATTGCGCCATCTACGTACTTTCACCCAACTGTAGCGGTCTTCCTTACTTCCGGAGTGCGACAATCTTTTTTTGGGCGGGTGTGTTTGTGGGGGAGAGCGCAATTTGTCGGTTAAGGAGTCAAATCTTGGTTTTGTGGCATGAACCTGACTTGAAAGTCACAGAGTATTCACAAGGATGGGAATCCCACTTTTCCAGCCCCTGGGAATGAGTCTTTAAAATTGGAATGATCCATAGTTCTCCACCCCCAAACCGAAACTACCCCCCAGGGGTTTAATGGGATACGCAGCCACGATATTGCCTCTATACGAAGGGGATATTGTATATAATGGGGATATCCCCCAGAAAACCCCTGGGGTAGCTTCGGTTTGGGGGTAGTGGACACCATCTGAGCCACAATCAAAACCCGGGTAGATGAAGGTGCAGTCCCAGCCAGAAATAGTTGCGGCCGCCTTTTCAATTCCTTACATGGTTCTGGGTTCACCATTTCTGTACCAGGTCTTGATTTTGACTCATCTGAGATTTACACGCTGCATAGCGACTGAGGCGAAGATCGAGGCATGCCGGTGCCGCCCTCTGCAAATGGAGGCGCGACGGCGCGAGGGAAGTGCGGGTGGCTGTTTGCTTTGGTCTCAAAGGAAGTTGGAGCCAGAAGTTGTCACCAGGGTATAGGGGAGACTAGGGATATAGGTGTCCTTTTGATCGGCTTGGGCAAAGAAATAGATGGGTTCCAATGGTTTAGAGATGGCCTTACTACCCATGCACCCGGGAAACCCCTCGATTTCTCACCAAAAGGTCACCTATGCAGCCCTTATGGATCGACTTTTTGTTGCTGGCCCCAGACAAAATGGAAGAGCTACGGGGCAACCTGTTGCCACCTACGGTGTTTGTTCTGTTTTGGTTGTGACAAAGTTCGGCCGTCCTTCTTTGCCGGTGTGTTTTTGTTTCTGGCGGGAGGTCTCAAAATGGTTGGTGTCCTTTTTGGAACCCTTAAAGAAAACCACAACACCCCATCCAACCTGCCATTTTCACGGAGAGCTCACCGATTCGGGGAGTGAACCGAGCTCACCATGATGCAGGTCCTTCACTTTTGGATCCCGTATGTCAGATTTTGGAATACATGACGGATTTGGAGCCATAAGGTTCCCTTGCATTCCCTCGAAACCAGCAGGGTGAGTTGCAAGGTCCCAACCAATCACAACGGGGCTAAATAATTACCAGCAGTTTACCCTGTACTCATGACGAAACTTGTTTTTGCAGCACCCCAGATCCCCGACCCAATGAAAAGCGGAATAAGAAGAAGAAGAAGAAGCAGAAGAAGAAGAAGAAGAGGAAGCAGAAGAAGAAGAAGAAGCAGAAGAAGAAGAAGAAGCAGAAGAAGAAGAAGAAGCAGAAGAAGAAGAAGAAGAAGAAGCAGAAGAAGAAGAAGAAGAAGAAGAGGAAGAAGAAGCAGAAGAAGAAGAAGCAGAAGAAGAAGAAGCAGAAGAAGAAGAAGCAGAAGAAGAAGGAGAAGAAGAAGAAGAAGAAGAAGAAGAAGAAGAAGAAGAAGAAGAAGAAGAAGAAGAAGAAGCAGAAGAAGCAGAAGAAGAAGAAGAAGCAGAAGAAGAAGAAGAAGCAGAAGAAGAAGCAGAAGCAGAAGAAGCAGAAGAAGCAGAAGAAGAAGAAGAGGCAGAAGAAGAAGAAGAAGCAGAAGAAGAAGAAGAAGCAGAAGAAGCAGAAGAAGCAGAAGAAGAAGCAGAAGAAGAAGAAGAAGCAGAAGAAGAAGAAGACGCAGAAGAAGCAGAAGAAGAAGAAGAAGAAGCAGAAGAAGCAGAAAAAAACGAAGAAGAAGCAGAAGAAGAAGAAGAAGCAGAAGAAGAAGAAGCAGAAGAAGAAGAAGCAGCAGAAGAAGAAGAAGAAGCAGAAGAACAAGAAGAAGCAGAAGAAGCAGAAGAAGAAGAAGAAGCAGAAGAAGAAGAAGAAGCAGAAGAAGAAGAAGAAGCAGAAGAAGAAGCAGAAGAAGCAGAAGAAGAAGAAGAAGCAGAAGAAGAAGAAGCAGAAGAAGAAGAAGAAGCAGAAGAAGAAGAAGCAGAAGAAGAAGAAGCAGAAGAAGAAGCAGAAGAAGCAGAAGAAGAAGAAGAAGCAGAAGCAGAAGAAGAAGCAGAAGAAGAAGAAGAAGCAGAAGAAGAAGAAGCAGAAGAAGAAGAAGAAGCAGAAGAAGAAGAAGAAGCAGAAGAAGAAGAAGAAGCAGAAGAAGAAGAACAAGAAGCAGAAGAAGAAGAAGAGAAGCAGAAGAAGAAGAAGAAGCAGAAGAAGAAGAAGAAGCAGAAGAAGAAGAAGCAGAAGAAGAAGAAGCAGAAGAAGAAGAAGAAGCAGAAGAAGCAGAAAAAAAAGAAGAAGAAGCAGAAGAAGAAGAAGAAGAAGCAGAAGAAGAAGAAGAAGCGAAGAAGAAGAAGCAGAAGAAGAAGAAGAAGCAGAAGAAGAAGAAGAAGCAGAAGAAGAAGAAGCAGAAGAAGAAGCAGAAGAAGAAGAAGAAGCAGAAGAAGAAGAAGAAGCAGAAGCAGAAGAAGAAGCAGAAGAAGAAGAAGAAGCAGAAGAAGAAGAAGCAGAAGAAGAAGAAGAAGCAGAAGAAGAAGAAGAAGCAGAAGAAGAAGAAGAAGAAGCAGAAGAAGAAGAAGAAGAAGAAGAAGAAGCAGAAGAAGAAGAAGAAGCAGAGCAGAAGAAGAAGCAGAAGAAGAAGCAGAAGAAGAAGAAGAAGCAGAAGCAGAAGAAGAAGAAGCAGAAGAAGAAGAAGAAGAAGAAGAAGAAGCAGAAGAAGAAGAAGCAGAAGAAGCAGAAGAAGAAGAAGAAGCAGAGAAGAAGAAGAAGCAGAAGAAGAAGAAGAGCAGAAGAAGAAGAAGAAGCAGAATAAGAAGAAGAAGCAGAAGAAGAAGAAGAAGAAGCAGAAGAAGAAGAAGAAGCAGAAGAAGAAGAAGAAGCAGAAGAAGAAGAAGCAGAAGAAGAAGAAGAAGCAGAAGAAGAAGAAGAAGAAGCAGAAGAAGAAGAAGCAGAAGAAGAAGAAGCAGTAGAAGAAGAAGAAGAAGCAGAAGAAGAAGAAGAAGCAGAAGAAGAAGAAGCAGAAGAAGAAGAAGCAGAAGAAGAAGAAGAAGCAGAAGAAGAAGAAGAAGAAGCAGAAGAAGAAGAAGCAGAAGAAGAAGAAGCAGAAGAAGAAGCAGAAGAAGAAGAAGAAGCAGAAGAAGAAGAAGCAGAAGAAGAAGCAGAAGCAGAAGAAGAAGAAGAAGCAGAAGAAGAAGAAGAAGCAGCAGAAGAAGAAGTTTTCCTTTTGGTTTCCCTTTAAACAGCCTACCGAGCCTAAAGAAGACGCGCCACCCATTTGGGCCCTTCGAGTGCCACAGCCCGCCAGGCCTTGCTATGTCCCTGGACGGAGACCGCGCGAGGGCAGGAGAATGCACCCTAGCGTTTGGCCCGTTTGGAGTCCAGGTAACGCCTCAAAAAGTCCCTTATTTCGACAAGTTTGAACATTCTTTGCTTGGTGAGTTTGCCGAAACCGTTTTTTCTGCTGCAAATTCACACTTCTTTCCCAACGACGACAAGGAGGAGTTTGTTTCTGGCCCCGCCGCTACGTAATCGCGCGTTTGGACGCATTTCGTGTGTTGCATTTCGTGTGGCCTGCGTGGGACTTCCTAGACATGTATCACAAAAGCGACACATTTTGCATGGTATTTCACACGCTCGCGGGTTCGCGGGGGGGGGGGGGAGGAGGCGTCTTGGGGTGGGGTGGGGTCATAAGTGCCGCGCCGCGCGATCACGTGTATCGCGGGGGGGGGGGGAGGGGGGGGTCTTGGGGTGGGGTGGAGTCATAAGCGCCGCGCCACGCAATGTGAAGGAAAAGACTTTGCGGATTGTAGATGCGGATTTCTGTGTCCCTGTACCCTATCATAGAAAGTTCTTGTCTTGCAGCCGCATAATCATCGCATTGTTCGGTTACAAGTGTTGGAAGGTTTTGTTGGACCCACCATGGCTTGTTTCAACAGAAAGCGGACCGGGGCTGATCAAAGAATCGACATGATTGGTACCAAGTGTCTTTTGCCAACTATTCAGCTACGCATGGGGACATGTTCTTGGTACAGCTTTGGCTTCTGTTCTTTCGGCTGGTGATCCCTTTTGCTCGCAATCTTAAATCGCTTCGAAAGCACGAAACCTAGGCGAAAAGGACCTTTCCCCCATTTTTCCAGAAAAACGAGAGAACCACCAGACCTCCTTCAAGTTAGTTCTTCTGTTTCGTGTGGCCTGCGCGGCACTCGGCGACTACCTGCAGAAAGCAAGGCGGGTGGCCGCGCGGTTACGCGGCGGCGGCGCGTTGTTTCTGCTATTCTTCAACCAGGCCGTGTGTATTCAGCTTCTTACCTGGTTGCTTCTTTGAAGTACACGGTGAAAGCACACAAGGCAGCTGGTGATGTCGAGTGGCGTCCACTGCATGCCACTGTAAAGACCCCTCTAACCGGCGGCAGGAAGTTCATCACTTGGTTGTTGAAGCCTGCTCTCAGAAAGCTCCCACACCTGGTGGTGAACAGTGAGCAAGTGGTGCGCAGATTGCAGAACATGACTGTGAGTCCATCAGCAAGGCTCATTAAGATTGACATTAGAGACTTTTTCATGGAGGGCGATCACCTGCAGCTCATTGAAGCTTGTTCCTCTTCTGTTGAGAGTTCTTGGAGAGCTCCGTTCCGAAGCATTTTGCGGTACATTCTTGACACGCAGTACGTCAAAGCTTCTTCTGTCCCGGGGCGGCTTTTCAAGGTAAAGCGCTGGGCAGGCATGGGCTTACTTTGCTCTGGAGAAGTGTGTGATATGACTTTCTACAAAACTGTCGAAGAGCATATTTTGCAATTTCTGCAGCGCTGGGGCATAACTGAACATTGCCGGTTCCGCGACGACATCTTCATCGTTGCTGACGGTGGATTTGACTCGACCATGCAATTCATCCAAGCCCTCAAGCGAAGAAGTTCTGTTTGGGAGCTTAAGGTTGAGTCTGTGTCTCAGACTGAGGTTGCTTTTCTGGATGTGAGGGTTTTCAAGGGCAGCAGGTGGTTGTCTACCAGGTGTTTGGACACTACCATACACCACAAGATAACCGCGCAGAAGCAGGTGCTAGCAATCACAAGCCTGCACCCACCAAGCACACACCTAGCTTGGCCGCAATCCATGGTTCATCGCATTAAGTCCTTGTGCAATTCGCAGAGCAGCCAGAGGGGAGAGCTTGACCATCTTAAACGCATGTTGTCGGAAAGGTGTGGAACTAAGCATGTTCAGCTTGTGCTCGGCGACCAGCGACAACGTGTGCCCAGAACCCTTTTGCATGACACTACGCAACGACTGGTTTCAAGACTCATCATTCCATACCATCGGGAGTGGGAGATTGGAGCCATTCACGCAACCTTGCGGAAGGTGCTTGAGCGATATTCGAATATCTTACAAGCAACTTTGAACAGACCTTTGTCTGTAACTGTTGTGCACGCACTACAACGACGCCATTTGGACATTTTGCTCTGGAAAATGGCAGAAAGATCATGGCTGGAGGCTGGGGATGGAGGTGGCTAAACCTCAAGCTCAACGCGCCTGAAGGGTGACCTGATTTCTTTGGTTTGAGAATAGGCATTGCGGTTCACAGAAGCATTCTTTAGCTGGCTGACAGACAGTGCATTTCAGAGACTTATCAGCTTGCTTGTGGTCACCACAATTCAGTGACACATCGGTTTGATTTATTTGCATTCAGAAGCATGTTTGTCTTGATGATTGCCACAGCATTGTGACGCATCGATCGGATTTGCATTAGACATTTGCAGCGCTCATCTCAAGTGGTGAGGACGTAAACCCCAGTAGGCTTTTCCAAGAAGCCTGGAGAGAGTGCTTGTGCGCCTTGAAAAGAGTGCCACGTAGTGCGGTGCGAGGTTTGTCCTCATAGGTCTGTCCTTTTTGGTGGGTTTGCTTAACCAGATAGTGGTCGAGATGGGGGTTAATTGCCCATTTACCAGGGAAGCCCATCCATTTTTCCAAAAGGCCACCTATGTTTGTCCTAGGTTGAATCCCGGATAGTAGACAAGGACAGGGTTTATGGGTTGAATTCCGAACTCAAAGTATCCAGTTTCCAGAAAGGATGTCCACCCTTGTCGAATTGAGACAACCAGTCTTGAAGGTTGGGTTCCAAGATTGAGCAAATCCGCAGGCTGGCAATCAACCTGACGAATACCTTCATAGTTGTGGAACATTGGGCTTTAGGTTCAGTGATGCGGGGTCCTCCAAGTGGTGAGGTTGTAGGAATTATCCATACTGGTATCACAGAAAGGGACATTTCCCTACGACTGAAGACCCTCAGCGAAATGTCAGCCAACTTTTGCAACGCCGGCGAAGCACCTTGCGAATGGTGTCACTTTTGGGCGTGCGACCTCACACATGAAGGCTCTCTTGGGGGTTCCCCTAAACAAAGACACCCGTAGGGGGCTTCTGCTTTTTTATGATTCAACTGAGTTCCTGGACTTTCGTCACTCTTTGGCTTTGAAGTTTGGACCACCAACAAGCTCGAAGTTGGCCAAGCCACTCAAGCTCGTCAGCTCCAAGGCCTCATGCCGCGGCTTATCTTAGGCTCCAGGGATAGTCGTCCGCCCCCCCCACCCCCCCCGGTTGACACCTCTGGAGGCTTAGGGAGAGCATCGCCAGGAGCAGTGGCCCTGTCGCTGCTTGAGCCGTCGGGCGGCCGGAAACGGGAGGCAAGGGATGGGGCCTGAGGTTGGCAGTGGGGTCAGTTGGTCTCGGCTGATCCACGCCGTCGATCGATGAGCCGAGATTCATAGGACTTCACAAATACCTGCCGTTCGATTGCAGTGGATTTAGTCCTCCTTGAAATGCGCCCTACACCTGCGAATGTCCAGCAAGTCACCGTTTTATGACAAAATGGTGGGCGGGGGTCCAACACGGCACGTTTTCAGGGCATGAGTACGCTACTATCCATGTTTAGCTCCTTTGGAGTGTCTGAATGTCACCTTCACGCCAACTTTCGAATACCTTCACCAGATGTAATGCGATTCATGGGGCAGGCTCTGTTTCATTCCTCTCATTTCAGCAGGCTCTCAGCCTGTGCTGAGGCAAGAGAAGAGCCTCCAAAAGTGGGGGGGGATCGATCGGTGCAATGGAACCCACCAATGGATCAACTGAAGGGGAAGTCCAGGGACTTTTCGGCCGCGTTTTTTTTTTTTTTTTTTTTTTTTTGGATTCAAAGGATCCGAATCCTTGTAAAGTAGGTGGTGCTTGGATGTAGCATTCTACCGGAACCCTGAAGAAGTGATATACTTCCATTTTCTGCAATGATTATTTTTCCTCTTTTCCCCCGGTTCGGTTTTAAGGGAATCTATCACTACTGGACATATGTTTATTTTTCCAGGGGACTTAAGCACATGGAGGTTTTCTGTTTGCTCCCCATTTTTGGGGGAGTCCCCCATAAGGATCCCTTTCGCTAGCAGGAGCAGCAGATGAAGAAGTTCCGGGAGTGGCTGAAAGAAGGCGCCTTGTCTGCACGCAAGCTTCCAAGTTGCGCTGGTTTCATGTCGGGGTGATTGGACTCAAATCCAGCAATACTAGATCAAATCAGCGAAAAGATCAAAAATCAAAGCCAAATGGACGCTCCGCAATACTAAATCAAATTGACGCTCAAATCCAACAATACTAAAGTGGAAGGCTTCCAACCCAAGTGTCATACTTCCCTCCCAACAAACATGGAAATGGAGAGGCGCTCTCAAGATGTTAGTGAACCAAAAGTCGCCTGTGCGCTTCCATTGAAAATGCTCAGTAGGGAATGACCCAGGGTGCTGGGAATGAACCTAGGGCGATTCCCTTGAAGGAAACCATACAGTGGGTGGACGAAATCCTGCACCACCCAGAAAACCAGGAAATTATGATTCCCCTGTAAATTCCAACCAACTATGGTTTCAACCATGGTTTCCAAGTAGCTCGAAATGGTTTTCGTAACCATGCACAACAAATGGGTTATAGGAATCAGAGAGCTTTCACCCCGCAATGGACAGGCGTCTTCATCATAGAGCCCAACAAGTGTTTGTCGTGTTTACGGCCTGTCAGATCACCAGGTCATTTAGAGAAGCCCAAAGGAAAGGGCTGGTCTTTGAAGAATGCCTTGAAAGGGACCCACCAATTCACTCTCTGAGTTCACTCAGGACGTGAACCCGCCAACATCCCGCCTTCCAGAAATTGGAGACCTCCAATTGATGGTGTCAAGTTCCGGAGTCCCTTTTACACCACCCTCAAAAGCATTCTTTTCAGCTGGAGCCGTTCTTTTTGGGAAGCCATCAACCATGATTGGTGCCCTTTGCCAGGTTGAGCCACCGATATTTGGTCTGGCCCCATTATTTTACCATGATCAAAATCACCCCGAAGTGGTAGGCTAAAGGGAAATAACTTTATCCTATGACTTCTATGATAGCCAGGAACAGTCAGAATAATGGTCCCGAAATTTGGCCGCCAGTTGGAGCCTCCAAAACACGAAAAGATCTTCCCTTAGGTTGCACCACCGAATTTAAGCCGCCAAAAAAGGAAACGATCCACCGATCCACCCAACGAAGACGGCCGATTCGTGCGCTTCGTTGAGAGCTTCAGGTGGCGTGGATCTACAGGGCGTGCGCTTCCGACAGTCCGCTGGAGGCGAGGGATTTCGAAAGGGGGCAATACCGAGGGGAGGCGGACTGGGGATGGGACCATGCACACATATGTGTACTTAAACCTGTATGTGTATATGTATATATGTATAAACGTGTATATATATATATATGTATATGCATATGTATATATATATATGCATGTATGCAGATACATAAATGTATAAATGTATGAATGTATAAGTGTATGTGTATATGATCATACGTGTATAAATACATTTAAGTCCTGGAGTGCTTGACGAAATGCGGCTCCACATGCACAGGCACACAACAAGTCCAAACAAAAAAGTCCAACCCCACAGCTTCCAAAAACATGCATCTGCACAAAAAACAACTTTGTAAGAAGCAGCTTGTGAAAATAGGACCAGCACTCGAAAACATAATCAAACAACAGCTTTGAAAAACAAAGAAAGAAAAAAAGCAACAACTTGTGAGTCACTTGCTCAAAACCTGGTATTAAAATGGTCGTAATCCCAGAACCATGCTTCAAGAATTAAGAAGGCGGAATCCCGCAACTATTTCTGGCTGGGACTGCCCCTTACTAACCTTCATCTACCCGGGTTTTGATTGTGGCTCTTGTAAAAATAGGACCAACACTCAAACATAATCTGCTGAAAAATTCTATCCTGAGGAAGAACATACTGTAAACACCATCATTTCGCACGTGTAGCCCAAACACATCTTAGACCACTTGCTCGGCGTGCAACATAAACAAACAAGATGCTTTCAAGCTGGGCGGGAGAAAGCGGGAGGGGGGTTCCATGCTCCCAACGTGACCATGTTGATTCGTTTTTTTGTGGGACATATTGACTTTTGAGATTTGAGCGTGCCGCTTTTTAGAGGACCCAACAAAATGGGCGGTTTTCCTTTTGGCTTTAACACCACCAAACGGGGGGTATCTGCACAAACAAGACACCCCCCATTTCTGCTGAGTCCGTCAATTATTTTCAATCGCGTTTTCTTCACATTGTCAGCTACCCCCCCCCCCCCCACGATGTAAAGTGGTAGCCCCCGAGGCCCAGAGGCCAGAAGTTCTTTAGGTACCCGGCAATTGGTGGCTTGGCGAGTTGGATGTGAGCCGCCAGATTGGGGAAGGCGCCCCTCCAAAGCAAGCCTTTGCTCCACAGCAAGTAAGGCAGGTGACCCGCTGCCCTGGGAGCTTTTTTATTTTGTCCCCAACAGCTGAAAGCGATTTGGGGTCCCTGCCCCAGAGATCGGCTCGTTCAATGTGGTTTTTCCAGCTTTCAGGGAGGGTTCGAACTGAGAGTCGGGACCTGTTGGGGATACCACCTGCGCTTCTTTTTTCTTTTCTTCCCAACACGCTTAAAGTCCAGGAGCCCGGAGAAAAAGTCTAACTCGTTTTTTTTTTTTTTTTCTGAACCCCTACATTTTTCCCTGCACTTTCCGTTTTGGATCATCCTGGCTTCCTGGCTTATCTTGCTGGTGCGAGAAGTAGGGAATGAGAAATGGAATGAACCATTTTGGGATTCCCTGAAAGGAAACCATCAGTTGGATGGTTTATAGGGGTCTATTCATTTCTCATTCCCTGCATCTCTCGCACCGATCGCAAGTGTTGTCCTTTTCGCGAGGTGCCGCAATATGAGGCTCCCAGGTTGATCGCCTCAGCTTCTCTCTGGGTGCTTTGGAGGGGCTCCTTTCCCTTGACCCTCTACAAGAAGCAGCGGTGCGACACCACCAAGTACGGGTTACCTGATCTGCGTCCCCTGGATTCGCTCCTCCTGCCTCGGGATTCGGGATTCGAGATCGCTCAGGCTGGGGCCTCTTTGCGGGCCGTGCCTTCCGCGAGGCGTGGGGGGGGGGGTTTGACGGTGTGTCCGGTTCTACTTCTCCCTAAACGGCACGGACCCAACAAGATCCGATGTTCCCAAAAGGGGGAAAACCTGAAATTTTGGGAAAATCCCATGGGATGTGTGGGTTCTATAGAACCAACCATTTGCCGAGTATGTTACGAACATTTTGGGGTAGACTAAATGTGCAGGTTTTAGTCTGTTTCCGCTTTAGTGCAACCCATTTTGGGGTTGCCCTATTTGCACAACCACCGCCATGTGATTTTTCCGGTTCCGTGCCCGTGTTTGGCCTTGCACCGGAGTCCACGAGCAATAGCACCCGACCTCCGGTGGGTCCTTTTTTAGGATTGCCCCAAACCACCCAAACCACCCAAACTAGGCCACAACTCACGCAACCACATCCCTAAAGCAACCCTAAAGGCACCTCTTAACCAGCAGCAGCACACCCAACACAAATTAGCTCCAACCCCAAATCCACCCCAGGTCAACCCTAAACCCGCCCAACAGCGGGCTTCGCCTAAATCAACCCCAAACCTCCCCAAGACCCGCCCTCATGAAGATCTAAGCCAGCCCCCCCCCCCCCCAAATAAAAACCAGCCCCGAACAACTCCCAACTGCCACCCAATCAGAGCCAGTAGGCAACTCCAGGTCCAAGTGAAGCGGATGGCTGGGGATGTTGCCAGCCCCAGGAAAAAAGACGCCTCTACCCCCCCTGACCAAGCAGTGCGGAGAGCGGAGCATTCGCTTCAGGGCGAGGTGGTTTTCGAGGTGCCCCGAGACCTTTGCATCGAGGCACGAGGGGTAAAAGGGGCGTGGGTTCGTGGGAGCCACAATCAAAACCCGGGTAGATGAAGGTTAGTAAGATACCGGGTTTTGATTGTGACTCACGGGGTCTCAAGACATGGGGTGCTCATCAAATTCCACTGTGACGTTGGGGTCAGAATGGGTATGTCTTTTTCGGAAATGGGTATATACGTATGTCTTTGTTTTTGACGGACCGCCCCCCCCCCCCCAACAAAAAAAAGACAGAGAGAGGTTGTTTTCCTCTTGGCTTCCCTTTTAAACCACCACAAAAGGGGTACCCGCAAAAAGAGGCATACCCGAATGGCTATCGTGAACTATGGCTCACCTGCAAACTGCGTTTGGGTCCTCTCGAACCAACGTTTCGGGTACGTCGGTCGGGGCATTCGCTGGACTCGGCGCATCGCTAGTTGAAGGGCGATAGCTCAAGGGACACCTTTTCCCCGGAGGGCAGCCGACGGACTTTTTGGAGCAAGCCTGGTTTTCGCTTTTCTTCCAAGAAGGGATTGTAATCCAAGCAAAGCGGAGGCACCGGTTTTGGCCAAACACCAACAAGGAATTGTAATCCAAGCAATTTGCAGCCCCCTATTCAAAGTGCTCTTTGTCCAAAACTTGACCAGCTCTGGTCTTGGCGGCTGGGGCTGGGATTTGGCAGCGTGACACAGTTGCCGAGCTTTCAACCTAGCCGTACACGTGAGCGAAATGGCCGGATCCACTTGGCTGCGGCTCAAAAACCGTTGCCCAAAATGGGACCCTGGTAAGTAGAAACATGAACCAACACCTGCGTAACCCCAGCTGTTCCGTTCTGAGCCACATCCACTTGACTCCATTCCCCTCTGTTCTCCGTTCAGGCAAGCACCGTGGGGAGGTAATCAGACCCTGTTTGGTGGCTTCTGAGTTGGATCGCAATACCAAGCTTTTGCAGCCACTCGGCTAATGTGTCCCGCTTCATCTTAGCCCTACTAACATGTATTTTTTGGGGACCAACTTAATCATGGCTCATTACTCCTTGTGGTGATAAAGTCCTTCGTACTGACAAGCTTGAAGTGGGTTTGAGGGGGGCTTTGAATGGGCTTATGTGGTATCCCCAAGTGACCCCCTAAGTTGCCCCCAAGTTACTCCCCTACAGAAAACACGCAACGCCAGAACCCACCCATTTGAAGGAACGGAAACTCCTTTTGGGAGTCTCAAAAAAAGGGTTAACCTCAAAGGGAAACCAGCCGAGGCCATTTTGGGGGGTCACCTATTTTGAGCCACACCGCAGAAAAGATGATATGTCCCACTAGTGGGAAAAGTGAGCCTTGGTCATTTGGGGGCCGAATGGAATATTGATCAATCCCCACATGCTTAATTAAACCGCTTGTGCAATAGCTGTTTCGGTCAATCCCAGAATTTACCTCTTGGATAACCAGGTTAGGAGAGGCAGATTTGTGAAACAGCACGCATTTGGGGAAAAAGAACGAATCCCCCCTTGCCCCCAACTTGCCCCCACTTGCCCCCAAGGTTGCACCCCCAAGTTGCCCAAGTTACTCAGGTTGAACCCCAAAACCCGCCCATTTGTAGAAACCCCAAGAAGTCGGATGCCCCCCCCCCCCCCCTTGGCTTTGGTTTCCAGGTGCCAGCCGCAAACTTCGAGCTGGGGGAGGACGACCTGGTCTTCGCCCGGGCGCGCGACGCACGACGCGCGACGCGCGACGCGCGCGCGGCGCAGCGCAGTCGGCTGGTTGGGTTCGTATGAGGACCGAAGTTTGGAGACACGGGGGGTCTGCCTTTTTTGACCCGACCAGGCTGACAGTTGGCGATTCGATTTGATGGTTTCCAGGCAACATGTTGTCCATGTCCGGAGTGGTGGTTCCAAGTGGGTGGCACGGTGATAGACCCTGTTTCAAGTGCATTCTTGGCCTTATGGAAGGTAATGTCTCACTATGCCTGCTACGAGCGGTAAATAAACAGGACCGCGCCCCTTGTGTAAGGTACACAAGGCATCCATACATCCAAGCACCATACTTGAACATGACCTTTGGCATGGTGCCGCAAGTGAGACCGAAAGGAGTCCAGTAAACAATTAGGTATGCGTGAAAATTAAACCACCACAGAACCGCAGGTTTAGTCCTTGGTTTCCATTTTGGGTACCTATGTTTGCAGGAATGGCTCTTTCTATGAACGCCCGCCTCATTGAACATGCAACATTTTCTGATGCTGCTCTGGGTATGCGGAGAGGGGAGTAGATGGAGCATGTCGTGTGGCGCAATATGACAAGCCAAGGATACCTGGCCACATCACTATCACGTGCGCGTTTTGTTTGCTTTACATAAAGGATCCCCAACCTGGCTTCGGTTTTCCTTTTGGTTTCCCTTGCAACACCCCAACAAGGGCCCCCCACCCAATATGTTTGTTTCATTCTTCCACCGAGCGGGGAATGGGGGAACGAGCGCTAGAAAAACCATGCCCTACGGTTTCTTTCCCGGAATCCCCAGGTTCATTCCCAAAACCCGGACCCGGTCATTCCCTGCCTATCGCACTAGCAAGACGTTTCACCTCCCCTCAGCAACTCACCCAAGAGGTTGGTTCCAAAGTACCAGCTCAATGGGGGACTCTCCAACTTGGGTGGTTTCCTTTTACAACCCCCAAAACAGCAGGTACCAACACCAAAAAGGACAGACCCAACTGGTCTGGTCCCTTCTGGGGCCGCACCGAGCGCTCCGAGCGAGCGTTCCTTGCCGCGCAGGCGGCGCGGGAGGAGGACGCGGACGCCCGGCTGTCACCGGAGCAGAAGGAGGCGGTGCTGTCACTGTGCCTCGTCACAAGCAGAACTTCCAAGGCGAATCGGCGGGATCAGCCTGACCTTTGCAAGCCAAAAAAGTGGCAAAGGGGCGTGTCACCTTGGTGGTTGGGAAATTGGTTCCTGGTGCTATTCCAGATGGTCATTTGATTGATCTCACCTTCCGTTTGATTTGGCTCGGAAGCGGCCATCCGGTTCCAGAGGTTTTTAGATGCTTTTAGTTCTTTTAGTGGTGGTTTCCACTAAGTTGATCAAAAGGTCCGTAGTACATGGGATGATCATTGGACAGCGGCGAAAAACGTGCAGGGAGAATCGGCTGCATCGATTTGAAGCTTGTCCTGGTGGCTCGGAACCAGAAATCCCGCTCCTGAGGGTTCCATTTCGCCCACGAACAGCTTGCACTTTCGCAGAGGGGTCGAGACGCAACTTTGTTTGAACGCCTTGTTTTTGTTGCTGAGGATTCCAGAGAGGATCATTTGCCTGGCTCAACGCCATGGTTGGGCTGATCCTCAACCTCCTCGTTTCGGTCGAAATCGACCACCCCTGGATATCTGCATCTACAGGGCGGGTTGCTAGCCACAAAGTGGAACCCTGTTTTTTGAAGGGGTGAGGAGTCTCATCCCTTTGCAATCTCTTTGGAAGCTTATCTCGAAACTTGAAATTTCCTAAGTTACGGTCAACATCCATGGTCAATTTGGGAGGAACGCGGGAGACTGACTAGAACAACCCATAGAACATGGAAACATCCTTTCTAATAGTTTGGGAGTCAGAATTGCCATATGGAATTGGCTAAGATTTGTTTTGTATGCTCCAGCTTTGTTTTGTGCACATCAAGGTTTCCTCGGCCTTTCTCAAAACTAGGGGTCCCTTTTTGCACGGTTTCAAGGGGAAACCAAAAGGAAACCAACGAGCCGAAGCGGCCCCGAACTTTTCGAAACACCCATGTACATTCATAGATATATCTATCCATGTATATATATATATAGCACAGCTGTTGTGGGGGAACTCATATCATTTTTGGGAAGCACCCTCCTGTTGTCCTAGGTCTCGGCAGCTGCTGGAGCGGCGGAAGAACAACGAGCCCTACATGGCAGTGCTGCCAGCACTTCGGAAGCAGGGGGCATGCCCCCAAATGTTCATCCCAAAGCATAGAAACCATGGAAGCCATTGGGAACCATAAACCATGGGAACCATAGAAATCATGGCGCACATAGAAACCATCAAGAACCATAAACCTGGGGAACCATAGAAACACGATAGAAAGCATGGGAGCCATTATCAAGATGGAATTGGGGGAGGTAGGTGACCCTTGGTTTCCCCCACAAAAGGGAAGACCAAGACAAAGGTAGGCGGGGACCCCCCCTTGAGCTAGGCGGGGATATTTCTGCAGAGCTCCTCTGATTACATTGCCCTGCAAGGTGGATTCCCTTGCCCACGAATTTGGCGAAGAATCCATTATTTGATTCCTCTGCAAAACTAGCATGGGCTCATTCCCTGAGTTTTCAGGCGAACATGCGGGTGTTGGGTTTCGTTGTAAAGTGGATTGGCCACTCGAGGTAGAAATCCCCAAGTCTCGGGAAGTGACACTTGCCACCTTTGCTTCGAGTGAAATCCCGGGGTTTTAGAAGGCCGCTGAGTAAGAACATGGAACTCCAAGAAAGTCCCACAGAAGGAGAACCTCGAATGATGGCTCTTTGGGTTCCATGTTCTGCAGAGTACCACTTGGAGGTTAGCCATCCGGCGGTTCCTGTGGTCTTGAGTTGTTTCTATTGGTTTCGTGGTTAGTTTTCGTTTCCACGCCACTAAATCTTAAACTTTTAGCAGGGCATCTGGGAGCAGCCCAGCCTAAGGTAGACTACGCCCACGGGTTGTTGCTTTGCCCAATTGGCTCCAACATAGCTGTTGTTTTGCATTTTCTCAGCATAGAAGTAGGACAGAGGAATGTCCAAACCGACTGAATTCAAGATTCCCTGGAACAGTTTGGCCTAAAGCTTTGAGATTGTCTTTGGACCTGCGCTTTTTTTTGCTGCTTTCCCCAAAGCACTGACATCTACACTGACACACACACACACACAGGCACATCTACAGGTGTACCATGTCGTCTACACGGACGGTGTCATTTCTACTCTGCATGTCTCTTTCCTCCACATGTCTGAACACACTGCAAAATACAGTGTCGTTATTGATTCGTCACCTATGCTAGCAGATGTTTCGTCTTTCGGATTGACAGGCCACACCTCGAACACGGATTCCGTTCTCGCATTTAAGTATGGCTTTGCTTGACAACACTGGGTTTTACAACGGTTTTAAGTAGACGTAGCAATCACATTGGACAACTTGGGTGCATTTTGCAGCTTGGATCTCTGAAGCTACACAGGTGAGCCACGATCAAAACCCGGGTTGCTGAAGGTTAGTAAGAGCCAATCCCAGCCATAAATAGCTGCAGCCGCCTTCTTAATTCTTTACATGCTTCTGGGTTCGCGATTTTAATACCGGGTTTTGATTGTGGCTCAGTTGAACAAAAAACGGTACGCCTGAAGATGAAAGCTCTGACATCTGCACAGGCCGAACAAAACAAAACAGAAACTCCAGACCAACTCCCGGGAGTCTGGGGATGCTGGCTCAGAGCTTCTTTTTTGTGCTTTGTGGGCCTTACCGCATGTTTTGGAGCTTTAAACTGTGAGTATTTCTTCTACTCTCTTTTTTGCGGGGGGGGGCCGGTGCAGGCTTCAGATCAGGTAACCCTTAGTTGGTGGTTTGGATTGGTGGTGGTTTGGATTTGGATTTGAACCCCTTGCTTTTATAGAGGGTTGATGGGGTTTCCCTTTCCTTAACGTCCAAACCACCGGGCGCCAAACCACCAACTAGGGTAAATCTGATAGGTGGGGTTTGTCTCAAACTTGGGCAACCCCGCTGAGTTCCTGGACTTTTTGTGTTTTTGTTTTTGGGAAGTAGGGCTGTTTGCCGCTCCTTGTCGTCCAAACCATCGGTGCAGCGCCATCAGCATCATGAAACATAGAGATCCTTGGTCCAGCCGGCGACTTGTGCAGCCAGCCGGACCTCAGCGATCGAAACCTCTCCCGAGGACCCTCCGGCGCTGCACCCGCTGCAGCTGCGGTGGGCGCCCAAACTGGCGGCGGGCTCTCGCCTGCTGCAGCGCGCCTCCGGTGCAAAGAAGTTGAGGGGAAGGAAAGGTGTTCGAGCGAAAACTTCAGGTACCCCACTTGGCCATGGGCAGAAGCTATGGCTCCATTTTGGGGTGGGTGAACATCCATTTGCCACCTATTTCACCAGGGTTTCGCTGGGTTTTGACCCAGAGCCACTTCGAGGGGCGATTTGGAGTGGTGGGTTCCCTCTCCGGACCTTGAGAAGTGGCAATTAAACAGTTGGGCGGAAGGGAGCGAAGGCGTTCCGGACACCACCTCTTTTTTTTTGGGGGGGGGGGGGAAATGGGCTTCTCAAGGTTGGCCGAATTGGACACATCGGAACATATGATTTTTGGTGGGCCAAGCTTTTAGGATGACTGAGTTAGTTAGGCTTCCCCAGGCGATTTTAAGGTGGGGGAGACTCCATGGTTAGTTTGAGGGAGTATAGAAGCCGATTGCCTAACCCCCCCCCCCCCCGAAAATCACCAAGGGCTTGCATGTTTTTTTTGTACTGGGGGGTTCAGTGGGTGCTGCTGACCTTTTGGGGATGATTGTTCTACCTCGCTCGCGCGTTGCCATGGCAGAGGGTTTTTTCCATCTGGCCGACAGGTGGGATGTTTGTGGAAGGAAATGTACGACTAGACCAACAGGTGGAAGCTAGGTCAGTAAAAGGGTGTGAACTATGATCTAGGTTTGGTTAGGTAGGCTGGTTGATTAAGGTTTAACAGGTTGAGATAAGGTGACTTATCGGTTGATCCATCTCGAGGCGCAAGTTGAGTCTGAACAGATGGGCAAACAAATCGAAGGTTTGAGGTGCTTTCCCCAGACGGAAGCTCCTAGGCTGCGTGGGTCGGGTCCGAGTGAGTCGCTATTTCGATGGGCGACCGTGTGTCCGTTTTGTGATCCGGGTCATTAAGAAGAGAAGCTGAAAGGAAGTCCGCGCATGGGGACACACATACGATTGCCACCCTTCAGGTCAGCCGCTCTGGTTATCATTTCTGTTGCTCCCAGACGTAGGAAAAGACCAGCCCTGAAAACAGGGGTTGCTTCCCCATCCCAATGGGGTTCAGCTGGTTTCCTTCCAGGTTTCCATTTCAGCAGTGTAGAAATCAGGGCTTCCAATTTGGGCACATACCCGCCATTTGTTCCTCCAACCCAAGGGCACAGGTCTGTGGAGGATAAAACATGGTCCCCAAACTATGAGAAAATGAAGGGGCAACACTATTGAGCTGGGGCCCAGCCAACGAGCCAATGGCCCCTACACAAATTGCGTCAAAAAGCGTGCAAATGCTATCCACAAAAGGATGTGACTCATGTCAGCCTGCTTGCTTGATGCGTCCGAGGCATGCATGCGACCATCCAGGAGCGCCGCCTGGCATACATGACTTGTGTGGGACAGGCCTATGCGCTTCCTTGTTTCTTAGTGAGAGTCGTGAGCAGCAGCTCCTTTCGTCCAACAGCAACGGTCACATGCTGTGGCAATGGCAGTGGTTTTCGCTGTTCTGGTTGCCCTCATCGTCGTTGTCGCTGTCGTCGTCGTTGTCAGGTGGCTTGTCGAGTGGTCATGGTTATGGTCGTGGTCGTCCTGTGGTGTGTCGCGTGGTTGTGGTCGTCGTCGTGGCTGTTGTGTTGGTGGCTGTGGTTGTTTGCATGGATGTGGTTTTACGGTTTTACGGCTTGACGGTTTTTACGGCTTTACGGTTTCACGGTGTTTGGTTGTGATCATCATGGGCCGCGTGGCCGTCGCGGTTGAATTCTGGTTTGGTGATCTCCCGGCTCGCCGAGGCGACGAGGCCTGCATGGAGGAGCTCTTGCCCGTGGAGCGGGCCCCTCGGTAGGTGGGTTGGGGGGGGGCCGGAGGGGGAAATTCATTCAGCAGCGACATGATGTCGTTTTGCTGGGGGGTGGATTCCTCGTTTCCGCTCGGTGAGTTGTGGTTTTCCCAGAAGCTTTCGGGCAGTGGTTGTTTGCAAAAGCTTTTGTTTTGTTCACTGCTCAGCCCAAAGCAGATGGATGCTCCGCTTTTCGTTTCTCGCGGGTTAGTCACGCCACAGATCGTGCAACAGCCGAGCCTGCTGAGTCTGCCTCACAAGTACCCACAGAGCAGCGGATGGGCTCCCATTGGTGTCCTTTTGATGGGTTAGTTTGGTTAGAACTAGATGGGGTTTACTGGTTAGCTGGGTTTTATGCCCCGTTTACCAGGGCCACCTATTTGTTCAAGAGAAGGCCACCTATGTTTGGCTCTTTAACAACTGGGCATGGACCGGAGTTGGCCATCCCCGTCAAATTGTGTGAAGCTCACTCCTTCGGTTCGCAGTCGGGAAGGCCGTCCCTTCCACCGAGGCAGACCCATATGGGTCTGGGTCAAATCAAACCCACCAAAAAGCCGCAGGTTTCAGTCTTTGGTTCCATTTACCGGGGCAAGCCATTTTGGGGTTAACCACAGCCATATCCCCTTTGGAAAGTACCCATTTCCTCAGACCTTGGGCTCAGCGAGCCAGAAGAGTGGAATGATTCAGAAACTCTGCGGGTGGAGATCTTCGTAGAAAAAGTTGGGGTCAACGAAGCAAAGGACGCCCTTTTCCCCAAGAGCTACCTTGTGACATGCCCCCACCTGATGCCCCAGCCTCGCCCGTGGGAAGGTGAAACAAATCCCAACGTTGCGCCCGGAGAAATCTACCGCGTGGAATGGTCCCTCCAAAAGAGAGCCGGAGTCCCACAAGGGCGATCAACATCAACCAGGGGGTAATTCTCTCGGCCCTATGTTTTTCCTATGCTTTTTTTTTTTAGTTTTTTTTCCTTGGTTTAGTGGGGGTTTCCATTTAACCCACTAAAAAAGTCACTTTTTGCAGGGGATTTGAGGACAGCGCAGTATTGTGGATGGACAAACTCCTGCGCCCAGCTGAATGAAAGAAACCCGATCTGAATACTGTTTGACAAGCCACCTACCTACCTACCTACCTACCTACCTACCCTCCTGTCCACGAACATTGAACCTGACTGAGGGCCTTTGGTGGGTTCCAACGTGGACAGAAGGGTAAGTGGTGCGAATGGGATTTCTCCCATCGGGTTGGCATGCGCGTGTCTTGCTTTAAGAATCGGACCCCTCCAAAATGGCTTCAGTGTTCCTTTTTGGTTTCCCTCAACCCCCCAAACAAACACTGCTACCCTCAAAAAATGGTTTCCCTTAACCCCCCCACCCCCAACAACAACAAAGACAAAAGCCCTGCTACCCTCAAAAAAAGACAGACCCGCTTCAGCCCTAGGGTCCTCGGGGCTTCCTTCGGGCTTCGCACGCTTACAACCACCCCCCGAATGGAGACTCCATGAACTTCTATTTACTTAAGACTTGTTTCAATCTATCACTGGACATCTTTTCTATGGCATCAAGGTTGAGGGTTTTTTTAAAGGTTTTTTTAGGGTTCCCTGGGTTTTTCAGGAAGCTTAGGGTAGCCCTAGTTCCTTAAAATTCCCTTAGGCTTTCCCCTAGGGTTCCTTCGGGTTTATCAGGGAATCCCCCCCCTCACCGCTTGGACCACCCCCTCTCGACTCAGGTCTGGAAGAGCCGCGCCTGGGCGTTGGGCGCCGTGTGGACCCGCGCCGTGCGGCTCCCCAGCCGCCTGGCCCTGGCGGGGAGCCCCGATTGGTCGTGGTTTCTTTTGTTGTTTAGTTTCAACAGGCAAGGCCTTTTTTGCTTGTTTTGGTTGGGTTCCAAGGACGCCAAGAGCCAAGAAGGGAACCGGGGAACCCCTCTGGGTCGTTTCAGAAGGGAATCTCTTCCCAGCCAAAAAGGGAACCCCTCCGAAGAGTCGGTTTTTTTTTGGGGGGGGGTTCAAAGGAAGGCAACCGCCCATGGTTTGGTTTCAAGAGGTCGTGCTTTTTTGGGGTCGAAAGGTCATCTCTCTCACTCCCAGTTTGTCCTTTTTGGGACTTCAGTCACGTTTTGGCTTGGACAACCACATGTTAGTCACCTGTTTTGGCCAATCAACCCAGCCAAAAGGTCATTTGGGGTGGGTCTTAAAATAGGGAGATCCCAAAATTCGAGAATTCCTTTTGGTAAAACGACCGCCCCATTTCTCACTCCCAGTTTGTTCCGGTTCGGACTTTGTTACTTTTCGGCTTGGACCTTCTAAAAGTGGTACATACATAGTTTGTTTACTTGTTGGCGAATCCACTCAGGAAGTGAGGAGTAGAATGGTCTAAGCAATTGGAATGGGGTTGTGAGCGGTTGTGGCGTATCAACCCAGGCTATCAAGTCATAATCACAGTGTGGATGGACAAATCCGTTTCGCACCATTTATTGGGGGTGTGTTGGGCTTTTGATTTATGCCAACTGGTGCGAAATGGCAAAGGGCGAAATAATTTCACACATTGGTCCTATTTTGGATGGACAAAATCCATTTCGCACCAGTTGGCATAGATTACAAGCCCAAAGCACCCTCATTTCGCACCAGTTGGCATAAATTAAAAGCCCAAAACACCCCCAATGAATGGTGCGAAATGGATTTTGTCCATCCAACGTAGGACCGATGTGTGAAATTATTTCGCCCTTTGCCCAGTTTGAGCTTCCACCGCCACCCATCGGGTTCCATGCCGAGCCGAGAGCGAAAGAGGTGCCCTTGATGGATTTCGTGAACCACTGGACCCCCTCCGACCGCACCACCGAGCACCTCGTCATGGGATGGGGGGGCCGGTTTCTGCGTTTCTCGGGTCCCGGCTGTTTTTGGGTCCTCAAACAGAGAGTTATGTTTTAGTCGGGGTTCTCCATTGAAGGGCAAGGGGGTGTGCATTGGATGGGCATAACCGTGAGCGTTATATGATTTTTTTCATTTTTGGGTTCACTCAATATGGACCGGCATCGAACACATATTTTTGGGTGGGTGGGGGGCATTTCGGTGGGTTTTGAAAATCTCCTTTTGGGCTTCGTTTTATTTTTCCCCACATCTTTGTGTGGGGTTCTTACTTTTTCCGCTCGTCGTCCGCGCGCCGCGTCTCCTCCTCCTTCTCCCGCTCGTCTCCGTCTCACTCACTCACTCACTCACTCACTCACTCACTCACTCTCACTCACTCACTTACACTCACTCAACTCACACTCACTCACTCACACTCACTCACTCACACTCAGTCACTCACACTCACTCACACTCACTCACACTCACTCACTCACACTCAGTCACTCACACTCACTCACACTCACTCACTCACACTCACTCAACACTCACTCACTCACTCACTCACGCTCACTCACACTCACTCACTCACACTCACTCTCATTCACTCACTCTCATTCACTCACTCACTCACTCACTCGCTCACTCACTCACTCACACTCGCTGACTCACGGCAGCTGTCTAGAGGGACAGGATGTTGTCGCGCGCGCGGCGGGGGGCGTGCGAAATCGTGGCAGGCGCAGCACTTTGGCGATGCCGTTGCGAAATCGTGGCAGGCGCAGCACTTTGGCGATGCCGTTGCCGAAGTCGTGGCAGGCGCAGCATTCTGTGCATCTGGGTGTGTGTTTGTGTGGCAGGGGTCGCATTCGGCAGCTGTCTAGAGGGACAGGATGTTGTCGCGCGCGCGGCGGGGGGTGTGCGAAATCGTGGCAGGCGCAGCACTTTGGCGATGCCGTTGCGAAATCGTGGCAGGCGCAGCACTTTGGCGATGCCGTTGCCGAAGTCGTGGCAGGCGCAGCATTCTGTGCATCTGGGTGTGTGTTTGTGTGGCAGGGGTCGCATTCGGCAGCTGTCTAGAGGGACAGGATGTTGTCGCGCGCGCGGCGGGGGGCGTGCGAAATCGTGGCAGGCGCAGCACTTTGGCGATGCCGTTGCGAAATCGTGGCAGGCGCAGCACTTTGGCGATGCCGTTGCCGAAGTCGTGGCAGGCGCAGCATTCTGTGCATCTGGGTGTGTGTTTGTGTGGCAGGGGTCGCATTCGGCAGCTGTCTAGAGGGACAGGATGTTGTCGCGCGCGCGGCGGGGGGCGTGCGAAATCGTGGCAGGCGCAGCACTTTGGCGATGCCGTTGCGAAATCGTGGCAGGCGCAGCACTTTGGCGATGCCGTTGCCGAAGTCGTGGCAGGCGCAGCATTCTGTGCATCTGGGTGTGTGTTTGTGTGGCAGGGGTCGCATTCGGCAGCTGTCTAGAGGGACAGGATGTTGTCGCGCGCGCGGCGGGGGGTGTGCGAAATCGTGGCAGGCGCAGCACTTTGGCGATGCCGTTGCGAAATCGTGGCAGGCGCAGCACTTTGGCGATGCCGTTGCCGAAGTCGTGGCAGGCGCTGCATTCTGTGCATCTGGGTGCTCTGTAATCGCATCCATACAAGGGGCGCACGGTACATGTGTGTGGACATTTGGGAAAAACATAGCATGTGGGGTTATCCGGTCCTTTAATTGTGGGAACTTGGGGTTTAGATGCAGAAAATTGCGGGAGGGGGAGTGGGGCGTGGGTTCAGGTCGACACTGTGGAGTCCGCTTTATGAAGTAGTCGTGGGGATGGAAGTCGACCACTTTGCGTATAGTGGACAGAGGCCCATTATAATCAAGGTTTGCAGGGTGTCGAGCGCTCGAACGATTTCGCATGGACCCCTGCTTTCTGAAGCCCCGTTTTTCGAAGCGGTGCCTTGCGCCGCTGGCAGAGGACAGAAGGCAACTTTGTTTCTCAAAGCTGAGCTCTTGTGGGTGGCTGGCCTTGGATTCCTTTTGCTTTCCCACCATGCAAAGATCCCGCAGAAGATGACATGCTGTGGACGAATCCATGTCACGCCGCCGTTCAGAAACCCTGGAATGATTCGATTCTCCTATACAGACATACCAACAAAAATGCTTTCCCGTGGTTTCAAAGTCGTGCGAAATGGATTCGTCCATCAAAAGTATGTTGTAAAGGATGTGTTTAGGTTTGCTTTCTAAAAGATGCAAACAAACGACCTGCCAGCGAAATCCATTTCGCACCATATTGAAACCACAGGAAACCATTTTGTTGGTATTTATAGGGAAACCGAATCATTCCAGGGGTTCTGAACGGTGGTGCGAAATGGATTTCGCAACCATCCGCAGTGGCACTTTCGAGTCCGGGTAGGACGTGGTCCTGCTCGTACGATGTGGCGAAGGACTCGGTGGTGGTACTGGCTGAGCCTTGGCTTACCGATGTGCGGCGGCAAATCGAGCAGAACGTCGGCGCGAATCCCTGGGATGACTCCAATTCTTTGGCGGAAACCACGAGCAAAAGGAAACCAACATGAAACCAGCATTGTGAAACCAAGATGAGACCGACATGAAACCAACATGAAACCAACATGAAACCAACATGAAACCAACACTGGAGGGACACCAAAGCTGGGCTACCAAAGGGAAGCGCCACCGCTCCGTTTTTTCGTTACGCCAAGGAGCGGCGGATCTCCAAAGGCGAGGAGCTCACCTTCCTCTATGGCCACTTCTCAGATGCCCAGCTGCTGTGCCGGGGTGACCCAGCTTTTTCTGCGGTCGACTCGGGTTTTGGGTGCAAGGATTGTTGAAACAAGCAGCCCCTGGTCCCCTGTCTTCCATTTGCTTAAGAATATGTTTTTTGTATTTATTCTCCCTTGTTGGTTTTAACAGGAATCTATATTACTGTTTGTGTTTGCACCAAATGGAAGCTGTATCGGGAATTTGAAAGGTGGTAACGGTTCAACACTCAATCCCTGAGTTCATGATGATTTTTGTTTTGCTCGTCGGAACCAGGGCATCGGCTCGCAGAAACCAACGTCTGAGGCAACTACGGCATCCCCGTGGGCAGCCCCGGTAGGCGGGCAGTCAGAGCTTTTTGGGGGAGGTATTACGTGGTTGGGGGTTGTTTCAAAGGGCAGTGAAAGGGAATCGCTTTTTAATTGTAAAAAAAGGATGGTTTTAATGTCAAAGAAAATTGTACCCCAAAGGGAATCCACCGTTTGGAGAGGTCCCTAAAGATGTCCCCCTCTATCCTCTTGTGGAATCAAACAAACTCTCAAGCGAGCGTGGCGCTTTCTTGGAGTTGATACTGGCCTCCGTCAGACTAAAGGTGTGGAGTGTGAGCTTCAAACATGGCTATGAATTTGAATGGTTGGAACCCCCTGAAAAGTGATTGGACATAAATCCCCAAATGATGTCCACCAAAGGGTCCCGAATTGAAATTCATACTCACATGAGTTGCTGGAGTTGCAGTGGCGGAGCACTGTCCGGCTGAGCCACGCCAACTTTGCCATGAGACACTATCTCTGTCTGGAGCTTTTTGTTGAACCACCAGGGTTTGCTTCAATATCTTGAGCAACCAGACGGCCACCATGCCGGGAAACTTAAAACTATTTGTTCTTGGCCAAGAAGGGGCTTGGCCAGAACGGTGCCGAACAGAACTGGTTTTGTTTTAGGCTCGGTATTTTCTGTGGTTGACTTAAGGGGACACCAAATGGAAGGTCGAAGCCCATTGGGTCCAAATCCCTGTGATACCCAAATTGAGATTTCACCTTGACATGTGATCCGGGAGCTGCGAATCGGTTTCGCTAGGAAAGCCAAGATGTCGAGGGTCCAACGTTTTTCGAGCGGAAGGCCGTGTGGCTTTTTTCAGGGCTTCTTTGGGCTCCCTCCCCTCCCTCCCCCCAGCCCCGTTGGGCCACGTTTGAAGGGATTGAAGGCAAGGAAAGCCAAGTTGGAAGGAGCTATTGGAGACCTGCACATAGCGAAGGCTCATTTGGGGTAGTGGTGATTGCCAAGCCTTTACGAAGAGAGTACCATTCTGGACTGGTACCCTCCCACCATGCCGTTTTTTTGAACAAGCCTTAAGTTTTGCCCTTGCGCCAAGTGTATCTCGCCTTTAGTGGTTTGAAACGTCAGTTTTGGGTTGGCCAATTTCAAAGTGAGCTTTCCTTTTGGTGGGGGTACTCTTGTTTGCGAGCCACGTGAGGGAATATGGCCAATTTTTGTTGCCAGTCGGCGATCCACTTTTTTGCTAGTTTGAAAAGGGCTTGAAAGGGACCGGAAAAGGGGTATCCCAAACTGAACCCTCAAAAGAACACCTCCTAAAGAGCCGTATCATTTCGCAGGGTCTCCGGATTTCTGGTTCAAGTTGGTCAATTTACTTCCCTTTGCTTCATTGTTTTTCTTATTATTTACCCTTGTTGGCTTTTTAAAAGAATCGATTTCACCGCTGGAGAATCGTATGTTCTCAGTTTCTTCCCGGAGACGTATCCGCTGCGGCAGGTCCCACGTTTTGCACCTTGGGAGGTCCAAAAAGGGTCGGTCGTTGCAGGAACGCCTTCGATGAGGCGGCCGTGAGTATTGGGCCCTACGCCCGGCGGCCCGGGGAGAACCAGAAAAAGAGAGAAGCACCACCAGAGGAAGCTCCGTGCAGCAGACTTTGTGGGTGCTTGTGAAAGAAAGACGAGAGATGGGTGTGTCTTTTCTTGAGTGTACAGGTTTCAATCCGCACCTTGCCCGAAACGAGGAAGTAGTTCAGTAGTCGTGGGCCTCCGATTGCTTGATGTGGGCGGGTTTCTGGCGAGGTGATTTCATTCTTGGATGGGCCAAGCATTTAGGGCCGCACAAGATCCATTGCCGATCTTCTTCCGATTGAGTTTGCTTAAGCGATTTCCTTGCTGGGACGATGTTTAAAGGGGGGCAACCATGTGAGCAAAGGACCTTAGTTACCCAGGTATCGGCTGTGGGCATTGTATTTCTTGTCAGTTTTGGGCGGCTTTCTCTTGACGGATCTAGTGTTTCTTCAAACCATTTTTTTGTTTCTTTCTACGGCAGCACCAGCCTCACTAGCCCGGCTGTTGCCTATTGGCTCTGATTAGGAGGCAGCCGGAAGTTGCTGTTGGCTGGTTTAGGCTGGCTTAGATCTTCATGAGGGTGGGTCTTGGGTGGTTTGGCGGGTTTAGGCTTGGCGCGACTCAGGTCCTCATGTCGTCTCCGGACTCAACGGAATCGAACCCGGCGGTGCCGGCGCTGGTGTCCGCACGGGCGGCGCCGCGGAGAAAATTGAGGGGGGGCGGGATGGGGGGCGGGGGGGGGGAGAGGTTGCAAGCTTTGGTGCCCCCAAATTGGCTTTGGCTTTCCTTGTGATTTTGCTTTTCTTTTTGACCAAAAACAGGGGTACCCTCAAAGGAAGACAGACCCATTTGGAGACCACTTCATACCATGGTCGGTCGATTGGCTGGTCGGTCGGTCGGTCGGTCAACCCTAGACCAGCCATAAACCCAACCAAAACCAACTCTAAACCCACCGTAATTAAACCAGCACTTAAGCAGCCCTCCCCAAACCCTCCCCCAAACCAGCGGCCGCCCTAAACCCATACTAAACCAGCACTAAACTATCCCTAAACCACCCTCATCCACATCCAAACTCCCACTACACCCAGCCTAAACCGCAAATAATCCCCACCCTAAACCCACGCTAAACCCGTACTAGAGAAGCCCTACAAAAGCCTTAAACCCACCCTAAGCCAACCCTACACCAACCCTAACCGACCCCACCCTTTTCCAACCCTAACCAAGCCTACCCAACCGCCGTGCCGGGGGTCTTTGCCGCCCTGCTTGCGGGCAGAGACCACGGCCTCCCAGCTGCACCGGACGAACCGCCGGCGTGCCGGGGGCTGAGAAGCGAGAAAGACAGAGGAAGAAAGGGAGAGAGGCGAGAAAAGCGAGACAACAGAGAAGGCAACAAAACCAACCTAAACCACCTCTAAACCACCTCTAAACCACCCGCACCAAAACCCCCGCCCGAAACCAACCCTAAACCCATCCTAAACCACCACCAAACCATCTCAACCATCCCTGAAATAACTCTAAACCAAACTTAAAGCCCCAAACAAACTCTAAACCAGCAAGCCAACCCTAAACCAGCCATAAGCCCAAGCAAAACCAACTCTAAATCCACTGTAAACCAGGACGCAATAATCCCGAACAAAAAAAGGTCCACCCCGACAAGCCGTAAGCAAACCGGATTTACTACACCGGCACAGCGTCACGGCCTAAAGCTACCCTGGCCCACCCGAAGCCAACCCTAAACCCATACCTAAACCCGACCCTAAGCCCACCCTAATCCAGCACTAACCAACCCTAAACCTGGGCAACAAGGTTTTATGGCTTGGCCTGCAGGCAGAACTGCATAACTGGGTGTGGCTCAAAATTTAAGAGCTAGGGTTACGCAGGTTTTAGTCTTGGGTTCCATTTGCCAAGGGGCCGTTTTAGTACATGTTTTTGAGCCACAGCCAACTGCAAAGCTTGTCAGAAGTGATTGTGCTGCTGCAAGCTTCCAGGCCTTCATTTCACGACCATCCCACCTCCCTTCCTCTGCCTAATGGCTCAACGTACGGTTGCTGCTCTGGTGCCTTCAAGGAAGCTCGAATGATATGTTTAAACACTATGTGTAATCATTCGAATTACTCACTACAAGGTAAGGGCTGCGGTGACCTCACCTCGGCTCACAGTTCTTCACCTCCTTTAAAATCGTTAATCATGTGTCTTTTGACATGTTCATGAACACCACATATACAGCGTGTTAGCGTTTTTCTTTAGAATTAACTGCCAGCACCACCTTCTTACATTTCTTCACCCTGAGTTCCTATTTCAATGAATAGTTTTTTGATCATGTTTTTTTGGTGATCGCAATCTAGTTGGATGCAGCTTTTATGCTTAGTTGAAAGGGGATCTTTGCATGGTTTCTTGCATCGGGCTTTGAACTCAGGTTGCAAAGGCAACCTTGCTGGGCACAGCAAAGCCAAACCCACCCTAAAATAATGGCTTCTTCGACAAAGTTCGCCCCGCCGAACCTAAAAAAAGGCCGTGCCAGGACAAAAACCCTTCCGCCTCAACGAGGATGATAAACCCCAGATGGGGGGGTTGGCAGTTGCGCCATCTACTTGTACCTAGCTGTACATGGGGGGGGGGGGTTTCCCTTGGTAAGTTTCCCTCTTGGGGAAAAAGGCGTGACCGCCTTCCATTTTGATCCACCCAGCCAAGACAATCATGCATGCTGCCTTCAAAGAGAGTTGTTTCGCACACAGGCTCTGCGTGTGTCTGCTAACAACCTGCTTTGACTAGGTGCTTTTAAGTGAACGTGTTGAGGGGTTCTTACAAGTACTTTGGGGGTAGTTTGCTCAGGCAATTTAGAGTATGGTTTGCCTTTTCCATTGTTTGTGGACTAAAACGGTGAAGAAGCCAGTTTCAAGGGAGGCTCTTCATGTCGGTGGACAAAACCAACCCCCCATTTTTTTTGAAGATGTTATCCCTGAACCTCGCACTCCAACTCAGTCACTCCAGCAACAGGCGTGCCTGGCGCGGCACGGCTGGGCCTTGGAGATTCAGAGGCCCCTGCTCTTCCCGGTGCCGCGGGAGCTGCGGCCCTCTGGAGGTGGGGAAGGGCCAAAGGAGGACCAGGCCGTTTCCACTGAAAAGGTCCTCCAAAACTCGTTGTTTTCGTTGGTTTAGTGGTGGGGTTCAGTTCACCTACTAAAAGCCGAACTCTGAGCAGGGCATTCGAGGTCCAAGTTGGGTTTCTACTGGCTTTTAAGTGAGTATTATTGACTCATTCCATGCCTTCATAGGATTAGTTGGTTGGCTGACGTTGCCTCAGGTCTCCTGGCGTTGGCGCGGCTGCTGTCCCTCGAGTCTGCGGAGGAGGTGGAAGAGCCGCCCGGCTCCGCTCCGACCACGCCTGGGGTTCCACGGGGCCCAAGGAGTCGGAGGGCTCGAATCATGGTCGTTGTTGGTAGTTCTTCTTTCCCTTGTTGGTTTTAAAAGGAACTTATCACTATCTGGACATACGTTGTTTGATGTTTTTTTGGCAGAGGTCTTAACCAAATGGAAGTAATTGTCAAATTGTGGTGGGACACATGTTGCGTATTTTTGCTTATTGTGGTTGAGTGGTTGACATCCAACCACTTAACAGCTAAAATTTGATAATTGTTGCTCCCCAAACCCAACGTCAACCAAGTTTTAGTGGCTGCAACAGTTTATGGAGAGCAACGGTGGCCCTGGCTTTTGGTCAAGGCTCCGTCGAATCAATCCGACGGCTTTTAGTTTTTAGGCTGGATATGTAGCATTTTCGTTTTCGCGCCACTCAGATTACAGTATATTTATCTTTTTGCGTAGCAGTTGGCCAAACAATGTTCGGATTCCATAGGATGTCGTGCCGAGAGACCCACCAATAGGATGTGCTGCACGGTGTTTGTTTGCTCCTTGGAGCAGACATTGCAATGATTCCTAAGGGCCAACCGGCCAAAGAAACGGAGTTTTTACATGGCTCATACAAGTACTGTTGATGGACGAAATCCTGCACCAACTTGAATCCATGGTTGAAACCCTTGTTTGTTCGTATTTTTTTGGGAGAGTCTTACCCTCCCAGGTTTCTTACTGTTGGTGCGAAATGGATTTCGTCCATCGACCAAGCTCCCTTTCCCGCAAGGTGGGAGCACAGGATCTTTTGGATGGACACCCCAGGCTCGCCCGGGACGGACTGTCGCCTGGCCAAAACGAGAACATTTGTCTCTTTGCGGGGAAACCCCAAAAAGGGGGTACCCTCAAAAGAGACAAGCCAAGTAAGGGACTGCAAACTCAGAGCTCCCAAAAAGAGGGATGCTTTTGGATGAGGCCCACGTGAATCTTCAAGCGGAGCTGGGGGCTGTGCCGGAATTGGCAGAAAGTTCTAGGGTTGGCAACTTCGACGGCGCTTTGTGTAATCAACCAACCTTCCAAATTTGGATGTTGACAGGGTTTTGTTCGGCAGCCAGCAGTTGAGGGGCAACCCCAAGCATCTGAATTGGGACACCCAGAAGCCAAAATCAACTGGGGGGTTCAAAAATGTCCGGGTCAACCTACCTGTCTTTCCTCTTTCCCTTAGGGCCAAACAAATCAGAATCCTTGGGAAGCTGGTACTCTGGTACTCCGGGAGGTGCAAGCATGGATCGGCGGAAGGGGCTGTGGCCTGCTATTACGCCCAGGCCCCCCAGCGATTGGTGCCCGACCTCTCACCCCTTTTTTGTTTGGGAGGGTTCCCCCTGCCAAAACAGACCACAGAAAAAAGGGTACCCTTATTCTAACCTCTCTGGAGGACCTAGAAGCCTTATTAGGGCTCGCTTCCTTTTTTCTCCCGAGGCCCATGAAACAAGGGGCCCCAATCCTAGTCCTAGATGTTCACCAAGCATCACCAAGCTGGATCTTTCGCAGATGCAAATGGTAGCACTGCGATCCAGTCTGCACACGCTTTTTCTTTCACTCGCTTGCTTGGTACAAGAGGTATCCCGATCTCCGAAGGGAGACCCTGCAAAACCTCCCTACTTGGGCACAGACACCAAGAGCGTGTCGGCTTTGGACAACTGAGAATGGCCATGGGGAGAAAGGAGGTGGGCTCAAAAGTGACACCCACCTAAAATCTAAAACGCTTTGATTTGTACAATGCTTCAGAGGTCGTGGGGGTTGATCAATATTCCTGGCCCCCAAATGCCCATGGGCAACTTTTCCCATGTGGGAAATATCATCCTTTTCTATTGGTTTTCAAATCCATGATCATCCCTTGATTTACGGACCTTTTGATCAACCTCCACATGGGGATTTTTGCTCATGGGCTATCCCAGGATAAGCCAAGTTGAGCCCTTAATAAGGCCTTAAGGGGTTGACAAGGGAGTTTGACAAGGGAGTTACCCCCTCCCCCCCACCTCCCCATAGCCCTTGAACCAAACCTTCCATTTGCTTCATATTATTTTCACCTGTTGGTTTTAAATGGAATCTATCACTACTTTAAAGCAAATGGACGGTTTGAGAGCATTTGGAAAACCAACACAGCCCACCCTACCCCAACCGACCCCGAGCCAACCAGGCGCCGCGGCGCCCACTTTGCCGCCCCTCACGGAGGAGCGCGCCTGGCGCCGCGTGGCGGCGTGGCTGGAGGAGGCGCGGCTGCGTGCGTGGCGCGCCGCAGGGGCTCAGGTGTTGGGGCCACGTTCGGGGCCGAACTGTTTTTTTGACTAGGAGTTAGAAGAAAAACGTGGAGGGCGTAGAAGAGGTTGGACACACTGCTTTTGTAGAAAAAGGTTTGGATTTTTGCGCTTTTCGTGGATTTCTCCTGTTGGTCCTCCTCTGTTGGTTCTGTTTTGTCGTAGTCGTTCAGTTTTTTTTCTTTCTCTACAGTGGCGGATCCAAGAAAGGCACATCCAAGCCGGTTTCTTAGACCTGTGTGTGTGGTCCATCACCACCAACGTTTGCGCTTGTAGCATCATTGGCACATGTTTGCGGCAGCGAACATTGTGCCGAAAAGTTCTTCTAGTTACTTGAGTTTTGGCTTCTGTGAATGTTCCCCTGTTGGTTTCAATGGCAATCTATCACTACTGGGCATATATATATATATATTATATATATATATATATATGTTCGGGGGACTTAGGCAACTGGGGGAATTGGTAGAAATTGGGCCACGCATTTCTTGGGAACCCAAAAACCACCAAACCAATTTTTGAACTGGGGGGTGCGGCGTGGTTGGAAGACCTGCGAGGCAAAGCGAGGTGAAGCCAAAGCTGTTAGAACCAGAGTGGCTCCGAACCTTTTTGAATGAAAGCCAAAACTTTTGTGTTGCGAAAGTTGCCCAAAATGAACTGCCCGCCCTTGTAATTACCGATCGGGGGTTGGGAGCAACCCCAAGCTAGATGTCCACGGACTGGGCTGAAGGCAGCCGGTGTCTCAATCGGGATGGAGGATTGGGCACTCCATTTTGAACAGAGTCAGATGGCTGTGGGTCAAAAATAGGGTAACCCCAAAATGGGTCGCCCTGGTAAATGGAAACATGGACAAAAACCTGCGGTCCCCTAGTGGTTTAATTTTGACCCACACTCAGATGCTTCGGGCCATGTGAAAAAGCATGGCATGGCATGGCCATTTGTTTAGCAAGGGAATCAGGTTGGAGACGGGGGTGAAGCAGAGGACGCAGGTTTCTGAAGCGAAGGATGGAAGGACTGCTTCATTGCTTCTTGAACCGTGAAAGCCGTGAATTCCTCTGAGCAAGGCAGGTGCTCCAAGGTGTTTCTCCAACTTTCGGTTGTAGCAAAAGAAGAAGTACTGAATGATGTTTCACCCTGCCTAAATTCAGGCTTTGCAGCATTTCCTGAAGTCTGAATTAGGGAGGTGTTGTGCTCTTTGAATGGGTACTTATCGCTTCGGGGTACTCGCAAGAGGATGATTTGATGATGTGGCTGAGGGGGGAAACCGAGCTCCTCACATCGGTTGTTGGGTGTGTGTGTGTGAGTAAACCGAGCTCTTCTTTTCCTCCAAAGCGACAATCCAATAGTGGACACTTGCCTCATGGTCAGGTGCTGCAAAAGCATTGGTTCACAAAACAGATCCCCCGTTGCATAGCTGCGGGAAGTTCTGCTTCTGGGCCACTTTGAGTGATTCTGTGATACCAATTGCCAAGGCATCCCCCTTAAAAAGCGATAAATCTCCTCTTCCCAACGCTCAGGGAAGTGGAGCTTTTGTTTTGCCTCGACGATGGTCTCCAAAACCCGAAGCCGTGCGCGAAACCGTGCTTGCGAACAGAGGGTATTTGCCTCGTTGAGTTCCCAGCCATCCGGTTTCTTAGTTGTTTTTTCCTTTTTTTCCATTTTTTTCCGGTGCTGGTGGTTTTGTTTAGTGCTGGTGACATGGTCAACCCACCAAACAATATCAAGCTTTTAGCCGGGAATCGAAGGGGGAACGCAAAAACCATAGGTGTCCTTTTTGAAAAAATAGATGGGTTTCGATTCCTGGTTTACCTGGTAGGTTAATCATCTACCAGGGAAACCCATCTATTTGCCTTAAACGGCCACCTATGGTCACTGGATTCTCAGGCCTTTGCCAGCACCACCCACAGCGCCAGCGACTTCACAGACGAGATGCGCAGCTGGCCGGAGGAGGCCGGTGGGAGGCTGAAAGCGAGCGATGCCGGGCCAAAGGTTGAGGGTGCCATGAGTAAAAAGAAACAACTACTATTTTTTTGGTCAATGCCCAGGCTCGATTTTTTTTAGGGGAGGGACGGAATTCTACACACCGAAGCCTCCACCCTTGCCCAAGACTGCGAGCCAATGATTTCGATGCATGTCTCATATGCACCACATCCTTTGGTGCTAGCGAGCACGGGAACTTCCAACCAATCACTTTAATTGTTTGCCCTCGGAGAAAAGACAACAGAGTCGCATTTGATGTGCTTGCAGGGTTCCTTTTGAGACAAACCCCAGCTTCCAGGCGTTTTGATGCCCCAGTGGCCCTGATTTGGCAAGGGAGTGATCTCGGAATTGACTAAGGCCCGTGCAACCAAGGCAGATGATCGCGTTTGCTGACTGTGGATCCGCAAGATTTCTTTGTGGATCCGATTCTTTGGACGACTTCTTTAGCCTCGCCCTTTGGAAGGCACTCTTCTAACCCAGAAAAAGAGTACCCTCACAAACAGACACACCCGTATAGGGGAGGTTTAACAATTGGGGGGGAGGTTCCCCTTTGCAGGGTTTGAAGTGGTGAATTAATGAGTACCCAGATTTTAGAAGGCCCAGTAAGGAACTGACAAAATGTTTAGTGGTCTAATCTTCCTTTTGGGGGTGGGTGGGGGGGCCCACGCAAATTTCCAACAAAAACCAGGGCCCCCCGAGTTTCCCCTTTTGTCCTCTTGGGGAAACCGGTACTCTCGGCTGGGGCTCTGTGTTCAGGCAAGCTGTTGGCACCTGTTGGCATCACAGGGAGCCCCTGATTGATCGATTTTTGGCGAGTGATCCCAGCACCTTTCCTGAACGTTCGAGCGAAATGGTGGAGCTTGTATTCCTTCCCTGGACTTTTGGCTCGCAAGTCCGTTCTGCTTTAGAGGCTTTCCTGCCCGATTTTTTTCTCCCCTATCTACCTATCTGCTTGTGTACGTGCCCGATTCTACAGCAAGCTCACCTGAAGGGCAACACAAGCCCACCATGCCGCAAGCTCCCGGGACCCCTTATCTCAGATGTCGGAATGATAGCCGCTTGGGAATGCCTCAAGAGCCCCGTGAATACAGGATTAGTCCAGCGGATGCTGTGTTGGATGTCAATACGTTCATTTGCTTAAGAATACTCTATATTTCCCGCTTTTGGTGTTTATCACTACTTGATCATTTAAACATTTCAGGGGACTTCAGCAAATGTAAAAATAGAGGTCAAGAGTTGCCAAGACAAGTACCTGCGTCGGTGTCCTGCGTCAGGCTTGAACCATGAGCGGCAAGCGGGTTGCACACGTGTGGAGTCTTGAAGCAACGCAAAGCAAAGACACCAATCCAGGGGTATGGTAACGTTCATGATCACTGAACAAACAGGTCTTCAGGATCACTTCATGGTTATTGAACAAACAGGTTTTCTTCTGCAGCAGCGACCAGTTCATCGTCACTGGAAAGCATGGGTTTTCTTGTGTAGTTTCCACAATTTTTCATCGCTGAACGACCCACTTCGTGATCACGGAGAAAAAGGCTGTTGTTCTTGCTGCTTCCCGGCAAAGATTCGTGTCAGTGGTCCGTGTCCAGTGTTTTGGAGCTACATCGCAGCGGACATGCCCGCATCCCAACGCACCGTTACTTTTTGGGGTGTCTTCTTTTGATTTGGTACCCTTCTGTTGTGGCTTAAACGGAAACCCGTTGCGCTATGTTCGTGTAGAAGAAGACACGCCAACTTGCGGCCATGCTAGGGGTAAGGGAAACGAAAAGGGAAACCACTGGTTTCGAAAGAGAAGACACAGCCTCCAGCACCCAGGTCCCAACTACTGCTTTTTGCACAGGTCAGGGGGATTTTGGACTGGGACCCCGGTGGCCGTAGGTTGTTAGTTGTTTTTAGTTGGTCTTGTGGTATCACCAAACCACTCAAAGCTATTCACTTTCAGGGCATTTCTTTGTCCTCAGTCATCCCCCCGGAAAGGTTTTTGGTTGTTGGTTTCGCGGAGTCGGAGGTGGAGCGGCAGCTGGCGGAGTCGGTGACCGCGGTGCTGGTCGGCGAGGCCGCGGTGCTGGCGCGCGCCAAGGAAGCGGCCCTCTGGCGCTCGGAAGTGGATGGCCTTTGGGGTTGGCGCGTAACGAGCATTAAACAAAGCACCGCATGCTGTTGGGGATATCACCCAAGCTTATTCTAAAAAAGAAAAGAAAACAAATCGGGGGGGATCCCCCAAAACCAAGCATATTTTCTTTAAAGGAGCCCTAAGTGGCGGTCTAATATGGCCGTGGCTCAAAAGATGGCATTCAAATTGGCACCTCACTAGCAACCTTGGCTGTTTAATTTGGACCAAGAAAGACACACCCATATGTGCCATGATCAAAAGACCGGTTCTTTACTTGGGGTTATCAGGGATGATCGTCCACCTGGTAAGGACCCTTCGTTACAATGATTCCTCGGGGAACCGTGACCTAGTCGCCAAAAAACACTATACCACAGGAAAAGGAGAGAGACTACATAACCACAAACAACGACAGAAAAGGGTGTGAACATGTGAAGACATGCACCGCCCTGGAACATAAGAGCCTAGGCTCGAGGCAGGGCGACAGTGCCCCGCAGTCCTGTAGGGAAAGGCCCGAGCTGCCACTGAGTTGTCAGTGGTAGCGGAGCTCTCGGTTTTGGGCATTCCGCTGGAGCAGCTCATGAACGAGAACGGCCTCAAGAAAGGTTGGAAGCCAATGTGCCTCGAGCAACGGAGATGGCCATCTATGGGTCACCGCGTGCTCCCAAGGAGGACTTTAAGGACTACATCATCCGCATGGACAAGGCACGTACTGAGCTGATCAAGGAGGGCATAAAGTTGCCAGAGGTGGCGATCGGGTACATCTACTACCAGCAGGCCTCTCTCACGGAGAGCCAGGATCTGAAGGTCGCGGCGTGGACGGAGAATGGCTTTAAGATCAGCAAGGCGGTAGTTGGACAAGCTTCTCAACAACAACCGCGTTAAGCGCAAGGGATGAGGCGGACTATGTCTTTCTTGAAGAAGGCAATTTCAATCAGATCTACGACGAGGATGAGGTGATGGCAGCATTGGCAGAGATCCGGATGCCTTGAACATTCAAGAGCGAGCGATATTACCATCAGGCAGGTAAAGGGGGCGGGGCTCCAGGAAAAGGCAAGGTGGCCGACTCCAACCTGGAGCAGTTAGTGAGCCGATGTTTTGTGGGTTGGGTCATGGTCGTGGCATGACCCGACTGAGGTGAGCCGAAGTGTAGCTCGCGATTTTCGGAGGGTGGCCTTTCAAGAACAAGTTGATGACGAAGATCAACGAAACAAGGCTCCAATCAGTTTCTGCGGGATTGCCGCAACTCCGGAGCGTGGTGTTGTAGATACTGCAGCTAGGAGGCAGACATCAACAAGGAGACGCAGAACACCGGCGAGGAGAAGCTGATGCGCGTGCAGATGGACCGGGTTTAAGTGGAGAAAGCTCAACGGACGAGATTCCGATGGAGATGGTGGATCTGACTCTGCAAGAGAACTGCGACGTGATCAACCATGGAAGAGCCCAAGGCAGAGTCAATGAAACGGTGGCGCATGGTCAAGGACTTGGAGCCGGCCCAGGGCATCGCGGAGAACCGCTACTTCAAAGTGGTCCAGATTGAGGAGTGCGAGGGCAAGGTCTACATGGAGATCCGGAGAACATGCCTGAGATGCTTTACCCAACTCCACTCATGTATTTATTTGTCTGCTTTATATGTTGGTTTATTTTGTTTTTTTCATTTGTTTGTCTATTTATTGATCTATTTTTTGATATATTCATGTACTTACTGTTTACTTATTTGTGTGTGCATATGCGTATGTATTTATGTTTGCTAGTTTTTTTGTGTATGCATGTATATTAGCTACCTACCTACCTACCTACCTACCTACCTATCTATCTATTTCTGTCTGTCTGTCTGTCTGTCTGTCTGTCTGTCCGTCCGTCCGTCTGTCTGTCTGTCTGTCTGTCTGTGTGTTTGTCTGTCTGTCTGTCTGTTTGTCTGTCTGTCTGTCTGTCTTTTTCATTTCTTTGCTTGTTTGTTATTTTACATATTTGGCTAGCTATGGCTATGATTTATGTATTTGTGATTTTTGGATTTCTTGATTAATCTGCCATGAGCGGACCCGTTGGTTTCCACTCCAAGGCGGAGGCACGGGTGATGCGCGCGTCTCGCCAGCAGGGCAAGGCGCGACCAGCTCAGCACCGCCTGCCCAGCGCGGCTTTTGAGTTGGTGCCCCTGGATGCTTTGGTGCATTTCGCCAATAAAGGGATGTTAGGACTTCACCGTTTTGCCAACTAATGGGTTTTCCATTAATAAACCACAAACAGCTAAACTTTTAGCAAGGGAGCAGAAAGCAACCGAGCATGGACAGCTACAAGGAAACCCACCGGAGGAAAAAATATTCACGGTGCTTGCGAGCAACTTGCCTTTTGGGAACCTCCAAAAGTGGCGATCGTTTGAAATTTGAAAGGATACCGTGTAGCCAATTGATCAGCTTTTGATTTGGGAAATTCCGGTGACCCTTCATTCACCATCACAGGTGCTATACATGGCGGTCAGCCATGCCAGGTTGCAAGACGCTTGCAAACCCCCACCCGATGGCCTGGAGGTGAAGTGCCCAGGCATCCACCCAAGTCCCCCCACTCTTGTCTTTGTGGGTTTTTGTTTGGTTGTGTGCATCTCCCGGACTCGAGCAACCCGCTTCAGGGCCCTCAAAAGGGCCCTCAAAGACAAGGAACCCATTTTGCCCCAAGGCGTCCCATTTCCCGGACTCAAGCAGGTGTTTCGTGGGGATTTCCATTTAACCCACTAAAAATTAACAGCCCAGACCCATTTGCCCGCGTCGGTCGTTTTGTGTCAGGTGCCAAGCGCCTCGGCGTGGCAACGGCGCCAGGCGCGCCGGGGCCGTGCGTGGCAGGCGGACTGGACCGCCGGGCTCGGGCCGCGGGTGAGGCGGGTCGAGCCGTGGGAAGCCGACGAAGCGCGCGAGAAGAGGGGCGAAAGAGGCGTGCAGCGCTTGGGTGTTCGGCGAACTTTGTTGGTTGGTGGTAACCTTTGGGTTATAACACGTTAATGTTCACCCCGGATGAATAAACCCCTGTTTGTAAGTGGGGGTGTCCTCGGTTTTAGTGGGGATTCTTTTTTTCTGTTGGGGAGGAACACCCCCATATTAATAAACAGGGGTTTATTAATCCGGGGTCAACATTATAGCCCACTAAAAAGGGTGCCCCCGTTCAGGGAACTTCACCCTGTCATTGGTGGGTTATGACCCAGGGCCGAGCATCCAAGTAGGGATTCGGAGGGTTTTGGAGACGGGATGTCTGCTAGTTTTATAGGGGGTGGGGAGAATAATTTGTTGGTTGGTTGGTTTGGTCTGGTCTGGGTTAGGTTTACTTTAGTTGGTCTGGTCTGGTCAGATCTGTCGGTCGGTCAGTTGGTTGGTGCCATGGACACTTGGAGGTATCGCCGACTCAAACCCCCCCGCCAACTTTTGGTTACACCATGGACTCGGATGGTGTCCATCCCTTCCAATTTTCGGGTGATCCTGTCCATTTCGTGCTAAAGCGAGCTGGGAGTTGCGTGCTAAAACCAGCTTGAGGCTTGGCTCTGTTCTGCCGGGCTGCCGGCCTCCATGCTTGTTTCCTTTGCTCGCATCTTTCTGAGGTGACAGCGTCCAGGCCGAAGTCGGAGGCTTGCCCACCCCAGCTCTTGCAGCGAAACGGTGGACGGGTCTCGGGGATGTTTTGCTTGGGGCTTGGGCCATGGGGCTTGGGCCATGGGGCTTCCCTTTTTCGGGGAAAGTGAGGTTGCATGATTGTTGGGAGGGGACCCCCCGCATGAATAGACTGAATTGACATGTTGGTCTTGGGTTCTCCTGTTCGCAGTCGGATTGTTTGGGACGGTTTGGGGTGGCAATTAGTTCTGATTAGGTTTGGAGGGGGTGGGATGGCATTGGGCTTGGCTGGGATCAGTTGTCCTGGTCACGCGTGTCAGGTGAGACCACCCAGTAACTAGAGAAGTTGGGTGCGTGGCTGGGCGCGGCCATATCTCACCCTTGGGTTGCTCACCCGATCGAAAATAGGTTTGGTTTCCCCATCGCCTTAATTCCAGAGACTTTGGAGCAATCCTCCGTGGATTCCGCCACTTGTTGCACTCTTGTTGCACTCTGGTTGCACTCTGTTAAGCCTCCTTTCCAGAGGCGAATCACAGGACCGTCAACCACATGGCTATGAATCTATGAGTTTGAATGGGGAACCACCTGACTTCTGATGTCCACCAAAGGGCCCCCCATCGCTGCTTGATCAGAAGAGCGGTCCAAGCCTTTCCCCTCAGGCGTGCGCATGGCTTGCTGGTGCTGTGCTCCAGAACAAGCCCAGGAGCGGAGGGATGGAGCTGGGAGAACCGAAGCCATGTGTACGACCCGGGCAAAATGTTGGTCCTGGGCTTGCGCCTCTTTTTCGGGGTTGGACCATTTGAGTTGCAAAGAAAGCTGATGCTTTCTTGGGGTTTGGACCATTTCAGGTGCAACAAAAACGGTCGCCCCACTTTTTTGGGGCCGATCCACACTCGGGAAGCGAGGCATTTCTGCTCCGAAGATCGAAGAGGACCACCTTCCCCTTCCGTGCGAGCAGTGACCACAAATCCCGCGTGTTTGCGTTGAGGCCGAAAAGCTTCCAGCGGCTCCGAAGCCAGGCGTGGCCGGTTTTGGGGGGGTGGGACTGTGGGTGGGGCTGGGGGGCTGGTGGGAACCGACATCAACCAAGCCCATGGTTGATTATGGATGGGAGGTGTCCCAGTTAAGCAGATTGAGTCTGTCGAAATCGCGGGGCTTTATCGCACGGCGAGTCGCCGTGCCCACGCAGTATCTTCATTAGAGGGTCTCCCTTCCTGCCTTCGCTTTTGGCCAGCGTGACCTTGTTGCTTGTTCCTTCATTGCAGTCAAAAAGGGTTGTGGAGGCAGGACCTCAGCCAGCAACTTGCTCACCATCAATCAGACATCCAGGATGGGAACGCCGTGCGTTTCATTTGCGGCGCTTCCCCCCCCAAGGCGAGCGCAGCCCAGATTGAGCAGGGGCAAGAGGAGCTGACTGACCCCTGGAACGACTACTTTCACAATTTCCGGCTTCGGCTAGCCTTGCTGGAGCAGACGTCCCAGATTAGCACTCATGCTGCAAGTTCGCCAAAAGCTATGCACTTGCAGTGGTTCAGTGGCAAATGAGCAAGGGCACTTTGGAGGGCTCCCAGCGCTTCGATGGAGCATATGTTCGATTGACGGGAGGCACTGTCGCCCAAACTCCAACCAACCAAGATCCCCGCATCAAGCCGATTCCTCTCCTGAACCAATACCAGCGGCAAGCCTCAACCCGTACACAAACCCTGCACCAGAACGAAGCCAACGCCAAAGCCGAACCATCCCTAGGCACTGAAATCGTAGAGGGAGGCCATCAAACCAGTACGCACATAGAGAGATATGGGCTTGTATTCTTCTTTTTCAACAACCCTTTTCGCCGTGTTTGCTTCCCTCGAACAAGGGAACCATGCCGAATCTTCAAGGATTTCCAGCGTCTCCAGGCCAATTTTATATTCTTAGGGCCGACGAATTGGTGCAACAGACTCTGAGATGAGCCCAGGTGGACGCCCCCCCAACAGCACAACAAGGGAACCCCCGAAAAGAACCAAAAATCTCCGGACCCATCCAACCGCCAAGATGTTTTGCTGTGCACATGAGCGGAAGTGGAAAGTGGATGTCCGGCAGAATTCTAAGGGTAGCTTCCCCATTCCTTCCAGGGATCCGAATCTTTCTAGAAAACCGCCAGAACCCCTTTGAAAACAGATGGTTGAAAAGAATGGGGAATCAACCCCTAGAAGAATCTGTGAGGTCGCTCCAAGGAGCCGGTGACGCCGGCCGGGGGCCTTGCTCGCGCAAAGCGCCGTGAGAAGCCTCGGGGGTCATTGGGAGGGAGCTGCGTGTGGGTTTCCAGCAAAGCGTCCGACCGTCCGGTTCCAGAAAGTCGTTTTTCTTTTCTTTCTTTTTTCTGATGTTTTTGTTGGTTGAGCGCTTGGGTGTCCAACTTGAACCCACAAGTTAAAGACTTTTTGCCAGGGGCTCAGCCCCTGTTTTGCCCGAGCTGAAAGCGATGGGGCGATGGGCCCAGAGATTCGCTGCCCCGAAAGTCTGGGCTGCCGGGGTCGGATGCCACGGGCTTGCCGAAAAGTTGGAATCCGGGAAAACCACAAAAAGTCCCTCAAAAATTGGGCAGAGCCATGTGAGTCATACGGCCATGGGTCACAACCCAAATCGTACCCCCAGTGAGCATCCCAATCCAACCACTAACATAGACTAAAATGGGTGGTGCACCTATCCGAAAATGGTACCATTGGTTTTGAACCATGGCCATATACTGTCTGCTTTTTCTGAGTTGTTTGAGTTGTTACCCCTTTCTTGTGGTTTCAAAGGGAACCAAAAGACAATCGGTTCGAAGCCACGTTTGGGGGGTCCGAAAATTGGACTCCTGGACATCGATATCGGCTTGATCAAACAAGTGGTCTCTAACACGGCAACGGTTTGCTTTTGATTCCTCTTTGAATACCAACCTTCCGTTTGCTTAGGAATATGTGTCTATTTTCCTCTGTTGGTATTAAAGGGAATCCATCACTACTGGACATTCATTGTTGTTTTTTCCAGGGGGCTTAAAAGCAAATGGAAGGTTTGCAAGCAGTTGTGCAGCAGACTTGATGTCAGCTGGTTTCCCTCAAAGCTGTCGACCGGTGGGAACATCTAAAGGTGGTTCCCTTGAACACCCCAGCAACTGGCAGCTAATAGCGCACAGTTGACAGGGGAAGAACAGCCATGGCTTGGGAAACGGAGGCCCGGATTGTGGTGCAACGCTTCTTGGGGTGCACAAGCAGGCAGTGCGTGTCAGAACCGTGCTGGTGCTGCTAACTTCAAGACTTTGACGTGCGTGCCAAGGTCTTTGTGGAGGTCAGGGGACAAATGGAAGTTATGACAAGTTAATCTATCAAAAAGAGGATTTAGACTGCATTTTGGAGCCCATCTGAGAATTCCGCCAACTGTGTCACTCTTCTGGCACTCTGTCATCACTTTCCAAGCAAACCACAGGCGGATTCGGGGTCCAAAACAACCCTCGGAGAGGAGCAAAACAGCACCCCCCCTTGATTTGTATGCGTGGCTCTGCACGAGATGTGCACTCGCAGCTTTTCCAGCACCTGTTGCGCGTGTCGGCGCCGGGGCTGTCATGGATCCCATTCGAGCTGATTCTCGCATCCCGCCGAGTGAGATGTTCAACTTGGGATGTTCGCACTTCGCTTATCCAAAGCGCTCACCCAAATTCGACATCAGCCCACTCACAGTTTCATTTCGCAAGTCGCCTCGCGCCCAATGAGCCACGGCCAGTGAGTCACTGCAGGACACCCTGTTGGGGAAGGCTCTGCCGAATGGAACTGGCGGGCATTTTTTCCGCATGCCAATGAGGTCCAGAGAGTCCACCATTGAAACTCAGGATTGGATTTTTCAGATTTCTCAGTTGCTGACTCTCCAGTGAAGAGGTGCTCACCCCCAAAAAAAAAAACACCTTCTGGGTTTGTTGGAGCGAGAATTTGCACGATGTTCAAGAGGAGTTGCATGTATGGCCATGGTTCAAAACCAAGGGTACCATTTTGGGGTAGGTGCACCACCCATTTTAGGTTACCTATTTTAGTGGTTGGATTGGGATGTTCACTGGGGGTACGATTTGGGTTTTGACCCATGGCCAGCTTTTGCCCAATGGCAAGCTCTGTGACAGTTCTCAACAAGTCGTATAGAATTGATGCCCCACATCAAGAAGTAGGCGGGCCCCTTCGGAGGCTTAGCTTCCCATTCTTTTTTATAGAAAAAAATACCCGTTTTTGGGGTTGGCTTGGGAAAGGGAGCAACCAATGGGTGTTGCCCCGCCCACTTTTTGTGGGTGTCCCTACTCCGAGTTTAACGTAACGGGCCGTGGATTCCCACGGAGAACGAGTGGAACTCATGGAAATGATGTCCACCAGTTCGGGTCCTCCTGCTGTTGACTCATGCTTTTTAGGTGTTTGACTGTTTTTGGTTTTGTTCATTTTTAGGTCGGGGGGCTGCAAAAAGCAGTCAGTTGTTTGCGAGCATCATACCAAGGGTTGGAAAGGTTCATACAATCCGCCTTTGACATTTTGGCTTGGGGGGGGGGGACCAAAACTAGGCGGTTGCTAGGAGGAGTTTTTTTTGGGGTGGAGGATAGCCTCTTCCCCAAAGCTCCCTAGCCGCTCATACGAACGCTGTACCTTCCATTTCCATTCACAGGGATCCTTCTCTTCACAACATGGACCAAACCTCAGGAAAATGGGTAAACGATGAAGAGAATGGGGAATCCACCCTTGGACTATTCCCTTGCAATCCCCTGAAGGTTACCATTCCCCGTAATTTAATGGCTGTTCTAAGCCAAAGGGGGGGCGTGCAACCAACTAGTCAAAAGGCGCACATTTCCGATTCCATCAAGCTTGTGCTACTAATTTTTGGGGGGTTGCAAGCCATGCGAAGATCCCAAGAAGCCGAAACTCCCTCGCAGGTTGGTTGGGATTCAACCCGGACATGTCCCAACCACAAATGGGTGCGGGCGGATGTGGGCGGTCTCTTGATTCTTTACATGGGTTTGGGGTAGACCCTGAAAGCACGAGCTTTTGATTGTATCTCGGCCTTTGATTCCACTTCGCCGCCCCTGTTTGGTTGTAAATAGCCGTGCAAGCCCGTTCAGAGGTTTATAACCCCACGTACAACCAAAAGACAGGCGGCCAGCAGCCAAACTTGTTGGGTGCGACCAATCCCAGCCTAGGTATGCGTCAAAATTTAACCACCAGGAGACCGCAGGTTTTAGTCCTTGGTTCCGTTTGCCAGGGCAAGCCGTTTTGGGTACCCATTTTCGACCCACAGCCACCTGGCCTTTTGATTCCGCAGGATGGTGGTGCTAGCGCTTGGGGAGGAGGCTGCACCGAAAGCGCCGCGCAAGGCCCGCCCCAGCTGCGTGGCAGCAGATTAGATCGGTTTCCGCGCGCAGAACGCGCGTGGTGGGTGTTTGGTGTCCTTTTTGGTTGGTTTGCTTAAAAAATCGAGGGCCCTGTTTTAGATGGGGTTGATTCCATTTACCAGGGCCATCGATTTTTCCAAAAGGCCACCTATGGTGGTGGGTGTTTGGTGTGTTCGCAGGAGAAAGAGACGTTTTTGCAGCTTCTTCCAACAAGAAGGGAAGCAGCTCCCAGAGTTCTGGACTTTGTCACTTCGGGGGAGAGAGGTTTAGTGGCAAAGTAACAAGTTCTGCACGGCCTTAGTTTAACCAATCAAACGCAGGATGCAAATCCGCATTGCCGGGAAGTAGGGCCTTTTGTTGTGACATGCGAGATTAGAAGGACCCCCCGGCTCGACGAGTCCCTTTTTTTTGAGGGCTCCCTTTTCAGATAGTTTCAAAACCAAACCGCAAGGAAAACAACTATTATTGGGGGGTCCCCAAAAAAGGGGTTCCACCTTTAATACACGGGTAACCGGGCAACCTTCACCCATAAAAGTCCCCGGAGGAGTCTTCAGTGTGGTTCGATGAATTATTGGAATTCACCAGGCCTTTAACAGGGTTCCGGAAGAAGGATACATCCGAAGACTAGTAAAGTGTTTCTTTGTTTTGAAGCAAACAAAACGGCCCTAATTATCCTGTATGGGACCGCGTTGAACCTTTAACTTGAAGTTGAGCATGATACGTTTTCCGCTAACCAGCAAAAGCAGGGGAGTCAACGAACAATCCAGTTTAGTTTGGTTGGAGCTGGCTTACCCTTAGCTCTCACCACCATGTGTTATGACAGTTGTTCAATTGATAAGACATATTCAACGGATGCTTTCTTGAACATTCTCTTTGCTTGGACTGCCATAGATAAAGAACCCTTAGATGTAACTTGCTTGTTTGTTGACTGAACATGTGACATTGTGCGTTTTCAACCGCAACAGACCACTAGTTTGCTTTGCGGGGGACCAGAGCAGCGGTGGTTTTGGTCTAGCAGTTCGGCACCTTTGAATCCTGTACCCCTGCCCGTTTTTTGATTCCTTTGGCTTGCTAATGCTTTGTCCTCAAGCTTTGAATGATCCTTGGTGTTGGGTAGATGGCCCTTTCGTGAACACGTCATTCTCCGGAGCAGCCGGTGTCTAGAAGACTTTGCTAACATGGCTTGGAGCGCACACTTGTTGCTAACATGAACTGGGATGGATGAATTCTTTTGGATACTGGTTGATAAACCACCAATCCCAAGTGATGCTGTCGCGGATTTTGTGCATCTACTATGTCCTGGGGAAGCAGTACATTTTGAGTACGGGCTCATATGTTGGTGTGTCTTTTTTGAGGGTATATGCCATTCTTGGGTGGTTTTGAAGTGGAACAAACGGAAAGTCGCCAATTTTGAAGGTCCCCCATTTTGAGACGACCCCATGAAGCCTCATTATTCTACCATGATCAAAGTCACCCCCTAAGTGGTGGGTTAAGGGGAACAACCCCATTTTCTGACTTTGATAACCCGCAGAAACCGTCAAAATAAGGACCCCATCTAGGCGTAACCAACAGAGGCATGCATACAAAAGCTTCCAAGGCTCCCGGGGCTCCAGGACCAGTGAGGCCCCCGTGCACCAGTCGACGGTTCGTTGTTTGTGTATATGGCTGTGGCTCAAAACCGTTTTGGTACCATTTTGGGGTAGGTGCACCACCCATTTTAGGCTTTTTGGTGGCGGGATTGGGATGTTCACTGGGGGTACGGAATTTGGCCATATGATGGATGCTTAAGGTTTGGGTATTGTTTTTTCTTCAGGGTGTTGGTCTTTCTTATGGTGGACACTTTTGCAACCAATTCTCATTGCAGGGGTTTGGAATTGTAGGGGGTCGGTTTGGGGGGGGATTATCGGTATGCAATTCTTATTCCACGGGATTGGAAGTATTGCTGGGGGCGGGGTGGTCATGGGGGGCATCCGATTCTTATTGCAGGGGCTTGGAATGTATACATTGCAATTTTGTATGGCTGTGATTTGCATGGATTTGACCCTGGCGCCCACGGAAAAGCAGGAGGATGGAAATTCGGACCAGCCACCATCCAAATCGTGGTGGGTTGGGGGACACATCCGAGGCGAAACACGGGAACAACCAGGGTTGGGCATATGTTTTGGCGCATGCTTGCGCACATGTTTGTTTGCACTGGGACGCTTGCAAACAGCCGGGCTTTGCATGTCTCAAAGCAAGGGATCCCAGCGATGGCAATGGTCTCCTTGTTGTTTCCCGAAGCCACCTTTCCCAAAAGGGCGCCGAGCCTCCAAAAGAAACACGCCTGGTTGAACCCCCATTATGGGGGAAATTTAGCATCGGGCCCTAGTTTGGACACGAGTAGACCCAACATCGATTGCATATTTTCCAGGGGAAGGGGCCGCGTGTTCATAGCGGGGGGGGGCGGGGGGTACATATTGGTGGGAGAGTGTGTGTGTGTGTGTGTGTGTGTGTGTGTGTGTGTGTGTGTGTGTGTGTGTGTGTGTGTGTGCATGTCTTTGCGGGGAGGGACTGGGGTTGACGGCCCACAACAGCTTTCTATCATAATTTATATATATATATATATACATACATACTCCCCGGGGTTCAAACCACGATTAAGCAATGTGGGTTCATACACCCACCATTGCTTATCGTTCAGAATTGTCATCATCCAAATTGGGTCCTTGCCTTTCTTGCAATGGGGGCAAGGAACCCTAGGGTATATACATAACAGAATACTTGGATAGCTTCAATAGCTCTAGCATTTATTTTGGCCTTGGCCTTCCTGGCGTTCGCCAGGCCCGGAGGCAGAGTGGCACCCGCAAAGCCGGTGAGGAGGCCGGAGCCTCCGTTCCGTTCCGGGCGTCTGCAGTTCGGGTTCGGATCTAGGCATAGGGTTCCTTAGACGGTTCTTTTCGGTGGCACCTAAACCTCTTGTATTTCCTTTTTCGGAACCTCCAACAGTGGCGGGTGCAATGAAACCCCGACAGTCATTCCAACTTTTGACGAGGAATTCCAGACTTGTTTGGAGTTTAGAGGTGGCACATCCCGCCAGTTCAGCTCTCAAGCAATCGAGCTAGGGCAAACACAACAAACCTCCGGAAGTGGATAACATGTGGCACTCATGATATGCCCAAGTAAAAGTTCAAGTTGCTGCGTGGGACTAGGTGGTTGCCCAAACATCTGATCTGATGATGAGAAGATCTGGTTGCTTCGGAAGCCACCCGCAACTATTGGGCTTGCTTCGGGCAAGTGGACACCTTTTGGGGAAAACACCTATTGGGGTCCTCGCGTGCAGAAATGCCGCTTGGCTCGCTGCGTTTCGGCAAGGATTCACAAAGTTGTTGTGCGGGCTCGAATCCCCTAGGAAAAGGCGCGTTGGCGGGTGTTGTTGTCATTCATGGCGGACAAAGTGGTTTTAGGGCCAGTATCATTTCCGTGATACCGAGGAGATCCCCTTCACAGTGACAACGTAGTCATGGGTATCACCGAAAGCGTTATGTTCCACAATCATGTTGTCGTTCCCTCATTCCCTCTGCTTCCCCTCAAGTTGGAGGTTTGGATCGGGGATTTGAAGGTTCTGGTTCTTGTGGACTGGGGCTTCCCAGTTCCGGAACACCGAACCGCGGATTGGGCTCCAAACCACCAACTGGAGGGCAGCGGATTTTGCTGTGGTCAAAAGAGTTTTGGGATCACATTTTGGGGTAGGTGAATTCACCACCCATTTTAGAACCTATTTTAGTGGGGATTGGGATGTTCACTGGGGGTACGATTTGGATTTTGACCCATGGCCATTTCCTCGCAACTTTCCATTGGCCGAAAATTCGGCTGAGACCCGGCCTGGCACGCCCAAGAGAACGCCCCGGCACAGCACGGCCGGCACGCCGAGGCCCGGGATTTGGGGATGGGGCCGGGGTTGGAGGGTCGGAGGGTCAGATTTGAGGGCGCAAAAATCGTTCCGGTTTAGTAGTGGAACGGAGCCTAGATTTTGCATGAGGGTGAAAGACTAGGTCCCCCAGTAGTGCCCTTCTCTCCCCTTTTCCGGTTTGGAGGGTTCCCCTACTAACACAGACTACAGAAAAAGGGGGGTACCCTTATTCTAAACTCTCTACTGGAAGAGGCTTTTCAACCAAACCGAGACTTTGCTCCCCAACGCCTCTTGGATAGCCGACATTGGGTGTGCTCGCCAAATTTTTCCATTACCCTCCTGTCCACTAACATGGAACCCAGCAGAGGGTCCATTTTAAAGAGAAATGGTCTTCAAGGAGCTCCCAGGCAGCCTCCATGTTAGTGGACAGGAGGGGAAGAACCTAGTTCATCAAATTTCCACGTCAAAGACGGGCACCATGAATGACTGTGGCATGCACATCTATTCTGGAGGGCTCTGTTTTGCATACTTCCCATGGTTTCCCTTGGCGGGTACCATCCTCTACCTACCTGGCTTCCTATTCACACATACTATACCACCATACCATACATTAAACATTACAGTATATTGCATTACATTGCATTGCGTTGCGTTGCATTACATTATATACCTTACATTACATTAGATACAGACATACGAACAGACATACAGACATACGAACATACGGACATATGGACATACCTACCTACCTACCTACCTACCTACCTACCTACCTACCTACCTACCTAAATACCTACCTACCTACCTACCTACCTACCTACCTACATACATACATACATACATACACACATACATACATACATACATACATACATACATACATACATACATACATACATACATACATACATACATACATACATACATACATACATACATACATTGCAGTACGGTACGTTACATTACGTTACATCAATACATTACAATACAATAACATTACAATTACCTTACATTTGCAATACATTACATTCAATTATGTTACTTTACATTAGAATACATTACATTACATTTCATCATGTTACATTACATTCCTTTACACTACATGACATTATATTGCATTACTCTACACCACATTACATTACATTACATTACATTACATTACACTACACTGCATTACAATAAACGGGACTCAAATTTCTCGATTTCAACCAGCTGAGCCCGACAAGCAAGGTTCAGCCAGATTCAGCCTCTCAGAGGGAGACAGTTCCTGGCTTGCAGAAAATTCATTGCCATGCGTGAACGCGGCGCTTGACGCATGGTTTTGCAAGCCCACTGTACTCTGTGTGCCACTGTGGAACAAAGAGGGCGAGCTGATCAAGGCCCATGAGGAGAGCATCACCGCGGGCATGGCAGCACAAGCAATGGCTGGAGAGCCCGGACGTGGAAATTGAAGTTGACCAAGCAGTCACAGCATTCCTTGGGCAACGCAGGCAGAAGGAGTTCTTGTGTTCCCGGTGTCACGGAACAGAGGAAGATGGTCAACGGCCAGGGGCGTCCACGCAGTTCTCGCGGGCGATGAGCTTTTAACCAACTTAAAAAACGGGTGCCTCCAAAAAGGTCACAGGCTGTTAAAAAAACCTGGAGGCGAAAACTGTGTCATGCGTGTTTTCCGCTGGCTTTTCTGCAATTTGTCATCTCTGGCTCATGCTTGGCAGTGAACGGGAGAATTAGGACAGCATTGGTTTGATGCAAAAATTGTCAGAAACCCAAATTGTCTTGCATAGTTGCAGTTCAACTGCTCGAAAACCTGAATCAACAAACTGCAGACAACACACGGCAGAAATCCTTCTCGAAGCTGATACTTAAAGAAGCGACGCATGTAACGAAACACATTAGAGTGCAGCTGAATTGGCATATCGTCTTGCAATGATACCATTTGTCTATACATTGAGTCCCCACTATGAAGCAAGCGGGTCGTTTGCGTGCTCTCGTCCTCTCCTCGTCACAGAGACTCTTCTAGCAAATTCATGCTTTATGGACATGGTGGCTCTCCAAGTGCTTTTTGCCAGCATTTGCAACCAACATTGGCCATGCATCAACCTGTGTGCATTCATGTGTGTTCGTGCACGCGCAAGCCTTTCATAACGACGATAATATGCCCCACCCCCCCCTCCCTCCCCCACCCCCTTTCCCCCCCCATCCTCCAGCCCTGCTCACAACTGCAACTCGACGCATCACAGCCTAGCAGCAAACAGCAAGGAAAACACAAAAAGGTACCAGGTTGTTTACCAGCCTGTTTCCTCCAAAAAAGACGACCACCTTTTCAAAGCAAACTGCTTTTCCGAACGAAACCTAAGGCCGGTTGTTCGACCTTTTGCACGTGGCTTGGCTTGATCAACCCAGAGGTCTAAGACCTCGGTTTTCGGAGAACATTTGGAGGTTCTGGGCCAGAATTTCCTGACTGCTGCCCTTTGGCATTTTGGATTTCCATCATTTCCTGAGGATACCAACAACTGTAGTCTTTGATGGTCAAGAAGGCTTCGGGATCCCTCCTGCCCTCTCCCATTTCCAGCTCAAAGCATAAACATCAATTGCCGCAGCGGCGTTTGATGGCGAGGGTCCGCTAGCGTGTTTTGGATTTGTTTCTTGTGCTCAAGTTGCATATCTTAGGGCGTTATTTTCAGTGATGTTCAGGTTCAATCAGTTCATTTTCCTGATATGCGTAGCCCCCAAAGCGTTCTGTTCTGCCTGAAGGCGAATGGGTAAGCTCGTCACAAGTTGTCCAGATATTGCGCTTTCTTCCAGGAAAGAGAAGGAGAACAAGGAGAACAAGGAGAACAAGGAGGGTTGGGCAAAAAAGGTTTACACCCCCCCCTGATACCCTTAAAGGGGAACCAAAAGGAGGGGAGACACGGGACAGCGGAAGATGTTTTTCACGGGTGTCTCAACATGAATGAACAAGGGGTCGGGAACCACTTTTTTGAGCCACTGCCAACTGAGCAACTGACACCAGGACCAGTAGTTGTAGTCGATTGTTCACCTGGGCAGGACATTGGGGGACACCTCACATGTCCCGACAAGGGGTCGAATTGCTCCCTGAGGAGGATAAAGAGAAGGAGAGGCGCGAGAAGAAGGATGCAGAGAAGTCCGAGAAGGAAAGGAAGGCGCGCCGCCGGCGGAACGAAACCTTTTTGTTTTTATGGATGGGCTTGAGACTCTAATAGGGGGGACATCTTCAAAACGCTTGGCGCGCGAAGTGAATGCTTTATGTATGACGTCCGAGTAAGGAGCAATCCTGATATGAGTGTTTCCGTTTTCATGGACCCCTGGCTGGTGTTTCAAAGGAAGTCCAAAGCAAACCGCAAAGGTTGGGCACACCGTGCAGGCAAAGAAGATCCTGGGGGAGCGGGCGGCGTTTATTTGTCCTTTTGACCCAAAAACAAGGGGGCCGATCAGATGACCATTGGGGAATACCGGTAAAGGTATCATATTTCCCACATGGGAAAAGTTACCCTTGACTGAAAAAAGGGTTGGATCTTCAGACTTTAATTTTTTGAAAAATCAAGGGGTTTTGCACGAAACCCCAAAAAGTTGAACTTTTTGCAGGGGGGTCAACAGCAACCAAGTATGGTCAAAACTGGGGGCCCTACATGGAAGATGTTTCTCCCCAAGGTCTGGGACAGGAGGATCGAAAACTCGGAGAACGTTTTCCTGGAATCCTCGAACGGGCCCCGAACTTTCCCCTGTGTCGGGGTTTTGAGCAGCCCTGCTGTCCCCTTCTTTTGTTTTGATATATGTGCCGGTAGGCATGACCAGAATCCGATAACAAAACATCAGTCGAAGGTGGGTGTTCTTCATATTCCCAGAGGCTGGCCAGGGCAACGGGGATGGGTTTGTTTCATGGAGTCAGAGTTTGGCTTCAGGACAGATCCAAGTCCAGAAAGAAGAAGGAGGACACGCCGGCAATGTGAAGTGGGCGGGGGTGAGGGAGGCCTGCGACTGCGATGAATCAAAGACCACCCAGTTCCATTCTTGATGCGTGTTTGCGGCCTCAAATCAAAGGTCCAATTCTCAGGGATTCCCTTCCAAGACAAGTGATGTTCGATTCTTCCTGGCGGCTTTCAACCAACCCCAGCCTGTCTTTGTGTGGTGTCGGCACGTCGTTGGCCGGATCCGAAACCATGGTGTGGTTGGAGAAGATCAATGCGACTGGCAATTTCTGTGAGGCGCGCCTCACACCGATTCAGGGGTAACACGACACCGTGATGTAGGTTTTTGACTTTGGGATCCGATTCTTCTTGGTGGCTCCGGTGTCAAATTGTAGGGGAAGGAATCCACCAGCTAGCAAAAAGAGACAGGGTGCGCTTTTTTGTCGCAGTCAGGGTTGCAGTTGAAAGTCTATCGCATGCATGGCTCCCTGGTTTCGTCATCCCTTTACTTTTTGAGGGGATTGTGCCATCTACTTTCCTTGTGCATTTCCCATGAGCCACACGAGTAAAACTGGAGTCTGAGGCATTCCTAGCGGCTGAATCTGCCTGGCAATCCATTGGATTCACCAAATCCACGCCAGCCATTTCTGGATGAAACCCCCTGAGCTCCGGCCGTCGCCTTTTGTTGCAGGTATCCTTTTTGGGTTGCTCAAAAAACAATCAAATGGAAGCCCCCTCCTTTTTGGAGATTCCTTCATGTGGAGACAAACGCGTAGATGGCATGTGACGATATATATATATATAGTCATATATTGCATATATATATATATACATATATATATATATACACATAGATATATATACAAATATATATACACATGTATATACACGTTCTGACCTAACACACCGCGGATGGAACAAAATCCTGCACAAGTTGGTAGTTGGTGAGGTCAGTTCTTAGGGTTCCATCCATCCCAACCGGTGCAACGACCGGCGCTCCGGGGGTCAGGGCCCGTTTCGCCAGGAGGACAAGGACGCCACGCGAGGCCCCCTGCCAAAGCCTCGGAGGGCTGGATCGGATACTTCCAGCGGTGCCATTTTTTTTCCTCCACTTTTTTGGAGGGGCCGGTGGGAGAATTCCACATCAGTCCCTCAGTTTCCTTTCTTTTGTTTTTTGGACCTGGACAAGTTTGGACCTGTTTCAGGACCTTTTGTTGTTTTTTGGACCTCAGTTCCCTCAGTTTCCTTTCCTTTCTTGCGCTGGTTGGGGGGCGAATTGGACTCGGAGCTGGGACCCGGGATCCCACAAAAAAGAAGCGCCTTGAAGAGGGAGCCGTTGGGAGCTGCCGATGTAGTTGCCCCAAAAACCAGGGCAGAGATTCCACGACTGTCTTGTGGAGCTTTGACTATGTCACATGTGGTTGCCCCCACGCTTTGACATTTGAAGGGGGTCAGACAGCTTCCCGCCAAATTGATGGTTTGGTGGTTTGGAGGTGGGAGTGGGTGAGAGTGGTTTCCTATTTACCTACAAGAACCACGGATCCAAAACCTTCCCGACTAAGGTTCCCGATGTAAAGCTACTCATCCTCATCTATCCGACTTAGCAATTTAAGATAACATGATTTTCCCCTCCGGTTCCGGGCTGAATTTGGGGAGCAAAGCGCGCAGCCGCCTTTGTTGGTGCTGCCGGTTTACGGGAAAAAACGGTACCACAATGGAACCCTGGTAAGTGGAAACATGGACCAAAACCTGCGTAACCCCTCCTGTTCAATTTTGAGCCACACCCATTTGTTTGACCCCCTCATGGCTTCGCCTTTCGGCCCAGGCTGCTCAGGGGAGATGGAAGCGACAGCTGCTCGGCCGATGCGAGATCCATACGGCCGAAGGTCCTTCAAGGGCTGGAGAACTTGCTGGTGCGATTTGGAGGGAATGAGACTTGGAATGAACCCAGGCTTTGGTCCCCTCAAAGGAGACCACTAGTTGGATGGTTCATAAGGGTCATTCCCTCATTCCTGCCGAGCACCAGCAAGATAGTTAGAATGGGTCCGTGGGGTACTTTTGAACCAAGTCACATCATGATCACTAGAGAATCATGTTTGCATTTCGTTCGCCCCTTGTACTAGGCGATTGATTGAATGAGAAACCTGTGGGTTCCATTGATACTTAGGGTCAGGGTCCGTCACCATCAGAATCAGCAAGCGTCCTAAGTTGTTTTTCTTTTAAGGGAGCCACTTCAAAAGTGGTTGGAGGGCATCTTTCGCCACTTGAATGATGTCCACCCAAGGGTCGATTCATACCCCCAGGATTCACACTTTTTTGGGGGGAGCCGGCAAAAACGGCTTCGGCTTGGTTTTGGTTTTCCTTGAACGCCACAACCAACGCGGGGATTTTTCATTTTCCCCTGTTGGCTTTAAAGGGAATCAATTGCACCCCTGGATTTTTGATTTAATTTATTTTTCCCCGGGGACGTATCCGCAAATGGCAGCTTAGCCCCACACGCGTAGCTCCCACGCGCGCGCCGCGCGCCGCGCGCCGCGCCGCGACTCGCAGGCGCCCAGGACGTGCGCGGCGCCCTCTTCGAGCTCTCGGCCGCCTTCCAGCGCGGGGACAAGGCGGCGGCGGCCCAGGAGCGGACGACCGGGGGGGCGAGACCTCGGGTTCGGATCCGGGGTGGGGGGGGAGGGGTGGCTCTCGTGTGCTTTTGTGTTTTTTTTTTTGAGAAGGTACCGCGGGTTTGGTGGTTTTAGAAGGATGCCAAACGGAAATCAACACATGTGTTCTTCTTTTTTTTGGGAGGGGTCCGCTGAGACCTTCGAAAAATGATTGTGGTTTTCCTGTTGGCTTCTTTGTAAAGCCACCAAAGAAGGGGTACCAACAAAAAAAACACTGCCGGTTTCGCCGCTCGCATGCTGCATGCTGCATGGTCGGGCTTGGCATTTTGAGATCTAAACTTTGTCTTTGTCCGCGAGTTCCTGGACTTTCTATTTGCTTCTGGGTCTGGGGCATTTTAGTGGCAAGCACACACACACACAGTTTGGCGACCCGTCGGCCAATCCACGCACTGGTCTTCGGTACCAACAACCCACACCTTGAGACCCATGGCTTTTCTCGGCTAAACTTGCCAAAGGTCGATCGCGAGCATAGGTGTCCATTTTGGTGGTTTTGGTAGGACAATAGATGGCGATTCCTGGTTTACCTGGTGGTTTAATCATCTACCTGGGCCATCTATTTGCCCTAAAAGGACACCTATGATCGCGAGCCTTTGCCCAGGCGAGCCTTTGTCAGCTTCGTTTCGCCTCGCCTCTCTCGCCCCGCAGGCGATCAGCCAGCTGCTTGCTAACCCCAAAGGCTGGGCTGCGGGTTCTTCTCAGCCCAAAGCGAACGGATCCATCGAAATGGCCGTGGGTCAACACCAATGGTACCATTTTGGGGTAGGTGCACCGCCCATTTTAGTCTATGTTAGTGGGGATTGGGATGTTCACTGGGGATACGGGGTTTTGACCCATAGCCAAATGGCAACTTTTGGTTTCCACTTTTTGGGGCGGGAGCCCATGGGGCAAGTGGCCCCTTTCAGGTGATCGCCTTTTATTTTCGGTTTCCCGAAGGGGCAACTGAGATTTAGCTGCCCCTTTCCCCCCTTCCCCCCTTTCCCCGGCCCTCCAAACTTGGACCCACCATTCTGCATGGAAGCGTTGGTGCGTGCATGTGGGCATGAGTTTGGGTATAAGCAGAAGCAAGTATTCCACACATTTTCTTGAGAACGCTATTGCATGGATGACCGGAGGAGATCACGCGGTTGTTGAGAAGGGAGGTAGTGGGGTCGGGAGTGGGCAACAATGAGTGAGCGGTGAGTGCAACCGGGGAAGTGCATGATGGTAGATGTCGATGGGAGACTACAATGCGCTGGGTCAGTTTGTGTATTTCCCCCTTTGCCTTCTCCCCCTCGCCCCTTCTCCCTGTCACTCCTTCTCTTCCTTTCCGCTGCTCGCCTTCCCCTGTTTTCGCTAAAACACAATTAAAGTAAATAATAAAAGAAGAAGAACAAAATAATAAAACCAAATAAAATAGCAAAGATAAGACACAAGGTTATTACAGAAGAGATCCAACATGATAAAGGAAAATGAAAAGAGAAAGATAATGAACAGATAGCAATATAATGAAAGCTTATGAATCTTCTATCATAAACAAAAATCACCAAACAATGCAAAGAAGATTCAGAAAATAGACCTTCGTGCCTCAGATAAATATATTATTCTCATGTTGAATATTTATTTTGTATTACTAATGAAATCTCATTTACAATCATATCCTTGTCCTCTGATCATAAATTATTTTTGGAATCTGCTTTTTTTTTGGAATTACTATTTTATTACAAATTATCTCTGGAATCTTCTTAGGTTTACATGTAACATCAGATATTAATTCAGCATATTTTAGTATTTTCTTTTTAACTAGAGACATATATTATGGATGGTGTTTACGTTATCTTCATTCTAATTCCCTTTCTTTTCTTTAATGTTTTTGCTTTGCTTCTTTTATTTTTGTTTGTTTATTATTAATTGGTTTTATGATGAGATTTCTCTTTTATTATCTGTTCATTTTTATAATATTTCTTTCTTGTCTTTTTCATTCTCTATTTCTTTCATGTTGATTATGAATAAGAATGCTTTTATCTTTCTAGTCTTCTATTATTTATTGTAAACTTTAGAATTTCTGGAAATTCATATATTTTATTGTTTATATTATTTGTCTATCTTATATTAATTCCCTTTGTTATTATTTGCTTATGCCACAGAGTGAAGAATCCTTGATCACCAGCCACCCAACCTTTCTACGTCTGGTCCCACTCACTTCGCTCGTTAACCATCCTAACATTTCCTTTTCCCTTTCCATTTCTAGTTACTTCTTCCTTGACTGTTAACTTCTGAATCTTGGATCACAGGCAATCTCCAAATTTAGAATTATTGTAAGCTCTAGAAGCACCTGGAAGGACTTTATCTCTCACCGCCGGCTTCCTCGGGCTCCAGCCTACAAGACCCATCATCCCTCTCTCATCTCCACGCCGTCGATGATAGGAATGACACAGGAAGGAAAGAGATGATGGGAGATGAAGGTTGGTCTACAGGAAATCCCTCCCTTTCATCTCTCTCATTCTTGTTCCACATCCTAAAGTAATTTGTAGATGGATGTGGATAAAGAATGACAGGTGAATGCGAGGAAATCCTATAGACGAAGCAATTCACTAGGAAACCGCCAATGAAGGAATCTCACCAGCAATCACCTCACACTCCATCCCTTTCTCTCCCTTTCTCTCCCTTTCTCTCCCTTTCTCTCCCTTTCTCTCCCTTTCTCACCTCTTAATCACATCCTACCTTTGGCAGTTATCTGGTTCCCCTTAAGTTCCTCTGAAAGGAAGATATCCAAACAGGCGCCCCCTGATGGCTTCCTTCTGGGACTGGTTGTTTGGAGAACCTGAAAAGGATAGCCTCAAACAACCGCACACGCATTCCAGGAACCAGCATTATTCCTTTCTGCCTTCTGGATGCTTTTTCTTTACCTAGGACACCCGCCGAATTCTTTTTCCTGAGTCATGAGGGCACAGAAAGGAGCCGGTGCGTGCATCAGCTCCAAAGAAAGCCACGGGAGACCCTTAACGAGGTCTAATAAACGGGTAGCTTCCTGGATTTAGCTAAGTGACCTAGCAGCTGGATTCATGAACACAAGAACGGGCCTACTAAGAAAAACCCAGGATGATTTGATAAAGCTTTGGCTGATGCCTGGGGTGTGGTGCGATTTCAGAGGGATCCTTCACTTCTTTTGGGTGCCTAAAAGAAGCAAGGCCAACTAGGGCAGGTGAGCTGGGGTTGTTGAACGCTGAGCTGGCGAGTTGAGAGAGCTTCATCTGAGTTGTACGTTGGCTTCGCCCCCGAACAAAGATCTCTCTGCACAAATTATAGCGAGCCTGCCTCAAGGCAAACCGAGCTCACCCACGATGAAGGCAATTTGGAGATGTCTTATTGTTTGCCTTGAGGTATAGTAATCTGCGCAGATCAGGTGTCTTGACATGCGATCGGCCGACCTCTCCAACAGAGTTCACGGATCCAGCCACGCATGCGGCAGTGAACCCGCATGCAGCAAAATCACCGAAGAGGCAAGGTTTGCCTGACATTCTCATGGAGTTCAGTTGGCAGATCGATACCTAAGAAGTGGCCTTGGCCAACTTGTCGCAGGTTTGGCCGCAACTATTGTTCCAGTCCCGTTTTCTCTTTGTCACATGGGGTCTCCTCCAATTTTCTGTCATATTGGCTAGACGAAATATCAAACATCATACCTGAGCAAGAAAAAATAGATGGCCCTGGTTTACCTGGTGGTTTATTCATCTACCAGGGCCATCTATTTGCCCTAAACGGACACCTATGTTCAGCCTACATTTTTTTGTGGTTTCCTGGTTTTTCATGTGTCCGCGCGGTGGCCGAGTTCCTGGCCACCGTCCGACAAACCCCGGCTAAACGCCGTCTGCGCCGCAGGCCTCCAGAGCCTCACGTCGCTGCCGGGCTTCGATGAAGCTTCGGCCAAGTATCTGCAGACCGCCCTCAGCGCCTCGGCGGGTTGAAAGCGGTCGGTGGCCGGGTGAGAACCCGCGATTAATCGGCCCGAGGAATGGCGAAATCGGTCCCCCAGCGATTGGTGCCCGACCTCTCACCCGTTCCTTCTTTTTTGGTTGGGAGGGTTTTGGAACCCTGCTAAAATAGACTACAGAAAAAAAATGGTACCCTTATTCTGACCTCTCTACAGGAGGACCTAGATGGGCCAGTGAGGTCCTGGTCAGCTCTTGGGCTGTAGATGCAAAGTACCTTTAGTTGAAGAAGTTGCACCATTTTGAGACACACTCAATTGCCGAAGAATGGGGTTCACACTTCCTGACTTCATGGTGGTTGCCTTTTTGCTTCTGGTTTCATTTTTGACTCCATGGTTCTTTTTTGACTTCCTGAGTTCCTGGGCGGACCGTTTTAGGGCGAAAAAGCTTAAACCAGAAAGCTATTTGATATTGTAGGGCAGACTTGTGTGTGGAACAGAGTCAGAAGATATTCTCACTTCCTGAGTTCCTGGACTTTAGGCTTTTTGAGTAGACCATTTTAGGGATAAGCAGTTTGGACTTTTTTGGACCAACCCACTGAGGAAGTGAGGGTTGGTTTGAGAAACCAAAACATCGGCGGCGATGGTTTTGTTTAGGCGCGATGGTGCCGGGCGGCGATGCGGAGCAGGGGGTCCCAGAAAGGGGTCGGGGGGGGGGGGGACGAGTTGCTTGTTTCGAGAACTCCGAAGCTTAAACAGGGCTCCAAAAAAAAAACACATGTTGCAACCATTTGAGACATGTGGCTTGTTCATCAAAATAAAGGGAAACCACCACTTACAAGGCAATGTTCAGGTGTATAATGTAAGGATCCCTGTTAAAGCACATGAAATTCCGTATTGGATCTGACCCTTTTATAGCGAGCTCACCGATCTGGGGGTATAACGAGCTCACTGTGATTGGTTGGTCCTTTCCTTGTGGATCCCATTCTTAACTCAGCTTTTGCAATTCTCGTATATTTTGCAGCTTGGGTGCTTTCGCTTTCCTTTTTCTGGGGCCAATTGGTACCCCACGCTGCTGAAATCCACCTTGGTATCACACGTCCATGGCGGATGCGGAGGGCTGGAACTTCCAGGAACAGCCCTTAGCGTTACATAAGGCGGCTGCACTGCTTCACTGTTCTTGGTAAGTTGTTTTCGGTTCTGTTCATTTTTAGTAGGGGGCTGCAACAAACAGTCAGGTTGTTGCAAGCCCATACCAACTATACCAAGAGTTGTGAAGACTCATTGCTTTGTTTGCTTCTTGCTAAGGGGCCCGCCACGAGCAACTTCAAACTCAGTGACACATTTTGGGGCGGGCTAGATCCCAGGAGGTTTTTTTGATCGAGCCATTTTTCCTCTTGGGAATTGTCAAGGTCATTTTCAGGTATGCCGTTTTGAAGGTACCACTTATTCTGCTGCCTTTCAAGCTTGTGTTTTATGTTGGCCGCTTTGACTTCCTCGTTTTGGCCGACTTTGGGTTCCCCTCAAAACAGACACGAGAAGGAAAGCACCCCCGAAATATTTCAGAGCAATCTTGGCAACAACCCAACCCACTGCCCAACCCACTGACCTTCTGTCCGAAAACAGGTTTCCCCATTTCAGAGGACCCGCGGGATCTTGGGCATAGCGCTGGAGTCTGTCCCTCTGCACTCTAACAGAGTTTCCCCCCCTTTTTTTTGCCGCTTGAACCATCAACAGAGCCAACATCCCCCCTTCTTGGAGCGTGAAGTTTGTTTTGCTGCTATATTGATTTGGACCTTTCCTTTCCCTTTCTTCCCTTGTCCATTCTCTAACTCAGGCTTTTGTTTTCAACATCCAGGGGGCCCAAGAAGCGAGGCCCTTCCCTTTGAGCCTTCCTTTTTGGCTGGAGTGAGCTTCCTTGCTGACCACTTGCTTGAAAACAAAAAAATACTGGTGCAACCGCCTCTTAGCTTTTCAACCTGTTGACTCGACCTCCGTCGGGTCCCCGGAAGCCCCGCCTCGCCCGCCTCGCCCGCCTCGACCGCCTCAACTCCCGCCTCGCCCGAGGATGGACCTGGAGATGTCGGAGGGCTTCGCGGAGCGCATCGCCTTCCCCGAGGAGTCAGTGCGGCAGAAGGTGGCCAAGGACTGGAGGCCGGTCCTGGCCGCGCCAGCGGTCGGGTCCGCTTTCAGAGACGGGGCACGAAGGAATTTGGCTCCAGGTTGTTTGGACGGTGGACATTTTGCGGTGTTCTTGTGAGCTTGCTTGTTTGTGCGCGATTGTTTATCTTGCTTTTCGTGTTTTTGCTGAAATGGGCCCCCGTTTGGAATTTGGCTTGCGTTGGTGTACTTGTTTTGATTTTCCCCGGTTTGCTTCTGCTTGCTGAAATGGGTTCCCTTTTGGTTTTCCGAAGCCAACGTCTAGGGTACACTCATAGAGATTGTCACACCCACAAGGTTAGTTGCTACAAATATGTTTCCTGAAACAACAAGTTGCTACAAATTGATTTCCTGAAACATTAGCATCTTCCCCTCTCGGATTTGCAGGGAATCTATCGCCAGATTTTCACTTTTTCCAAGAGGAAGGAAGCACATGGAGGTTTTGAGACATCGTCTTTTTGGTCAATGTTTTTTTTGCATGATTGCGGAGTTTCGCCATTTGTTTAGGAGACATCACCTCTTTGGGCCAACCACAAATAGGATGGTTCCACTTCTGTGCTTGATATTGTTGGGCCAAACATGAATGGGATGATTCCACTGCTGTTTTTCAGACATGACATCACCTTTTTGGGCCACGTTGAAGCCGACCTTGCGGAAGACTTGGCTTGAGAGAATCCCGTTCTCTGGCAATGGAACCTACTGAAAAGTGACAAAGTAGTGAGGGATGGGGAATCCTACTTTGGTATCACATCAAGGGTCGCTACCAAAGAGTGTTGAAACATATGAAACCGCGCTGCACGGAAATTTGCGGCTGACACATTATGGAGCATTGGCAGAAGCCAGCACCCAACAACTGCCAACATCCCAGGTCCAAAATCCCCTTTCTGTCCTAGAGGGCAGCCGTTGCTTACCCAGGTGCTGCGGGTGTTTTTTGCTTCATTTGTCCAGGGACCAACTTCGGCCCCTTAAAAAAGGTCAACACGCCCTTTTGAATTATTTTCCTTGGATAGAATATTTTAATACAAGGTTTTGATTGTGACTCATGTTGTCAGTTGCTTGTACAAGCAAGTCCCCATAGTATTCTTCGCAAGCACCGCGGGACTACCCCATTTTCGAAATAGATTCGGGGAACGAGTAAAACTGGCTGTCACATTATTGACCCCTTTTGGGAGCCCAGTTCCGTTATTTGACACAGTTGACCCTTCCAAGAAATTATACAACCCCAAGCAACTGTTCAAGAGCCTTGGCAGCTTTACCTGTTGCTGTTGGATATCTTTTGGGTTCGCCGACCATGGGACAACAACATGCTTCGCCCGCCCCAGTTGACAAAGCATTGGTTGACTCGGGGGGAACAAAAACCCTGGCTTGAGGGAAGGCACGAGAGAAGCTGCAGACACGCGCTTCCGGACTCGATGCTTGCAACTTGGGATACCAAGAACCGCACATGCCATGCCATGCTAGCTGAGAATCCGGTGGTTCGAAGGCTTGTGCCCGTTGCTCCCAGGCAGATCAAAGAAAGGTCCGCAAACTTGCAGCGACTTGGCAAATGAGGAGTTGGATCACGACCAGACATCCTCATGTGGGTGTGTCGTTTTGAGAATACCCCTGTTTGGGTCTCAAATTCAAAGGGAAAAAAGGGAAAGCACAGGGAATACACACATGTCGAGGTCCTGTTGGTCCCAAACCAATGTCGCTGGCTTTCGAGGGCTGGGCACCTCATGTTGCCAGCTACTTGCATTGATTTGGCAAAGGATTGGCTTGAAGGACTCTCAACAGGGCGGCCCTTGATATGCTTGGCCGGTGGAGTAAGATTGGTCTCGACTTGAATCAGGAACCTGCAGGTTGAATTGGCTCGTCCCTTCTGGGGACTGACACAGCTCAAAGACATGTGACCCGCGGGTCTCCTTTTGGGAGGAATGAACCGCCCGCTGGGTTTAAGTCCACCCTGGGGGAACCAGAAAGCTAAGGGCCCTTAGTTGTAGAGGCGGGATTGTTGGCGCCAATCAGGGTGGTTAAGGCGAGTGAGCAAAGGACAGATCCCCCTCCCTGCCTATTCACATGAGTTTCGTTTCTTGCTCCCCAGTTCAGTATGTACAGGTGCGCATTCTGGAAATCGTTCTTTAATGAGCGCCGCGCCACAGTCGCGGTTTGTCCGCGGAAGCTTCGCGGAAGGGGTTCGTCCGCGGAAGCTGGCGCAAGAATTTACGGCACAGGTATGTTTGTTTTGTAGTGACACTGTTTCGACATGGTGCCAACGATCAAGCAGCGTTTGTTGCATGAAGAGACAGAGGATGAAGAGAACCCCAAAAAGAGAAGGCCAAACAGAAGTGTGGTGGAAGTCATGCGGAAGGGGAGCCTGCCCTTCCCCAAATGCCCACTTGTAGACCACCAACTCGTCTTCTTTTTTGTGGCAGCTCAACCCTTCTGGAGGCACTCAGCAGCCGGACGCTTAGCAAACAAGACTTGCCAGCGGCAACCACGGCAGCAACAACAGGACAACACAAGACAACAAGACACACAACAAGACAAACAACAAGACACACACAACAAGACACACAACAAGACAAACACCAAGACAAACAACAACAAGACAAACAACAACAAGACAAACAACAACAAGACAAACAACAACAAGACAAACATCAACAAGACAAACAACAACAAGACAAACAACAACAGGACAAACAACAACAGGACAAACAACAACAAGACAAACAACAACAAGACAAACAACAACAGGACAAACAACAACAGGACAAACAACAACAAGACAAACAACAGCAAGACAAACAACAAGACAAACAACAACAGGACAAACAACAACAGGACAAACAACAACAGGACAAACAACAACAGGACAAACAACAACAGGACAAACAACAACAAGACAAACAACAACAAGACAAACAACAACAGGACAAACAACAACAGGACAAACAACAACAAGACAAACAACAGCAAGACAAACAACAACAAGACAAACAACAACAGGACAAACAACAACAGGACAAACAACAACAAGACAAACAACAACAAGACAAACAACAACAGGACAAACAACAACAGGACAAACAACAACAAGACAAACAACAACAGGACAAACAACAACAAGACAAACAACACGGTAACGTTCCTTCCGCCAATAAAGTAAAGGCTCGAGAACCGCGGAAGCAACATGCCTACTGCTGCAAACTGTCCGAAGGCTTGCGGAAGCAGAAGTTTTTGTGCAGGCCGCGGCAGCGATGCGGAAGGGTTGGCGGAAGGTTGAAAATATAACGTTGTTTTTTCTTAAGGGTACCCCTTGTTGGTTGGGTTTACAGGGAACCAACAGGAACCCCACCACTGTTTGGGCGTCGCCTAAAAGAGAACACACCCATATGAACTTCACGTACTGTTTCAGAGTCGTAGCAAAGGGAGCCATTGCAGCCTAATAGTGGCTTTGAATCAGCATTGGACCTACTGTGGATGGACAAATCCGTTGAAACCCTGGTTGAAACCTTCGTTGGTTGGTATTTACATGAAAATCATCATTTTTTGGGGGGTTCGGTACGAACCAGCCACGTTTTACGACTGAGGAGGAGTGCGAGTTCCTCGGAGACGGACCCACAGAAGAAGCAGAATGGCTTCTGGAAGAACCCGAAAGGCCTCAGCGAATTTCGGGGCTCGGGGTGGCGGGGGGGGAGGCCAACATGTGTGAAGAAACTTCGAGCCTGCAGAGTCCCCCTAGTAAAATGCAAAGGCAATCGCATTTGAAGCAATCTATTTTTTGTTGGGAGTATTTTTTTTGAAGCATTTCTAACCAAAGGGAGTAGTTTTTTTCAAGCAATCTAATTTGAAGCATGTTGAGTTGGAGTTGGCCCAACTCGCGGTTTAAAGATTGCACGGGGAGTTATCCCAGCCTGCAAGATCAAATCTAGAAGATGGGTTTCAGGATGTGTACAAAGATGGATTCGCTCAGCCATGATTAAGTTGCCCAAGTGAAGACAATGGGCCTTATGATTTACCATCATCAAATCACCAACATGCAGCGGTAGGTGAAAGGGAAACCACCTCAGTTTCTGACTTTGATTACCCCATACACCCCCCCCACCCCCTGCCTGTCAAAACAAGGGCCCCGGGACCCCGGGCAGCCCGTTTCCTTTGGTTGAATTTCTGCCTATCTGGCTACGACGCATGGGTAGAACAAGCTCACCAATGTCCTCTTCTTGGGACTCTTACGTACTTCAGGCATGCCCCGCATGATCCCTAGGAAGGGTCCGTTTTGAAGGCCCGGTGGGCCGGGCCGAACGGGATCTGAATTTGGGGGTGCTTTGTTAGGCTTGAAAACGGGGCGCCCACCCTTATGCCAACCGATTTTTTTTTAAGGGGCTGAAGTGTTAGGCTTGAAAACGTGGTGCCCACCGGATGCCAACCAAACCCTTTTTTTAATGTGTTTCTTTCTTTTTTCCCGGGGTGAAGCCACACCACCAGTTTTAGTCCTCAAAATTGGGAGCAAAGATACGGACCGCAGGTGCCCATGTCCCGTTTCGGGAACTCAAATGAGCTGTTTTCAAGTTAAATCATGGGGGCTGGGGGGGAGGGAGGGGAGGGAGAGGGAGACCACATATCACGAAAGCTAGCCTTAGCTAGCTGAAGTTTCTCCTTGCGTAAGCAAGGTAAGGGGCTCAAATGCCGAAAGATTGATTTTTTCAATTATTTGAGCCGAAAAGATTGAAAAATATCAATTATTTAGACCCCCCCCCGGTCTCAGGCTCGATTCCTCCCTGGTCCATCCCCCCCCCCCCCCAGGCAGTGGCTCAGTGTTCAGCAGTCTCGGTTTGCCCCGTTTTGGACTTGGTGCTACGAACTTTTACATGTTCCATTGATTTAGTTTGTTTATTTGAGATCTCAGTCTTCTCGGTAAACCACCTCGCAAGAATCTTGCACACGCAGCATGCAGAACCCAGAGGTGCTTTCAGACAGCTTCTGACGCCTCTCGTTGTTTTCATTTTCCAAGGTTTGCCACGCCATCATGTGCGTTTGCGTGTCGCATCCTACGAATCTTGCCGGGCCTCTCGTTGTACACAAGCTACCTATGAATCCACTCTGTCACCGACCCATCTCATGCAACAACTGATAGCTTTCGTTCACCCGCTCCTCAAGTTCTAAATAAGGCCTTATTATGGGCTGAATAAGGGCTTATTTGGGCTCCCTCCCCCTCCCCTCCCTCCCCCCCAGCCCCCATGATAGCCATCGACCTCACTCTTGCTTTTAGCTTGCGGCTGAAGGTTTGACTTGGCGATTCGGGGAGCCATGCAACTGCCATGTTCCTTTGACCAGACGTTTAGAGTTGGCTTTGCAGCCGCCTACGTAAAAGTGGCCGGGCCCCCCAACCTCCCGGGAGTAAAGTGAAGGTTTGCAATTCGGGTTTTGAGATTTTGGCCCCGATTTACGACATGGGTGTGTCTTCTTTTAGGGCCCTCAAAACAGGCAATTCTCAGTTCTCCTTTTGGTTTTCCTTTAAACCAACCCAAGGGTATCCTCAAAAGACGCAGCCACATATCCTACAAGCTTTCAAAGTCGAAGGGATCAACGAACTGAGGCCTCCGTTGGGCCTCCTTTGGAGAGAGGTGGGTCCCCCAAGCGAGTTCCAAGGGCGAATTGAGGGCGTTTTTTGATGTTGATCCTGGAAGCCATTCCCCACTTTGCCAGGGGTCGTATTAGGTTCAGTCGAAAATAGGGAGATTGGACATGGGGGATCGGAACTCACTCAGTTTCCACCACAAACCCAGCAGACGGGCTCTAAATTTCCCGTGTCCTCGTTTGGGGGCACAAGTAGTTTTGCCCGTGGCTAATATGCCTCCTTTTGTCTGATTTGAGCATCAGAGTCTGGTTGCCAAAACAAGTATGAGTTTCCTTTTAGGTGATTTTTCCATTGGGGGCATGAGGCCGTCATGGGAGTGTTTCCAAAATAGGGCAAACAAGCCAAGATTGGTTGGGCCCCTAGCCTTAGGGGTGCTTCCAAAATGATGGGGTGCATCCAACTGTCATGGAAAGCAGCCTTTTTTTGCTGGTTAAAACAGTGAATAAGGTCTTCTCTTTTTTTTTTAAGAAAGAAGAACCAGTTGTTGTTTTGTCGCAGGTAAAAAACCTTCGGAGGAGAAGGACACTCCCAAATCCGGAACCGCGGAGACAAAGGAGACTGGCAAGGACCGGCGCGAACTGGATGTCCGACTGACTTCTTGGTGGCTCCCAGCCATCCCCTTAGCTTTTTGGCCTTTTAGTGTTTAGTGGTGGTTTCCATTTAACCCACCAAAAGTTAGTCACTTTTAGCGGGGGATCTGAAAACGGGCAGCCCAGACTTGGCTGTCTCAAAGGACTCCTCCCGTCTGCTTTCTGTTGGTTTCCCCTAAACCACACCAAAAGAAGAACCCGGGTTTGAGAGAATCTCTCGGATGGTTTCCTTGGTTGAAAGGGAACATTGCCTTGTTATGTCCAGATCCATGTTCCCTTTGGCTTCGAAGATCAATGGACTGTTTGACGGAAATGGAAACGGACACAGCCGAGGGAAGGCCGGCAATGGAAATGGAAATGGCCTCGCCAAACTAGAAGTGCACAGGCTCCCTCGCCAAAGTGGAAGCTGTTTTTTCCACGGGGTTGTGCACTTCTATGCTTGTGGGGCAAAGAAACACGGACAAATGCACATGAGGAAAGCGGTGTCCAGTCAAGTCTGCCTGCCTGTTGCTGGAAACTTGCTAAACAAAAAGGCCCACAGACAGGGCACCCAGGGCCCACGGTCCTAGTCAGAAGGGCCTCTCTGATGGACAAGTTCTACTTAGGTTCTGGAAAACAGGACAACCCATGGACCCTTCAGGGCTATGCGGAAGGGGGCTATTCTTCATTGACCCCCTTATAGCCCTCCCCCCTAGCCACCCCTAGGGGTCTCTCCATGAAAATGTCTCGAAAAGGGTGTTGCACGCCAACAAGCATGGTTGTGCCAAAGTACTTGGACTTGTTGCTGATACTTTTTGGCGTGGCTTGCGAGATATTCACATCTCCAGGCCCAAAACATGGATGTTTCGGGCCTGAGGAGCTTAGCAGTGTTTGGGCTGAAGTTCGTATCAGAAGCTGCATCTGGCTTTCATGTCGGCTTCTCATGGGTATGTGTCAAAACAGAGAGACTATATACCAACCGAGCGTCACACAGAGCTTTGCTCATTTGGCCCTTTCGCGCTTTAGTGCCTGCAATGAAATTTAGTTGGGGATGTGAACACAGGGTTGCTCCCCTCGCCTCAAAACAATGACCAAACTGGAAGAGTAGAGAATTGGCATTAGACAATGGGTATGTCCAGTTGCTTTCCCTGTCCTGTGTCCACCTTGTGCCATGTGTTCTTGGAGCTGCAAAAGAAACGGGGCTCCTAAAAATGGGCGTGGCTTTTTTTTCGAGGGTACCTTTTTTGGTTGAGTTTAAAGGGAAGCCAAAGGGACAGCCAGCATTTTGGCGGTCCCCACCAACAAGACTACATCCAAATGGTCACGTGTGGATAATAGCCCTGGCCATCCTTGCGGGGTTGAAAAAGGTGGAATCAGCAGAAAAACCCAAGGGCTAATATCACCACGCCTCTTCTTAGAAGGAAGGATCATCCGATTTCTGTGTTCTCGGCTACACTCTTGGTTTGCCCGCGGGCCAAATGTTAGGACTTCAACCAGTTGGTGCTCATGAACGCCGGGATCATCGGTGCCAACATGCGCCGCAGCCAGCGATCGTCGCTGTGTTTTGTGCTCTTTTTTTTTGGGGGGGGGGGCGGCGGTCGCAGATGTGGGGTGCATTTTGTTTGTTTTGGGGGGGAACCCGTCCTTTTTTTACAAAGCAACTGTTGCGCCTGCTCTTTTTTGGCGGGGGGAACCCGCCCCTTGATCTACTAGAATTCATACAACTCTTGGGTCACATTTTGAGATGAAGCTGAAGCCTCGAGAAGTCGGAACATGACCGTATCTTGAACTGGGCTCATGTGCACTGCGGTCCATCCCTTTAACCTACCACTGACTGCGAGGAATTCATAGTGGTCAGATGATGGGGCCAGTTGAACAGATTGTTGCTTGTTCTTCGTTACTGACAGCAACTTCCGGTACCAGTTTGTCAAAAGCCGATAGCTTGCCATGCCAGAAAGAGATTACTTGACAACCGTTGTTGCTGTTCCTTTGCTGCCGAGACGCGAACATCTTCATTCAATCTCACCGCAAAGAAGCTAGCTTAATTTTTTGAAGGGAGGGTACTGTAGGAGGAATGGGTGTGATCTTACATAGGGCAGACTACATAACCAGACTCTGAACCTCGTATTGTCCACTTTCTCCCCCTTTTTTGTGACCACGGAGACCCTTTCAAACAACCACAGCCAACCCCCACACCCCCCCCTCCCAGCCCCCCCCTCCCTGCAGAGGTCCTTCGTGGGGCCGCTGCTGCGGAGCTTCGACCGCCTGCTGGCAGCGGCGGTGAACCAAAATCGCGGCGACTTGGAGCTGGCCTGCGACCTCTGCGCGCCCCGCGGGCTGAAGCTCCCAGCGCCAGGTTTTCCGTTGACCGGGGAAGCGGAGCCCATGAGACGTCCTTTTTGGTTGGCTGGCTTCAAACATAGAGGGCGATTCCTGGTTTTCCATTTGCCAGAACCATCTATTGAACCCAAAAGGCCAGCTAGGAGCGCCACGTTTTGCGTTGGAATCGGTGACCGGGGACCGGTTGGGCGGAGCCCCGGAGGAAAAATGGCCCGGAAAGGGATGGGTTTGAGGGGAAGCCAAAACTTTGCTATTTCGCAGCGAGTCGTCCGGTTGCTTGGGTTTTTTCTTTTGTCTTTGGTGGGTTTTTCGTGGAGCCCGAAATGGACGACTTGGTGTCCCGTTTACAGAGGACTTTTTTCTGGGAGCTTCCATCTTAGTCTAAGGGGGAGCTCCTGTCGACATGGAATCCAAACCAGTGCTCCCCCCAGTCAGGTTCCGTGTCAGTGGACAGGAGGCCAACTCGAAAATTGGCTGCGTCCTGTTTTTGATTTGAGTTGACACTCTTTTGTGTAGTTTATGAAGGGGACCCAAAATCAAAACATCCATTTCGGGGGTCCCCTAACAAAGACCCAATTGGTGGTGTCTTTATGGCCTTTTTTCCTCTTTTTTACGCGTGGGCTTGCACAAATTGTGGTTTGCAGGCTCGACCTGGAACCCAAGATATGCATGGGTGTGTCCTTTGTTGGCCCCCCAACAATGGGGTCAAAGCTGGCCCATGTTTTTCCTTGAGACGTCCCTGCGCACGCCCTTGGTTCGGGTCGCTGGGCCAGTTTGCCACTTGTTTTTTTTTTGCAAAAAGCTGGGTACCTCGGTCCCAGAAAGGTTCGATCGGAACGTCGCTGTGGGGCACATGCCAGGCTTATTCAAAACACGTGCGGGCCACAATGAAGAGAAACTATCATGAACATCACTAGCATTACCAACATCATCATTACCAGCATCACCAGCATGGTCCGCATCACCAGCATCGCCAGCTTCAGCAGCAATCTCGTTTGTAGCTTCAAAACACGGTTCAAAATCGTCCCTAGCAAGTTGCACGAAATTGAGCGGCTTTGGGCAAGGCCTTTGGAGAAACACTTCAGTGCCCCATTTTGACCTGGATGGAATCGAATCACCCTTTCACGCGAATGAGGGAATGACCCCTATAAACCATCCCTTGTGGTGCCATCCCAAAACGGTTCATTCCATTTCTCACTGCCTACTCACTTTTTCGGACCAACGCCTTTGTCGCAATCACCTCCCCCCCGCCCCTGGTCTGGGGCCCAAACAAAAATACGGCTATACCATGTACCCATAGTGTATTTCAGCTTCTGTGGTATTTCGCAGGGGCATCAGGGCTACATAGTTGGCACCTTGGACCGCCCCTTGCCTCGCGGACAGAGCGCGGAGGCTTCGGATCTTCCGGGAAGCCCAGGGGGAGCGGGCGCTGAAGGCGGGCGATCCGAAGATCCGAAGCGGATCGACGTAAGCCGAATGGGGACAAATGAAGCCGTGAGCGAATCTCTCAGTCCGGTTCCGTTGGTTTTTTTTCTTGTTGTTAAGGTTTTTAGTTGGTTTAGTGGTTGGGTGTCCATTTAACCCACGGAAAGCTATTCGCTTTTAGCAGGGGATCAGAAAACGGACAGGCCAGTTAAGGCATGATCATGAGAGAATCATGTAATTCTTTGGCTGGAAAAACCATGGGAAGTCATTCCTCATGCCAGAAATTCTTAGGTGGTGCAGGATGTCGTCCATCCACAGTATTAACAGGGGCTGTTCCCCTTCAAAAGTGATGGTTTTGCCTCAGAATTGTGAACCTCAAAAACTCCTGATGAACCCCAATTTGGGTGCCCTCCAAAGAGCAGAAACACTCAACTCCAGCTTGATTCAGACGCTGATTTGCCCACGGCTGTTTCAAGCTCCCCTCTTGACAGGCCGCCAAACACCCGCAATCTCAAGGAACGTCCCCGAAAAGAAAGAAAAAAAGACGATACATCTCGTGTGTGTGTGTGTGTGGTGATTTGTTCTTCCTGGAGATGCGACCCCCCCCCCAGCAATCCCAGCCCAGAAGCTGGTGCTGGCTCGCCGCGATATTTCGGGGTTTGGGCAATGAGCTTGGGGATTTGAAAGGAAACCAGTTGGATGTTCCAGTTCGATTCGGGTCATCACTCAACCCTGAGGTATCGAACCAAGGTGGTAGAAAGAAATGGTTTACCCGCTTTTTCCCTTCCATCATCTTGTTTCATGATTGGCATGGGTGTGTCCTTTTTTTCGGTACCTTTTTTGGAATCGGTTTACAGGCAAACCAAAAGAAAACCGGCCGTTTTGGGGTTGAACCCGCAAGTTGGGCAGTTTGATTCTGGCACCGGGCATGCGTGACTCACCAACCAGACCAATGCGGTTCGGCCGCCCGAAAAAGGGAACCCCAAAGAAGGTTGTTTAAACAATGGTACCCTCTTTCCAACAATCATACACACTTGTTGCAATTGGTGTGGTCCATCCATGGCGTTGGCCAACCAAGCGTCCGGTGGCCGTTTCGCTTCCGTTTGGCGCATCGAGTCGACGCAAGTCGCAACCATAGGTGTCCTTTTGATATTTTTTTGTCCAAGAGTTATTTGCAACCATCTTGGACTTTTGGACCATTTTAGTGGTAGACGCCAAGTTGGGTTGCCGTTTTTTGAGCCACCTCGATCGGAAGTGAGACTCTGCTTCCAGAGTTTTTTCTGAGCGGTGGCAAGATCGGAGTTCCACCTCAGACCCCCAACGGAAGGATTCAATTCCCCAACGTAAAAATACGTTTCATCGGGGTCCTTCCGGGTTCCCTTACTCCCCGGTTCATGGACTTTAGTCACTTTTTGGACTGGACCATTTTGGTGGTAAGCAGCAAGTTTGGCTACAGTACTTTTTTGGCCAATCTTCTCAGGAAGTGGGAATGAGAATTGGAATGACCCGACAAAAGCCATCCGATTTGGTTTCTTTTATTCGGGAATCCCCAGGCCCGGTTCCTAGCTATCGCACCAGCTAGCCCTTACAAACCATCCCCTATGATTTCGTTTGTTCGGGAATCCCCAAACGGTTCATTCCTACCGCGAGCGCTGCAAACCACGGATTCGCGTGTGGAATCTAGCTATGGCATCAGCGCTTCCCCTATGGTTTCCTTTATTCGGGAATCCCAAAACGGTTCATTCCATTTCTCATTCCCGAGCTCTCGCACCAGCAACCCCGACCCGAACTGCAAACAGCGGATTTCGCGGATCGACTCCGCTAGGACATGGTTGTTGTTGGGAAACATTGGACACATTTTCGCTTATTGTGGTTTAGTGGTTGAAATCCAAATCCACTTAACTGCCAAAATTTGAGAGTTGTGGCTCCCCAAACCCAACGTCAACCAAGAGGAGTTCAAGACCTCGATGCTGGCCTCGGCCCGGGCGCTGCTGCCGGACTGTTGGGGTCCCAGCCACGAGAACGCCTGGCCCCGCGGCAGACGGGCGGAAGGAAGCCGGGGTGCGCTATGTTTTTTGGGTGCGTTTGTTTTTTTAATCCCACGTTTTTTAGGTGCGCTTTTTAGGTGCGTTCTTTGTTTTTTAGGTGCGTTTTTTTTTTTCAGAAGGAGGGCGGGCTGCTTTTTCTCGTTTGTTTGGGGTGCAGGTGTGGACAAAAAAAATAAAACGGCCAAGCCGGAGAAAAAGACGAAACCAACCAAGCTGAGAAAGCCATGGAGTAACTTCCGGCCTCCCTTTTTGGAGCCGGAGACCAGATATGAGCCACAATCAAAGCCCGGGAGTCCCACCTTTTCAATTCCTTACATGGTTCTGGGTTCACCATTTCTGTACCGATCGGTTTTGATTATGACTCATATGGCGTTTTTGGGGGTAGTTTCCCTATTTCGATGGGGGCCTCGGCATGTCTTTCAGTTTCCTTCATAGTACATAGTTTCTGGGATATATATATATATGATGATGTCTATATATATATATATGCTCGGGCTACTCCAATATTCACACACAGCCTGTATGTATCCAAATGCAGTGAATCCTTGCCCTTCAGATAAGCAGAATAGTTGCCCTTCAGATAAGTAGAATTATTGACCTTGAGACATTGCCCTTCAGAGAAGCAGAATAGTTGCCCTTCAGAACTGCAGAATTATTGACCTTGAGACATTGCAACATCATCCAAAAGGTAGTTCATGGGGGGGGGGCCTGAGCATATGCACATTTTTCTGGAGTTTTGTGCCTGTCGGATTCATGCTGTGAGCAATGCTAGCACAGACGTTTTCTTTGGTTCTCTAGCTGTACCAGCCTCGTGGGCGTTCGGGCGAGCCACTCAACTCATGGGCTGCAACGCACACATGTTTCATATCATGACGGCCCACCTCCGCCATCACCTCCCCCCACACCTCCCCCAACACCTGGCCCCTCCCTTGTAAAGTTGCATCCGTGTTCGACCATTTAACACACAAACAGCAGGTCCCCAATTCAGCAAGCATGTCCACATCGCCTTGCCTTGTCTTGGTTGTTCTTTTGCGCCGCGCTCGAACTGGGTTTGTCGAAAAATAGCAGAACCCTCTAAATTCCTTTTACCAACTTCACCTTTAGATCGCGCCTGTGCTTCGGGATCCACTGATTCATGCCCACCTTGTGACTCCAAAAGGCTTGCTGATATTCACACCCCTTTTTCCAAAAAGGGCCCCTAAACCCCTAAGTGGGGTAACCAGGGACACCAATAGATATGAACCTGAGAAAGACCCCACCCCCCCGCACCGACCCCCCAGTTCCTTTGAGAACCACCTTGAACACATATTATACTCACCCTGAGCCTTCCCTAAACCAACACTAAACCTACCCTACTCTAAACCCACCCTAAGTCCAGCCTAAACCTGCCCTAAGCCTACCCTAACCTACCCCAAAAGCACACGCACCCTAAACCAACTTTGCCTACACCAACCCCAAATCCATTTAGCCCTCTCCTAAACCAACCTCAACCACCTCAGCTTGAGGATCGCTGTCTGGGACTGCGTGTGCGAGCAGCTGGAGAAGGCCCTGCCGCTGCCCGCGAAATATGCACTGCCGGCCCAGCGCTTCCTGGCAGGCGCTCGCTCGGGGGGGGGGGGGGGACAGACTTTTAGACTGGGCTTTCTTGCATTTGCCTAAGAATATATGTTAATTTATCACTGCTTAGAATATGTGTATTTTTTCCAGGGGGCTTGAGCAAATGGACTCCTAGCAAATCATGATTTTAGAGCTTTAGAGGCGTCATCTATGACTTGTTTCACTAGAAGCTTAGCCCCTATTTGCAAGGGAGCAACGAACCCAGACAAACTGGAAGTCCAGAAAAAGTTGATTGGGTTTTCCCTGGACTTGCCTTAGCAGCTCAGTTGATCCCACCCTTTTGTCTTCGGTCGCTTGCCCCCAGATGGTCAACCCCAAAACCGCAGACCGAGGGAGGCTTTTGGCCCTGTGGAAGATGAGAGAGTGTGTGTTTCATCTTTTCGAAAGCAAACGTGAAAAGATCCTTTACAACATATGGGTGTGTCGTTTCTTAGGGTACCCGTTTTTGGTGGGTTTAAAAGGGAAAGCCACTGTTTTGGGGGGTCCTCTGAAAAAGGACACACCCATTCTTCCTGAAACTTAGGGACCATTTCAGAACCGTGTGGTTGATTTCCATTGGGCCTCTCAAACAAAAACCTCAGGGGGACGAGTCCCTATTTTGCTTGAAGCACCCCATTTGAGCAGCCCTAAAACCCCCCCGTTACATCCCAGGCAAGAGTTGCGTCAGAACAAGACCCCGCGTAAGCAAAAACTCTGCACGGCGTAAGCCGGCGTAAGCACTTTTGGATGATTTCTCTAGGCATTGATTCCCCATTCTGCACCATCGCTCTTCTCAAAAACCGATCGCTATTTTCCCAGGGTTTTGGGTGGTTGTTTACAAAAAAAACAAATGCCAAAAAAGAATTGAATAAAATTGGAAGCTACCCCGAGAATTATTCTACCAGGGTCAAAGTCACTGGTAGGTTAAAGGGAAGCCAACCAGAAACTCTGACTTTGATACCCCTAGAATTTCTCGTCTTCTCCGGAGCCGCCCCTCGAGGCCTCTCCAAGGAGCAACGCCAAGCAGTCGGCATCCGGAGCTTCGACAGGCTCTTCAAGGATCATCCGCAGGCGCGGATCGATTCGTGTTGGCTGATTCTTTTTTTTTGGTTTCATGTCATTTTTGTTTTCATTTCAGGGTGTCCGAGCAATTCCCTGTTTGGCTCGTTTTGGCTGAACCGATCGCAATGAGAAGAGGGTGCTGAATCAAACCATGTTTTATTTCATGTGGTGTCCGAGCCAAATGGATTCTTCGTTTTCTTTGAGGGTGTCCGAGCCCTATGCTTCCAAAGCCTATTAAAAAAATAGTCGTTGTGACAACCCCGGTTTTTTGATAAAGACTATTTTTTGATGACGAGCGGCAGCCTCGGTTTTGGACTGGAACAGGGACTAGGAAAGACTTGACGCTAAGGCCGCCTCATAGGATCCCAAAGCCGAATACGTATTTTCATATGCAGCAATATGTGGTACAATCTTCAAGGCTAATGTTGGCTTCTATGTTGCTTGGTTTCTTAACATGGCCATGTAGCGCGTGAGGGTGAATCCTCTTCTGACCGTTTCTGTCCTTCTTTTGCCCCACCTTCTTAGCCAAACCAAACAAAACGGGACAGCAAACATCTTTACCCATCACAGCAACCATTCCAGGATGAGAATGTTGATCTTCTGGGTCCCCTGCAAAATTTGCCCGTTCTACGCCAAAAAATAGTGGTTCTACGCCAAAAAATAGTGGTTCTACGCCAAAAAAATAGTGGTTCTACGCCAAAAAATGGTGTTTCTACGGTTTTTCTACGCTTTGTCTATGGTTTGTCTACGCACACGACGTTTTTGGAGCTGTGTGAAAATTGGAGCGGAAAAACAAGCACAAAGTTGCTTGTTGTTCGTGCCACCTGCGCAAAATTGCAGAGGAAAATTCTAGAATTTGCTAGAATAAAGGCTCCGTCTACGCAAGACTTTCAGCAGGTGCATTGCGCAAACACGAAAGGGCGCCGAGGACCCCATCAATAAATAGTAATCTACTGGCTCCCAAGGCTTCTTAAGAGGTTGCAATAGCAGGCATAATTTCGATAAAAAAAAAAAAAAAAAAAAAAAACAATCTAACAACCCAAAATGGACCCCAAAGGCCAATGTAAAAAATAGGGGTTGTCAATGCAAAAAATAGGGGTTGAACAACCCCTATTATAAAAATAGTCGAGGAAGCATAGGGCGAGCCATTTTTCCCCCCTTTTTGGCTCCTCCTAGAAGTGGCGCTCGTTTCAAGTTGAAAGCCAGCAGTACATTGGATCAACTGTTGAAGGGGCACTCTTGCGTAACCCCTGCAGTGTCCCTCTGTTGGGTTTCAAAGGGAATCTAAATCACTACTGGGAATTTCAACGGTTCCACTGTTTCTGGCAGAAAATGGGTGGAGAAGGAAGTTATGCCTCCTTTCCCCAAGTTGGGCGTCAGTGGTTGGGAAGTTGGGGGATCACCCCCATTAGGGCTCCGACCAATGCACCATCTTGACCAAACGGTTTGCCGAGTCCTCTTCTTGGGGAATGAAAAGGAAGATGCTGGAACAGATCTTCCAGGACCATTCCTCAATGCCGAAAGCGCCCCGCGAGTTGTGCTGTTTGGGCCCCCCCCTTGGAGGAACGGACCGCCCTCCCTACTCAAAAAGGGTCAGACTTGACTTCCTCCAAAAACGGTTTCTTCGAAAAGGGGGTCAGAAGGCAAACCTGTTCCAGGTGTCCCAACATTTCAAGCAGTCGAACATGCGCCTGGCCTTCATTGTTGGCAAGGCACTCGCCGCTTGGACCGCAATTCAGGCCACACGGAGGGTTGGTATTCGCTTTGTGCACTGGAAGTTGCTGACAAGACCTACTGTGGATGGACAGAATCCTGCACCACTTGGTGGTTTATCCCCCGAATTCTGAGGGTTTTATCCTTCCCGACCGGTGCCGGACAAGGTGCACGACCTCCTTGTGCGAGGCCTGTGTGGCCAGAAAAGAGCCCAGCCAAAAGGCAGGGCCTCTCTAGGTCTCTAGGGGCTGGGGCAAGGTTGTCTGAGGTAAGGCTCGGCTGGTTTTCCTGGGGCCAGCTTGGCGCCCCCCGGCTTTCTTAAGGGAACACCCTCCATTTTGTTGGGAAAAACAAAGCATGTTTGGTGTGGGGTTTAAAGGGAAGCCAAAAGGAATTTGGGGGTTCCCTACAAACAGGAACAAACAACAATGTTTGGTTTGGGTTTGCAGGAAGACCTAAAGGAAAACCACCAACCATGTTTGAGGGGTGGCCTAGAAAACAACACACCCAAGTGGGAGGTTGCCCCAAACTGCTGTTTGGTGTGCTTTTTTTTTGGGTTGCAGGATCTCCGGATCTGTTCATTGTCATTGTTTAGAGCCAATCAAGTCTAGGCAGCACTGCCCCAGTCTTTCCCAGGGATCCGTCTTTCTGAGGGAAACGTGTCCAAAATCCACAAAAAAGGGACGCTTTGATTGAAAAGAACGATGGTTGACACCGGAGAATCAATCCTTAGAACAAGGTCCCGCAAACCAAAACCAATGGCTGCATTGATCATGACCGACAGTGGCGGTCGCGTAAATGGGACTCTGCTGCCCCAAAATGTTCATTTTCCACGGGTAGCTTGGCGGTCTGCGGGTCGTTTTGTTTCGGGGGAAAAACGGCGCCCGGTTGGGAACCCGCCGCAAAGTCGTTCGAGCCCAGGACTTCGCAGTGCAGCTCTTCGACGCGCCGGCGAAGGTGGAGGATGAGATGACGGCGCTGGGGCTGAAGCACATCATGTTCCAGGCGCGAGCGGCGGTCCATGTGCTGATTTTCCAATAGTGGTAGATTCCTTTTAAAGCCAACAGGGCAAAATAAGAAATATGTTTAAGCAAATGGAAATGATAGTTTGAGGATTCCCTTAACTTTAGGCCACCTTGTGTGAGACATTTTGGCGACCCCCTCAAAAAGGAATCCTCCACTACGAGGGCGTCGATCATTTTTCCACAACAGCTGGCCAAACGACCCCCCCTGCCAGGCGCCCATCTGCTGAAATGGCCATGGGTCAAAATCAAAATCGTACCCCCAGTGAACATCCCAATTCCCACTAAAATAGGTTCTAGAATGGGTGGTGCACCTACCCCAAAATGGTACCGTTGGTTTTCACCCACAGCCAAATGAATCTATGTTTGATTTCGGCCTCTTGGTTTTATAGGGGAATCGATTTTTCACTACTGTTGTTTTTCTGGAGATGGCTCTGAATTTTAATTAGGGACCCGAAATGGTGGACATCAGAATTCGGTGGGGATCCATGTCCACCACTTTGGAGTGGGTTAACTATTGAGGTTCATTGCCATATATGTTTTATTTTCGCCTTGGTTGTAGAGGGAACCGATTTGTTCACTCTGTTCTTTTTTTCTTTTCCTTCTTCTTCTTCTTTTCAGTAACTCCAGGTGGCCTTGCTGTGGATGGAAAAGCGACATCCGCTTCTCGCGCCACCTGAAAATCCTAGAAACCCTCACCACTGGCTTGGTTAAGCCGTGCTTCCAATTTGCTGAAATGAGAATATTATTTTTTAGTTTCCGTGGAAATGGAAGAAGTTGAAGCAGGGAGTCCTTGCTGTGGATTGAAAGTGAAATCCATACAACGGACCACGAAATGAAACCATGGTTGACACGCTTGCTCGTTTGTATTTACAGGGAATCATCATTCTAGATGTTTTTTAAGGTTAGCCATTCGAGTCGCAGGTGACTCCTCAGGTGACTCCTCAGGTGACTCCTCAGGTGACAAGGACACCTGCAGCTTTTCGGCTGACGTTACTTCTGGAGACAGCTGTTCCTTTGAATCTCCGGGTCCCTGGATGACCTTGATAGGGTTTCCTCCATTTCCCTTTTCGCACCTATCGCACCTCCAAAAGTGGCGATCGGTTCACTGGAAACCACCAGTGAATTGCAACCTAAGGGGAGGTCCGTTGACCCCTGGCACGTTTGGTTGGAAATAGATGGATTCAACTGTGTTAGATTGGCTTCATTCCATTTACCAGGGCCGAACGGATTTTTTTGCGGAAAGGTCACCCATGCATGGTTCCAGGGGGTGGTGTTCCGGAAATGTTTCCATGGCCTGTATTCCAGTGGAGAAATGGGGAGTTGGGGTACTCTTTCGGGGGTCCGTGACTCGACTTAGCAAAAAATAGCCTGGGAAAAAAGACGGGTTGGGAGTGTTCTATTTGCAGCTACCCGTTTTGGGGTGGAATTCAACGGGCAACCTCAGTTTTGTTTTTTTCCCGCGGTCGGCCGTGAAGTCTCGCAAATCGAGGCTTCAAAGCGAAAAAAGTCCCTTGGATTCCAAAGCTCAAGGAGAGGATTGGCTTAGCTAGGTCCCCCAGTAGTCCCCTTCTCTCCCCTTTTTTGGTTGGGAGAGACAAAGCTGACAAAAATCGGGTACCAACTTATTCTAACCTCCTCCTGGAGGACCTAGCTAGGATCCAGGCAAGCCAAACCGTTTTTCGTGCCGAGGCGAACGCGCAGCACTGTGGTCCCTGGGTCTCCTCCGTGGCAGCGGAAATCCAACGCATCTCCTCCCAAGAGGAGGCGGGGGTCTCCTCCGAAACGACTCCCCTGCAGCGTTTACGACCCTTCATTTGCTGAAATGAATAGTTTTTAAGTTTCCCTTGTTGGTTTTCAAAGGAATTCATCACTACTGGACATATCTTTTAATGTTTTTTGCGGGGCTTTAGCCAAATGGAAGGGAAGGAATCCAAAAGAGGTGTCTCCCAGGAGCTTCCTCTACAAATGGTGGTTGGGTTCCTTGTTAATCTGAAGGGGAGTACTTGATATCGTAGGGATTAATTTATGACACCTCCGAAGGTATTTTTTGCTGTGTGCTCTCGAGGTCCGCGTTGCAAGACCCAAAAAGCCCCGGCAAAAGAAGCCAGGTTGTTGGTGGCCCTTTCGGCCAGGTCCTTCGCGTCCTGATTCGCATTCGCATTCGGCCAAGGACACCTGCCGCCTTTCTTTTTTCTTTTCCGTGGCCGGTAAATCTGGGTAAGAGACAGCTGTTCCCTTGAGACCTCGTATCGCGGGATGCCGGAATGAGGCTGTTTTCAAGGCGTCTCTTGAGAGCAAAACCAAGTCCTTTGGGGGACAACACCATTCCATTCCGACCATTCACAAATGTTTCACATGACCCTGGACCTTTTTTTTTCCGGGTCCTTACATTCCCCGCTTCGGGAGAAGGAGTCGAACCACGTTTTTTTTGCCGTGGGGGTTGGCTAAGGCCCACCGAAGCCCAACCCCAGAAGAGGTCCTTCTCAAGAAATGGTTGGATTTCAACATGTAATGATGTAATGTTGACTCCATACTGTGGATGGACGAAATCCATTTCGCACCACTTTGCAACCATGGGAAACCGTTGTCGGTTGGCATTTACAGGGGAATCATCATTCCAGGGTGTCTTAGGTGGTGCAGGATTTCGTCCATCCACAGTATGAATCAACCAGCCAGTTTATTCCATTCGGGCAATGAGGTCACCCCTCCGTTAAGTGGTCTGATTCCCCCACGAATCCCCCCAAAAAATACACCACCCCCCCCCCCCCGGGAAAAAATAAAATAACAAAATGAATAAATAAAAACAACAACAACTGGGGTTGATCAGTATGGTCAACATTCCCCCCGCTCCCATGGCCCGATACCCAGTCAAGGGAGTCAATAAGTCTGCCGAACTGGCCGTGGCTGAAAGGGAGAGAGCCATCGCGTTGTTTTCTGGATGGCACCTCCTTTACCCCTTTTACCCTGGGCTTGTCTCAACCTCCCGCCAGCGGCCTGACATTTTCTCGGGGCTGCCTTTTGGTTCCCAAGACCCTCGCCCAAATCGGGAGCGGCCTCAAACAAAAAATCGGAACACTTGTCCCATGCGACGCCCCAATCGGGTAGCCTGAAAACAGAAGCACTGGCCTCCTTCCCATGGGTCTGTGGTTTGTTAAAAAGAAGGGAGAAGAAACAATAGCCTCAGAAAAGCTGGAGCTTCCCATTGGGTTGGTACTGTACCGGTCCCCCCCCCTTCTTCGCCTTCCCGCTCGCCCGGCTCCGAAACCTTCAAATTGGGTAGCCTCAAAAAGACGGAGCTTTTCCATGGTACCCGCCCCAGCCTCAAAAAAAACGGAGCTTTTCCCATGAGTTGGTCCCCCCCCCTCCCAACTGCCCGATTTCGCACCCCGAAGCGGCCAGCAACTTGAGCGCGAACCTCGATCTAGCCCGGCCGTACCTCTTACTTAGCTTTACCTTGAGCTTTACACGGTATTTGAGGCGGTTTTTCTCCATTTGAGGCTATTTGGGGGGGGAAACGAGAAGCCGCAAAAAAGAACCGGAGCTTCCCATGTTGGTATTTCCCCCGAAGCCGAAGCCGAAGCCTGGGGCAGGCGGAGGCCTGCAACTACGCCCTCTGCGTCATCGGCGGGGTGCTGGGCTATGCGCTGGAGACCGGCACCACCCCCGTGCTCCAGGCGACCGGAACCGGGATTTGGGTGGCAAGCGGGAGCCTAGGGTTCCCCCCCTCGGTAAAAGAATGGGACCCAATTTGGATGACAATTTTTAGGTAAACAATGTTGGTGAAATATGAACCCAAGCTTTGTCTTAATGGTGGTTTGAAATTCAGGGGGGAGGTTGTTGGCCAAATCCGGTGTGTAAGTGGGAACCCCACAGAGTGCCAGGAAACTTGGAATCACAAAGCCCAGAAAAGCATCCTCTTGGCATTGCTTCTAAAGTGAGCTTTTAAACAGAATCCCTTAAGAAGGCGGTTGCAAAATTCACGCTAAGTGTCCACATACGGGTGGGGGGAGGGGGGGAGCAGATGCTGCCGGGCTGTGGGGAAGGGCGATGATTTTCAGGCATGTTTTGCGCGGGCCGGTCGAAATCATGTGATTTGCGTGCTTCAAGGATGTGTTTCGTCCAAACTCGCAGCTGCCTGGAGTAGAACCGCTAGAACACGAGAAGCGCAACACTACTTGCTGCAGCTCTCCTCCCCCCGTAGTGTGTCCCATCTTTGCATTTTGGTTGCTTCTAGTTGGTTTAGTGAGGTCTTTCCGAATTTAAACCACAAGTTGCTGACTTTTAGCAGGGGATCTGCAAACGGACATCCCACCCCCTTGAGCTATTCAAAGGCACCGAGTGTCAATTCACAGACAAAAGCACAGTCTCCGCAATTCCGACTCAGGCGGTGGTGAAGGATGATGCAAAGGCGTGGCAGGGGGCGAATGCTTGCGCCAGATGAATCCGAATCACAGAGGCCCCGTAAAATATACAAGATCAGTACAAGAAACTTGGTGGTTCCCAGCGAATCGTCAGTTCCAGATATTTTTAGATCTTTTTGTTGGTTGAGAGGTAGTTTCCATTTAACCCACTATAAGTTTGGGGGGATTTGAGAACAGCCAAGGAAAGGGAACAGGAAAGGGAACTGCCACGGATTAGTATGGTCCTCAGGATCCGAACCCTTAACATACACCGCTTTCCGAAAGTAATATTGGAGTTGCTGACATGGTGCTGAGCAATGCATCACACTAGTTGCAGCGCTGATGAACATGACACCCAAGAGGAGATTCCTCTATGTCACTGTGTTGAGTTTCACGTGATGTTTTTGCAGGGGCGTATACGCCCCCCACTCTTGGCGATGTAGCAAACCCGTTCAGAGGCGAGCCTCTTGCTTCCGGGTCCGAGATATCCCTCTCAAACGATGTCCCATTCAAGAAGTCACCAACCCTTGCCGGTTCCCAGCCATATGGTCCCTTAGACATTCAGAGCTTAGAAGGATCTATGGTGTGCCCCACTGAACGCTTGACTTGTCATGGATCAAGCAACCACTAAGAGCAATCATGATACGGCTCTGTATTATTGGAGGGTACCCCTTGTTTTGTGGTTTGAAAGGAAACCAAGAGGACAACCACAATTTTGGGGTCCGCTAAAAAACGGCAGGCCCACATTGAGGTAGACCAAATATGTCACAGACACAGAGAAAGGTGACGGATGCTTGGGTTCACCTTCCGATTGGCCGGGTGTTTTAATGCAAGCCCCTTTCTAGGATGGGCAAAATTTCCGTGTCGCGCCAGATTGGAACACCATGAAATGGCAGAACAGAGACTCTTATTGGGAATCGGACCCCAAACTTTGAGGTTTCCTTCCGTTAGTTTGCAGGAGAGTACCCGCCCATCCACGAACAAGGAACCCACCAGAGGGACCGTAAAGGACGACGGTCTTCCAGGACCCCGAAACGTCTCACTTTGTTTTTGTTTCTTCGTTTTTTTTCCTCGGTTCTCTTTATTCTTAGGTCGGGTGCTGCGGAGAAAAACAAGAGTCCGTTTTGTGCAAGCCCATAGCGTTTGGGTTGTAAAGGGGGTGTTTTTACGGCACGATTCTTTTGTTACTGGCTATATGTGGATGCGAGGTACCCCGTTTTTAAAGGGCCAAACGGCAGGTTCCATTCTAGTGGAAAGGAGGGAGTAAATACCAAGGAAACCCTCCCACCAATAAACATGGAACCCGACGTTCGGGGGTCCTGGTTTGGACCATTGTCCTTTTAAAGGGAACGGGTCCCGAACGTCAGGTTCCATGTAAAAAGGGCGGCAGGGAGTAAATAGGTGCTCAGCAGGGAACGAGTTGGAATGGCCCCGAGATAAATTGTCACTTGCGGTTTCCTTTAAGGGAATCTTTCGGATTCATTCCCAACACCCGGAAGGTCATTCGATCCCTTTTGGTGTGGTTTCCTTTATTCGGGAATCCCAAAACGGTTCATTCCATTTCTCATTCCCTACCCAGCGCACCAACCCGCCGTGTCGGCCCCGACCGAGTCGAGTCGCCGAGTCGCCGAGTCGCCAAGGCGTTGCGCAAGGCGCTTCAGGCGACGCCCAGGGCTCAGCGCTTCGAGGCGGTGCTAGGCGCGGAAAAGGGCGCAGTGGCCCCGAAAGGGGTGGGTGGGTGGGGGGGTGGGGGGTGGGGGGGTGAGGAGGTGAGGGGGTTGGGGTGGGGGGTGGGTGGGGTGGGGGGGTGGGGTTCCTATCCCAGTGATTTCATGTCCATCTGCCTGTTTTCTAGCGAGCTCACCGGGGGTATAAGGAGCTCACCATTGATCTTTTGGTCCTTTACTTGGGTTGCCATTCTCAATTCAGCTTTTGGAATTATAGTAAAGTTTGCAGACATTTCTTGGTTGTGTAGGTAACCAAGTGAACCACCCGATAGAAGCAAAAGGACGATGGCAAAGGGTTATCCACTGTACGGGGATGCACTGGGTATCCTGATTGATAAGGGTGTGAAATTTGTTCGAGGCTGGGTTCGAAAACCCCACGATTTTGGGGACCCGGCTTCTTGGGATTGCTTTCTTGGGAAACGTGGTTGCTGCTTTCTGTGGTACCCTTGCAAAATCCAGGCATGGCCATGGACCACTTGCTGGGATCCTCAGAATCTGTTTGATTTGGGGATGACTAGATATGACATACAGAATCTGAGCGTTTCTTCTTTGGTGTACCCTGGAATTGGTTGGGCAAGAGTAAGCGAGCTTTTTATGAACACAAGTAAGCGAGCACAGGCCGGATGTTGACAAGGGCAACTGCTTCAACCTTGGTATTCCGCCTTTTTTCTTGCTGTTTCTCAGCAGGGAATGAGTTGGAGTGACCCCGAGATAAACCATCCCCTATGGTTTCCTTCAAAGGAATCCCCAGGTTCATTTCCACCACCCGGAAGGTCATTCAATACCTGTCGCACCAGCAAGTTTTGTACGCATGTTGACAGATCAACAGGGGGGGGCTGATCAGGTCACATGCGTCTTTCTCAAAATAGTAGTTTTCTTAAAACGGTTGGCTTCGTTTGGTTTGGTTTCCCAGTACAACCAAAACGGGGCTTGTCCAAGAAAAACTTGTGACGTGACAAAGCTCACGATCTGCAGGCCAAGCGGCCTAGTGAGCTCCGCTCTTCTTCTTCTTCTTTTTTGCTTTTTCTCCGCAGCTCTACCGTGGAACCTGATGCGAGCAAGTGTTCGGGTTCGCAAGTTGCGGACCCTCGGTCAAGGTTGCCGAGCCATTCCCCTGCAAAAGTGGCGATCGTTTGAATGGAAGCCTCGGGGAGATCCAGTCACCCCTGTCGGTGTGCAGTGGGGTTTTGGGTTTGTGGTGTTTGAGGCGAAGGCTACCCCTTTCAGCTTGGTTTTTTAGCAGGAAATTAGAGGGAAAGCGAAGCTCATTGTGTGATAGGTTCCGCGAGTTTTTGACACCTATACTGTTCGACGTTTGGAGTTTGGAGGTGTTTGAGACGTAGCAGACGTATCTCCTAAAAGTTGACTACTTCAAGCAAGGGCACCAAGGACAATTTTGGGAAAAGAGGCGAACACCCATGTTCGGTTAGTCTTGGCGAGACCAAAAGAGCACGACCTTGATTGCGGTCAAGCACATTGGACTGGCGTTTCAATGGTCGGGCGGCAACATCAAGCCACTCAGGGTTCTATTCTGGATCCTGACGCCCGAACAAACTAGACCCAGCTGCCAGAGTAGAAAGTCGCAACTTCTGGTGCTTCTCCCGAAGAAAAGGGTCGCCAAGGTCTGTTTTGGAAGACGGGCCAGCAGTGCCTGCTTTATTTTTAGAGAATCCCATCTGGGAGTGGCCGAGAAAGTCCCACTTTGTGAAAAAGTAGCAGGGATAGGAATCCCACTGTCGTATCACAGATTTGGGGTTATCTCCCAACACACAAAATGGGGAAGGCGACTAGGGAAGTTGGGGGGAATTTCGACTCCCCACCCTTCGGGCGGGCCAGCTAGACTGCTTCCAGCTTCTTAGACAGCAACAGTTATGATGCACGTTTATCGGGGAACAAATTCGAGTGGCTTTCGCCATGAAGGTTTTTTACTTGGGGGATCCAATCCTTATTTCAGCTTTTGGACATATTCTAAAACATGCAGATGTGATGGACTACTTGAGATACGCCCTGCCAATCATAGAATTCCCAAAGGAGAGCCTCAAACGAGGGTTTTCTCGGACTTTAATTAGGTTAGGTATTCGCCTGTTTGCTTCAAGGTTCCCAAGCAGTTTGACTTTTTCGCGGCCAAGGGTAAGGCTTGCTTTTGTCTGGAAAGCAGAAGAACAAGTGCTTGCCATGGTTCAAGCGGCTGTTTTTGACCAAGGGGAGAGAGCTTGGTAAAGGCCGATGGCGAGTCAGCCGATTTCAGTAGGTTCTAGGTGAGCTGCTCGTGCAGTGCAATGTGCGGCGAGACGGCGAGACGCGAGTTGTCCAAGACACTCGCCATGTAGAGTTGCAGCCCTTGCTTCGGCCGGAGTCAAACAGTTTACAGCATTCCTGGAGGTTCATATTTTATCAGACTTCGCGGCTACAAGAACGTGCACCCTCTCGATGGACGCTGAAACGAGGAAAGCCAAGGCCTGCAGCAAGCCGTGAGAGTCCAGAGCCGACCCCACGAGGCGCAAGACGCCCGAGATTCTCCTGGCCGCATCCCAGAATTCACTGAGGCGAACCGCATCCGGACATTCTGCACATCCGGCGGGGGACCTCCCACCCTACAGTTTCAGACAAAGGCGAGATTTTTATCCTGAAAGCAGACTACCCAATTTGGAGCAGTTCTGTTGCTAGCAGATCAAAACACAAGGGCCCAGGCCCCCCTTTTCTGGATTTCCCACTTGGCAGTTCCCCAAAAGAACCCATGCGCACAAAACTTTTGTTGGCCTTTTTACTAGGCGGTTCTACTGCCCGCTTTCATTGGGACTATAGCAAGGCCTGTATAAACCTGTATCACCACTACCATGTTAGAACCAAAAGTCAGCTCGGGTTTTCGGCGCTCGGCGATGGGCTCGGCCATCGCCAGGACTCGATCGCCATCGCCAAGCGAGTCCTTTCGAGAACTCCTTGGATCGTCTTTTTTTTCTCCCGCAGCTGGCTAGGAGTTCTTGCTTTGCTGGTGCTGAGAATGTGGGAATGAACCCAGAGATTCCCTTAAAGGAACAAGTTGGACGGGTCATAAGGGTGATTTCCTCATTCCCTGCTCAGCACAAGTTGTTTTTTTTCCCGCTGGCAGGGAGTGGTCTGCGAGACAGTAATACTCGCCGGCTGCGAAAAGCGTGCGCCTGGGCTCAGCGACACCACTTGCCACCTTCAGCGAGTTTGCGACCAAAATGCCATGAAGCTTACTTACTTGGAGTCCGTTATTCCAGGTGCGCAAGTTGTGATGATTTAGAGGCCGCGGCGGAAAGTGAGCATGGAGTCACTTCTTCAGCCGCCAACGGCCGCATCAGACATCGGAGTTGCAGCGGAAGGTACAAAAAGGGCAAGCGGCGCTTAGGGCGGTTCTGCCCTTGGAAGGGGGGGGGGAGGGTTGGGACAAGTTAGAACGAGCACAGCAACGATGTTAGGGTCGTGATCCATTCCAGGAATAGTGACTCTCACAGTCACTTTTTGCAGGTGAGAAGAACATAAACCCCCGTTTGTATTTGAGGTTCCCCGCTCTGTGTCCAAATGGTGGGTGGCAAGCTGCCCGGATTGAGGGATAGTGCATTGTGCCTCACTTCTCCACATCAGAGACTTGAGAAGGGACCCTTTTTCCCGGAACGAATCCTCCCCCGCCCAAAGGGGAAAATCCCCCGAATTCCTGTTTGGAAGATTCAATATTCCCGTTTCTGGACCAGTTTCCTTTGGCGGTTCCAAGTCACACCAAAAAAGCCGACTTAGTCGAGCTTTCCGAGCGCTGACCGCGACCGCGTCTTCTCGCGGTTCTCCGAGCGGGGCCTGCGGCACTCGCTGGCACGCTGGACGCGTTCTGACGGCCAAACGACCTGGCCATGGCTCAAAACCAACAAAGAGGAATACCCTCAAAAGGGCGGCCCCTTTAAAAGACCCACATGGCTGTGGGTCAACCATTTTGGCTGGTAGGTGAATTCACCACCCATTTTAGGTTACCTACTTTAGTGGTTGGATTGGGATATTCACTGAGGGTACGATTTGGGTTTTGACCCATGGGCACCTCGCCGATGTCCGGCGTGGATCTCCGGCGGACCTGGGTGCAGAGCGCAGCCCGCGCTTGACGAGGTGTTCAGAGCTGGATACATCAGTGGGCCGTCCTGATTCCGTACGAGTAGCGAGGGGCTTTTACATTTGGGGGTGTCTTTTTTTGTTGCCCTTTTTCTGTTGGAACTTTTTAGAACACAACAAAGACGAAGCGCCAAGAGAACCCATATGTCCCTCGAGTTGGACTTTTAGCAAGGGGGCAATGAGCCACAAACATAGGCGTCCTTTTGACCGGTCAGTTTGGGCAATGAAGTGCATGGTTCCACTGGCTTAGACAGGGTTCTATTTCCCATGTGGGGGACCCCATCGATTTCTTTCGCAAAGGTCAGTTTGAAACCAGGGTTTAAACCATGGCTTGTTGGAATTTACGTTGCAAAACCAAAAAAACGCGCACTGGATGAGAACCCATTTCCCAGGGGACACCCCCTAGATCCCCCAGTAGTGCCCGTTTGCCCTTTTTTGGGTTAGGACAATTCCCCTACTAAAATAGACAAAACTGAAAAAAGTTGGTGCCAACTTATTCTAACCTCTCTCTACTGCTGGAGGCCCTAGCCCCCGCGAATTTGTTTTTCGCCCAAAGCCACGGGGCATCGAGGCCAGTGGCTCCCTCTCGCTCTCAGAGCCCACCGCGCCGGGAGCTGAGCTCCGTTTGCTGGGCGTGGGTGTGGGTGTGCTGGGCGCACATGGCTGTGGGTCAAGAATAGGGTAACCCCAAAATGGGTCGCCCTGGTAGAAGGAAACATGGACTAAGACCTGCGGTTTTTTTGGTGGTTTAATTTTGACCCACAGCCACATTGTGTCCATGAAACAAAAATATGACATTGTTGATCAGTTTGATCAACCCCCATTTGTTGGAGGATGGACTTTAAGGCTTTCCATTTGCTGTAGTTTCCATTGAGCAAGCTCACTTTCCCTGTTAAAGCATAAATCCACAGCAAATCGAACTGGTTTCCTCACCTTCCATTTGCTGAATTACGAATACGCTTTTTTCCCTGGCTTTCAGCGGAATCGATTTCACTCCTGGACATATGTGTTCATGTTTGTCCAGGGGACGTATCCGCAAATGGAAGGCAGCCTTGGAGCGAATCGACCTATGACCTAATCTGGCTTCCCTGATTTGGTACCCATGTTTAGTCCAGTTCCCGAAAGGTTAACCTTTTTTTGTTCTTTTGTTATTTTCTTCTTTTTCTGGGTCCGTAAGGGGCAGCTGAGGTCAGGAGTAGTGTACGCTTGGTTTGGGTGGTTATCTCTCTCTCTCTCGCTCTCTCGCTCTCTCTCTCTCTCTCTCTCTCTCTCTCTCTCTCGCTCTCTCTGTTTCTCTAGGGATTGTCACGGTCGGAAACTGGTTGGTCATGTGTTTTTACTGCTATGTGAAAGTTAATTTGGGAAAATGATTTCAACTGTTTCTGGGGGTCATCAGAATGTTCCTTTTCCCTAGCATTTGCGGATGGTAAACATTGATTGAAAAATATCGGGGCGGTTGGAGGTACTTGGCTGCTTTTCACACGTCTACAGATAGAAATGATTGTTCCTTGTTTTTTGTTGTTTTATGCATTATCCAGACAAGTGCACAGAGATCATGTTCAAGCCAAAGGGGCGTGGTCGATTGCAGAAGTTCAGCAATGGGTGCCCAGCCATCTCAAGGGATTTTAACTGGTAGCTGTCAATTCCTGGTTTCCCTTTATAACACCCAAACAACATGAAACATTGTACCAACATTGTACCCTTTCAGCCCAACAGTACCAAACACATCGGTACCCTCCAAAAAACGACACACCCAAATCTATTATAATATAAATTATAACCATCAAAAACATGGGTACCCTCCAAAAAAGCGACACACCCAAATCAGGTCATGAGTTGGTCAACGGGTTGCCGTGCTTCTCAGAATTCA